GAGTGAGTCACACATTTTCTTACTGTACAATTATCTTTGTTAATTCCCATTTTAAAGCCTCTATGATTTATTTATTACACGCATGAATTTTCTTAGAATTATATTCAACATTCCACTTTAAAGATTATCAGTTTTGAACGACATACATATTAAAAAAATAATTATATACAATTATTTCAGAACTTCCACAATGACGAAATATGTCGCATTCAATGAAAATGGATCAAATCTTATTTTTTTCTATTCTGCTCTTCTTGGAACCGTATCACATTTGCCCTGCTCAACCCCACCGATTATGTCCCATTCATTGATTATGAAATGTAATAAAATTTTACTTAACTGTTGATTAAATAAATTTTTACAAAAACCAATTGTTTAAGGCGCGCTATTTTTTTAATTAACTAACAACGCTGATGAGGGACATAATGAATGTACGTGGTTATTATCATCGCAAAACTATTATTTTTTATATAATTTTACTCGAAATTATTGTAATAGTGCGTTCGCATGAGTAACAGGGGTACTTATTATAATGACTGTTTTCGTACGTAAAAAGAATAGAGGTACAACATAATTTCCATGTACCAATGATGTTTTCTCATCGTTATCGGAAGTAACATGACCTCGTCAAATAGTTAGTTCACATAAAATATACACCGCAAGAAGTATTTATGTTATAGCTTATTGTATCCAATCATGACCATGTAAATTTCAAGGAAGAAGTTAAAGAATATCACAAAACAATTACTTAAATAAAATAATTGTAACAGATTTTAAAATGTAGCTGGAAAGGTATTGCTGTTATACAAGAACTGAAAGAATTTACAAGATACAAGTTTGGAAGATGAATAGGAGGGTTTAAAAACACGAAAACAAAAATACTAAATCCTGACACTTCTCGCTTTGGACGAAAGGGTCCTTTTCTCCTTTAGATAATTGAAAAATCAAAGAAAATACTTAAGTACCTACGTCGCTATTTATCATGTTCTATTGATTGCTAAATCTGTAACAATAAATTCGATACCTAATATTTTTGAGAGATTTCAAAACACTATACAACGCCACTGTTGTGTGTGTTGCAAAACGTTTGTAATTTTTCATACAACTAAAAACAGGTTTTAATAAAAAAAAAAATATGGTATTTAATTATACAAATACTGAATTAGCAGATCTACATTTTACATACGGTAAAGCGAATGGCAATGCTAGACAAGTTGAAGGACTTTATAGACAGACTTTTCCAAATCGACGTTGTCCAACAAGGAATACTTTTTCAAGCGTTCACTGTCGAGCTCATGAAACTGCATGTTTGTCGCTACCAAAACGTCGAACAGGAGAAAGACCTGTTCGTACAGTTCATTTGGAAAACAGGATTTTGGAATCTATAGATGGAATCTGGAACGTCTTACGTCTTATGTCCAGCGAGTTCATGCATTAAATGAAAATGACTTATCAATTGAGGATTGAACTTTGTCAGTGATTTTTACAACAATGCGTACAACCTGATTTTCAGTTATTAATATTATTTACCGATGAAGCGAAATTTACAAGGGAAACCATTTCGAATTGTCATCATAATAACCACAATATTATTTCCCAGTGTCGATTCCAAGAATAGTTTTCTCTGAATGTTTAGGCATTGTAGGCGATTACTTGATTGGTCCCTATTTTTTATCCAGAACCCTCGAGGGTAGAACTTATCAAAGGTTCCTACAAGAAGAATTACCACCACTTCTAGAAGTGGCATTAAGGTTACGTCAATTATTGTGATATATGCATAATGGGGCGCCACCTCATTACAGCCTTACCGGTAAACAGCAATTGCTGAATAATCAGTATCCTAATCACTGGATTGGTAGAGGAGGACCCATTGCTTGGCCGGCTCGTTCCCCCGACCTGAATCCCTTGGATTACTTTTTTGGGGCTACCTCAAAACTGTGGTATATCGTACTCCAGTTCCCAATGTAGAAGTACTTCGACAGCGCATTGTAGAGGGTTTCGCAACCATACACAATACGACTGGAATTATGAGGCATGTAAGACGATGCTGCACAACATGTATTGCATCCCAAGGACGGCATTTTGAACATTTCTTGTGATGCTGTATAGTGTTTTGGAATCTCTCAAAAATATTAGGTATTGAATTTATTGTTATACATTTAGCAATCAATAGAATATGGTAAATAGCAACATAGGCACTTATGTATCTTCTTAATTTGATTTCGCAATTATCTAAAGACCAGTAAATTTTACGAATACTTTACAAGAATACTTTACTGCCACAAATTGATTGTACATTTTAAAAACATTTAAAATTATTTAAAAAACCAGTGGCGTACTATAATTTTATGATTCAATCTTTTATGCCAGTGAAGTTACAGGAAAAATAATATAAATATTTGAAATTTTTAACACCCTGTATCTCCGTATGGAAGCGTCCTATCAAAAATTTTTATAGAGCAAAACTTATCATTAACACCCTGTATATTGAGTTCAAGTGTCATAATTTGACATTAGCAATCTCCCTTTTAGATGTATCTCACGGAAAAGATATATTCCTATTTGTTGCATAATTTCAAACAGTATTATTTTCTATTGTAATTAGTATAACAAATAAACATTATTTAAGTCTGTTGTAATTAATTAGTCATATTGTAAATGACTAATGAAAATAAAAAATACAGACATAATATATATTTTCATTCGAAGGAAGTTTGGTTATGAAAAGCAAATATTTAGCATTATTTTTTTAATAAACGTTCCTGCCAACTGATGACAAATGAGATGATTTATCAGTTTTCCTCATTTGCTAGATTACCTTTCGTCATTGCTGACACTTGGACTTATAGACTGACGCAAATGTTACAAATAAAATCTTGAGAAAAACTAAAAATATGTAGTTGGACGTTACACCAAAAATATCTTTAAGTCGTAGAAAATGTTTCGCGATGGCATGTCTTAAGTAGGAAAATGCAGGAATTTCTACTCGTTTACACTATAAATAAAATTGGTTAACAAGGATCACCTTAATTAAGTTAGATGTGTTTCAATTATGGAATTAATAAATTTAACAATCTCGTTTTTATTTCTAGAGAGGAAAAGTCTACTTTCAGACAATAGAGTGAGCCGTTTTTACACGAAATGATATTTCAATACGAATACAAAAAAGATTATCTGAAAACGTTTTCTAAAAAATCTTATCAAATGAAGCCAATGTTCTTCGAGACCAGAAATCTATGTACGCAAAAGATATTTAACCCCTCAAACAAAACTCCATGGACTATATGTCCCCATGCCCCATTGAATTACACCAACAATATCTAGTAAATAGGTAGAGCAATAAATAATTATCCAAAATAAAAAATGATATATCTAAATATAATTAATACAAAATTATTAAATAACATAATAATTCGAAGAAATATCTTGTATCCTTACTGTTCTATCATCACCCTTGAAGGTTGAATGACATTGTTTGACTTCATCTAATAAGATTTACGTTTTTTTAAAAAATTTAGTAAAATGTACGAGTATAAGAAAAACAATTTCTTTTTTTACCTAATCATGTTCCACGTTTTTGTCACTGTCGTTTCGAAATGTTTTTTCTAAAAATTTGTAAAATACAGGGTGTTACAAAATATTATTTAGAGAAATCTAGAGTAGATTCTGCATCTAAAAATATGAAAAAATTTTCTATAAACGTAGGTCTGCAAATGCCGTTTTTGAAATAAACGGTGTCAAAAAAAATATGTTTTTTTATTGATAATTTCTAAATTCTACATTGGAAATTGTTTAAGTTTGGGTCAATATATTTATGGTACATAGGTTATAATTTGGTATAATCCATTGAATTTCAGACCCATCAGGGGCGTAGATATGGGGAGGACTTATTGATTTTTGACCAGAAAATCTACGCCACTGCTTCTTCTACTCGTTCTTACTTTATTTTTAAGAACCTTATTTAGTTTAGAGCAAAAAGGCCCCCTTGCACATTTGTCATTTAGCGAGCGGCTTTCGAGCTATTGAAGATTTTTTAAAATCAAACTAATTTGTCTATTATTAGGTACCTACTAAAAAAAACATAGTTGATGACTGTCACTGAAAAATAACATTCGCTGTCACTATGGAGAAGTAAACGACCTAAATTTAAACGACTTCCAATGAAAAATTTAGAAATTATCAATAAAAAAACATATTTTTTGTATTTTTTTTTGACACCCGAAGAATATGCAGTCCTACGTTTATAGGAATTTTTTCATATTTTTAGACGTAGAATCTGCTCTAGAATTTTCCAAACAACATTTTGCAACACCCTGTATATAATTTATTTTATTAATATTTATTAAATCCATATGAAACAATACTAAGTAAAATGTGAAAATAATCTTTGCCGTTTTTTAGGTGATTAGTCTTTGCCGAGGATGATGTGATGATAGAACAACAAGAATACAAGATATTTTGTTGAATGATTACATTATTTAACAATTTCAATATAACAAGTTTGTATTTTTGTATTAATTATATTTAGACATCATTTTTAGTTTCTAATTTGGATAATCATTTATTACTGTTTACTGGGTATAGAGGTATAATTGAGGCAGTCTTATCTATGGGGTTAAATATCTAGGTTTCTAGTACTGTTTGGCTTCATTTGATAAAATTTAAAAAATAATAATAATAAATTGATTTGGCTTAGAACATACTTTTAAGTACTCCTTTAAAATAGAGTGAAAAATACGAGCGTTAGTAATAGAAAATATGTTTCTTAAACCGAAAAACCATTATGGACATTTAATTAATTTAACCCGTTCAAATTAAAAAAAAAACAATCTTTAGCAAGTCCATAAAGAAAACAAACAATTATACATTTATTGATTCAATCCCTTTATTAATTTCCAAGGTATTCCTGGTAGCAATTGTAACAATACGTATTTTACGTCCAAATCGCGTTATCAGTTAGTGACTAACGCAATCTGCAATATAAAAGGTAAAGTGTAGCACCGAAGTGCATTCAGTACACCGCGATTTCCACAATCATGAATGCAGCCAGCATGTTGTGCGTATACGTGATAGCTATTATAGCTTCATCCCTCAATGTCGCGCATTGTGCGGCGGTGTACGGTAATGTATTTTTTATCAATTAATATAATTACGTCTACACTCACAGAAATGTTTATTTGTCAGGAGAAGCCAAACATAGCATACAAATGGTTTCACTTTATGTATATTTATTTAATTAATAGAAGCGATAAACAGTTTTTTTACATATTTCTACTTCGTATTGCTTACCAATAAATATTACCTGAAGACAAAGTAGAAGAAAACAACTAACAAGTACTACTTGTAAACAAAAAAATAAAATTTAACGGCGGTTACATTTTATAAACTAACTATCGATTTATTGTTACCTATCCATTAACAATTTTTTCTTATAGAACGGGGAGTAAATGACAATGAGAAGCAAATAATCGTGAATAAGCACAACGAACTCAGGAGGATGATTTCTGAAGGAAGGGTACCAGGTCAACCTAGAGGAACCAATTTGAAGCAACTGGTAAGGATATTGTTCAATTTGGAATTTCATATTTCTGATTTTGTGTACAGTAGAGGCTTACGCAAGTTTTTCTTTCAGAGGTATGATGAAAATTTGGCGAGGGAGGCTCAGAAAATCAGCGACACCTGTCGGTTCAAGCACGTCAAAGTTTCTGACGGTAAGTCTATCTACCAAGGCCAATATTTTCCTAAGAAAAATAACTCATTTTATTACCTCAAGTTATTTTTTTTTTCTTTATTTACTGGGTATTATTTAATTTTTTCGTAGGCGGTAAAAACCCAATAAATAAAGAAAATATAACTACGACTATTTTACTACAAAGCCTTCAAAAATTATCACAAGCCACGTGATCGCGAAGCTTTGTCAACCAATATTTCACGGCTGATACTGTCAATTAAAAATCCCTAAATCCCATCCATCATCGATATTAATGGTTCGTTTACAATGAACAATGACAAACCCTTACGTCTACGCTCGAGATAATGCGGTCACTGATTGGTCGAAATTACAGTTCCAAACAAAATTACTGGTCATGTGGCTTGTAATCATTTACGAATAACAAAAATAGCCCTACCCCTAATTTTAATTTTAAGGATTAACCGGGATTTGTGCGGGAAAGGGAGCGACATACTATCCACAACACCGCATTTATTCCAATAGTTTTTATTTAATTGTACAATTTGCTATGATTTAAAAAGAAAATAAATGCAAAATCATAATGTTTTTTTAGGTCGTTGGCATGCGGTAGGACAAAACTTGTACGCTTCTTACTCCACCGCTCATCAACCAGGGGCCAACTGGGCTAAAGCTATACAGGATTGGTTCAATGAATATCCATATTACAAATATGGAGATCGTAGTACCAACCACCAAAATGGCCATTACACTCAAGTAAGTATTTTATCTAGTTCCATTCAGGACCGGATTACCCTATGGTGAGGCTTGGGACTACAAGCTCTACGTAGGCCCAAAAAAAAATTCATTTAGCCAGATCTCGCCGAAACTCCCCGATCTCCTTGAGGACCAGGGCTACAGCTACAGCCCGTAGCCCCCATTAAGCCGACCCTGGTTCCCGGTTCCATGTTAATATTTTGTCAATAAAAGTTATTTTCTCGCAATAAATTAACTTTCAAGTCAATCAGTTTGTTAGAATTTAATAATTTCTGGAATAGTGAAAATGCATTTAATTAGTATAACTTCTGGGTTAAGACCATTTGTCCCAAGACTTTTTTATAAATTGCTAGATCCAGGAAATAGTACTCTAATGTTCAATTATTAATTAAATAGCTAATTTAACTCTGTTCTAAAGGTGGTGTGGGCTGATACTGAGTATGTTGGATGTGGATACACTCTTTGCAAAGGCACGTCATGGCCCTATGAAAAAATTTATACCTGCAACTATGGACCAGCGTAAGTAATAAGAAATTTATATTTTTGTTTTTGTTTTTACTCTGATTGTGATGTTTGTGTCATAGTAAAAAGTACGCCACTTGTGTATAGGCTAAACTTACTTTTACTTTATTTACTTATTTATTTTAATTTATTCTAGGGGAAATTACGTCGGACAACTACCATACAGGACGTAAGCCAATATGTTCTGAAGACGATACCCAGATAATTATTTTTTATAAGTTATAATTATTTATATTTAAGTAATTAGTTTTTAATATTTTATAATTTCTAAACAATAAAGCATTTTATATTTTAATAGGATTTTATTTTATATATTTCCGTTCACAAACAAAACTTATGATACACGAAAGATGATTTAAAAAAGTATGGATATTCCTAGAGAAAATTATGAAGTTTATGCAAAAATTAAGTATTTAATATTTTAATTCAAATTAAACTTTAAAAATGTCATAACCTGATTTAATATCCTATAGTACTTTTAAAACAATTATTCATTAATGTGATGAGAAAATTTTGTCCAGGAGTTAGTACCCATACACAGGGTGTTTTGGAAAAAGATACAAGGACCATCAGAACATAAACAAATACGACCCTTTTTTCCTAAGGGTTATGGATCCATCGTCTTCTGTTTTCGAAATTCAGGGCGTTAAAGTTGATTTTTTTTAATCAAATTTTAACCACATATTTTCCAGAAAACAATGTAATCCTTTAAAATTCAGTACATGTATATTTTTGAGTTACTCTTGTGATTAAACGCACCGTTTTTTGACACAAAATAAATTGCCCCAAAGTCAATCAGCATATACTCCGTATTATACAGGGTATTCCGAAACCAATGAGCCATACGTCAATGGTATTTTCTTCAGAAATTATCTTAGTAAAGTATTAGAATGGAATTAAAAAAATGTTTGAACAAGAAAGAAAGATTGTACAAAAATAACTTGTGCGGAATTATTTTATTTTCATCTAAGGAAGCGACTCTAGGAGTAGGACCCATTCGTTTCCGGACACCCTGTACGATATGGAGTAGAAGTGTTATTAACGATTTCAGTAAGAATCCCTTTTTATGTAATATTTAAATTTTCCATTGTAATATACGACATACACCATAAAAAACCTGACCTTGAAAAATGTTAAAATGTTACTTGGTATGGTCGATCTTCAGCAAAAGGTCAAAAACTAAGAACACATACATCTTCACCCACAAAGACATTTAAGCAAAACCCAATGCATTATGCTATTTTTCGAAGGAGATATGGCTAATTTTAATTATTATGTTTTTATGTCCCATTAGTTCCTAAATTTGTGGTACCTTCTTGCAAAACACCATGTACATACTTTTAAAATAGTCATAAAAAGTTTTATTGCTAATGAAATCTACATGCGATATCTAAACAGGTCCATACACACAAGCGTACACTTGACAAAAATCCTTTCCAGTTCTGGAAATACGTATCCCCACTCTTTTTTCGACAAAGAAATCAGTCTCTTTAATTTTGTAATTGGCATAACCGCAACCAACCTGCAGGGAGTGTAATTTCTTCCAGGTTGACTAAAACGGATAAAAATTTAAATCAATTTTATTAAAAGATTTAATTTTATACCTGACCGCTGCCACTGGTAGTTCTAGCATAGTTGGGACGTATTTTGTCTTCACTGAACCAATATTGGATGGGTTCTGACCAATTTGCCTCTATGTCGTCGCTATTCGAGCATTTTAAATACATATTTTGGCCAGTATGGAGTCTGCCTAGAAATATAGATCAACAAGAAAGTTATATACCTGTCACTAACCAATATCTACCTCTATTAGGTATAAAAAATCATTCCAATAACAACATACTAACCGCCTTCCACTGGTTCATACTTAAATTTACATTTTCTAACAATATCCTGTGCTTTTTTTGCCAACTCGCCGTTCCACGTCTAAAAAAACAAAAATATTTTTTTTGCAACAAGAAGTTAACCATTTACCATATTTGGTGTCCTCTCTGCAGAAATCAAGGGGGTTGTAACTACCCTTTGTATACTGTGTAGTTCTATAATGTCTTTTTGACAACAAGATGCCCCTATATCTACAAAGGAAAGAAAATTTCGCCAATAAATTGAAATTATGTAATTAAAAAAAGTACTTACCTTCGTTGTACAAAATATGTGGGCAGTCGGGGTTCCTATTAGTGGCATACATCAAAAGCACATTGAAAAACGAAAACGTGTAATTCATAGTGTTAAAAATGACCGTTCAATTTCAATTCTGATAATACAACGCAGCAGTATCTGTTTATTTATAGACGACTAGTGATTACTTATTTATTTCCGAATAAAATTGCTTGTCTTGATAAGAGGGCATGACCCAAGCAATGATTTAGTTACTTACTGGCTGCTTGATTTAAAACTCTTCTTATGTGTTTATTTTTATATAAATGGACGCTTGATTTTAAAAATTGCCGATTTAAAATTATTTTTGTTTTATAAACCAAGGACAGATACCCTTTGAAACAAAGTTTGATCCTCAACTGTAGATAAGTATTGAAGAAACACAAAATTAAAACATGTACCTATTATAAAAATATTTGTATAGAACTAGGTATAGAAAGGGATTTGACAAATATTCTCAATTATTAATTATTAAACGTTTGGTTGATGTCCTAATTATAAATGCAACATTAATTAATGGATTTCAAAATTTAAATGGAATGTACAAAACAACGCCCTCTTCCGAAGATGGCTAGAAACTGTAACATTCATAAGAAGGGTTGCATATGATGAAAATTTGAAAATTCTGAAACTAGGTGTTCTGTGTTCCCTTGCAAGATTTTCGACTGATGTACTAATGTAATTAGATATTTCAAATGAGAAGTTCAAAAGCAGAAAATAAATTAAAACATCTGAAGTTTGTAGTGCAATATAGTTATAAATTAATACAATTTTAGTAGGTATGTTAAACGACCATTATGGCCGTCATATCTTAATAATTTATTTATTATAAAACCTATGTTTAAGAAGTCGGGTTGATTGTTTAGAAAAATAAGTCGAAATGTATATTTTTAAATATATTAAAGTACTAAAAATACCTATACCTTTATTGTTCAAAATTGTAGTTTATTTTGTTTTGAAAAAACAAGCACCTACATATAGGTATATCAAAAATTCATATGTTCCTTAAATATAAAATAAACATATCCTATGTTTGCGTTACGGAAAAATTCGTATACCTATGTAGGTATAAGTATATCATCAGTTTTTTTAGTACCTACCTAGTTTTTTTTCCTAACACTGAAAATGTTTTTAATTGGGTAAATGTTTTTCTGTATACATATGTCATGTCTTCTTTTAGAACTATAATTTCGTGCATTAATATACTTTATCCACGACTATTGTATAATGTACCCATTATACGTCTGTTTGCTCGACCTTAATAATACCCATTAATCACGGCAGTGATTAATGAGTCATTAATCACTACTGTCAGATACTTCCTTAATTTAGCTATAATATTATATTGTTCTGCTACAAACAATCCGTTTTTAAAATTTTATCGTGTAAACCACTAAATATTTTCAATTCAGTGCTGTACATTTAAAAAAAAAATTAAAAAAGTGAATTTTCCTAGACCGGATTCGAACCCGGGACCCGCGGTTGGAAGGGAAAGAGCATCTACACTGAGCCATCAGCGACTTCATTTGTGCGAGTCGTATATCTGTTTCTTAACATACCATGTTTTTCGAAACATTTCAAAATAAACTTCAACAAAAATATTTAGTAGTCGTGGATAAAGTATAGTATTCTACTCCCGTATAATGGGTATTATTCACTCGGTGATTTAGGCCACTCGCCTGCGACTCGTGGCCGTAAACTTCACCTCGTGAAGAATACCCATCATTATACGCTCGTTGAATAATATACTATTATTAGATCTATGATTTCGTATTATGATTTGAAATTAGACAATAGGGTTAGTTATTTTAAAAATTCGACAAGACAACTGGCTGTTATTTATGAATTGAAATCGATATAAAATAGAGCCAAAACTGCAAAGATACCTAACCTGAAGAACCACTGTCAAAAACATTTGCTATTTTGGGGTTAGGTTAGTTCAAAGAACTGACACGGTTTTATCAAAATTTAAACCTGTAAAGCCGGTTTAAAAAACTTTGTTTCTAGAACTATGTATTAAATCACCAATTTTTCACGTTCGACGGGTTTGTTACAGTGCAATATCCGTTTTCCATGTTGCACTTGCACAAGTCGAAAACAAAATGCACATCAAATTAACTAGACAATCAAGTACAAATATAAATACACTAAAAACTTTTCGCGACTACTTATTTACATCAAAAAATATAAAGATTTGCCGAAATGCATACAGAACTTTGTTCAGATTAGTTCTAGAGACGCCATGCATTTTTTTAAATAAAAACGTGTTGACAGCAAAAAAAATGAACACAGCATAATATTATTTCTTCATAGCCTACTGGTATTTTGATCCAACAAATAATTTGATGTACGAAAACAGAAGCAAAGAGTACAAATTATATACTCTTTGACAGAAGGATCAAGAATATTAATTTGCTAACAAATAAAATATAATTTTTTGTAAGTAGAAACGTGTGCAGATCCAGGTACAAAAAAAAATAACCAGTACCTACTGATAAGTAATTAATTATGAGAATTATTAGCTGTATAATGTGACATGTTGTTTTGTTGCGTAAGAGTTAATTTGGGGAAAGTTGCATCATCTGGCATTAGTGAATGTTACGAGTTGTTCCTACGATTCACAATAATAATACACTTTGCCTGCCCCTTGTATGTATGTACGTATTTTATACAGGGCACAAGATGTTATGATATTCGCGCATATGGTAATATATAGTTAGAGGCGAACAATGTATTTATCATTTAGACAGATAGTTTTCAAAATATGCAATTTAACGAAGGTCGAAGATGGGACGTTTTTAATCATTTTTATCAAACAAATCTAGTGAACAAATATGTAAAAACAAAAGAATACATTGAAAATAACAATTGTTAAAAGAATATATTCAAATCATAGTTTTTGATAATGATATTTTTTTATTTTTAAAATTAATATTAGTGACTGAAAATCTGAAATTATGGACGATGTATCGTACAATATGTCAGTCCTCATTTGGCCTTAAATGTTAGAGAACCTTATATTTTTCCCAGTAACTGGATTGGCAGAGATGGCTCTTTTAGTTGGTCATCTCGCTCACCAGACCTAAATCCACACAAATCTTTTTGTGGAGTTATTTCATGTTTTTGGTTATAGAAGACACAAGTACTACATTTAGAAGACTTGCAGGCTTCTTGCAGGAATGCAATTTTCAGACGGTCAGAAAATAATACCATATACAGTGTGGAACAGCCAAATTGAATAAATTCAGTATCTCGATAATTATTATACTTATTTATAAAATATCTTGAGACAAGTCGATTTTAGATTCTGAAATAACATCCTGTAACGTAAAAATTCTTCCAATGCGATTCAGATTAATTACAAACTGGGTACCATAAACAGAAACAAAAATAGATTTTTTCAGATTTTTATTAATTTCAGGGGAACGAATGAAACGATGAATCTGAAAAGATTACTCTATTTTCTATAGTTAGTTAAAAGAGATCACAAAGAACACAAACCAAACATATATAAACCACTGGATAATTAAATAAGGTAATAATGTAAAAATGCGATTAATAATGATAACAGGACAATATATGCAACGTAGTAAATTACGAAACGGGTGCGCCATTAAAAAAAGATTAGCCTCGCGTCGGAAGGGCTTTGTTCCATCGGGCAGTATGGGCATTTCAACCTGAAAACGAAATAACGTCAAAATGTTGGCGATAGCAAGGAAAAATTATATTAAATTTTTTCTCAAACCGCCTTTATATTTTCTAAGACATGCCGCTATATTTTGTTTTAAAAGTCGAACGTTATGCGAAACAATTACTCTGTGGGCTACAGACCCTTCCAGCATTGAATTATTCCAAAATATCACGTAAGCAATGAAGATTATAGATTACGAGCCCTAACAAGTACATATTGGGATGCTAAACAATTTAATCTTGTACACATGCAATTAATAAGAGTTGTTAATATGCTGGAAATGGATATAACGAGCGTTCAAATAAAAACGTGGTCAAGTTGGTTCTGAAAATTTGGACGTAGGGTGTAGCGTATAGCAAATGAACTTAAACGTCATCTGTCAAAGCGCTATATCGCCGCTATCAATTTGAATATTTTCGTTTTAAAAAGCGTTTAAAATGGTGTTTTCTCAAGAACAAAGTGTTTATCATAGAGTCCTACTTTAGAAATGGACGTAAGATTGATGGAATATGGAAGTATTCTATTGAGGAATGTTTCATAGAATTTCAAAATCAATTTCCCGGCGTTGTTGAGTACAAAATTTTTCAAAGTGCAGTTCAGCGTTGTGTTAACGTTTTTCGTGAAACGGGCAGTGTAGCAAGAAAAGAAGGAAGCGGCCGACCTAAAAAGCGGACTGAAGAATTAAAAGAAAATGTCCAACAAATAATGGAAAATGCACCAAGAACTTCTGTATGTGTTTTTTCACAAATGGTGGGAGTATCAGTCGGTACCTGCCACACAGTGTTAAGAAAAGATTTGCGTTTGTTCTCCTATTGTTTAACTTGTCAGCAAGAACTTCATGAAGTTGATTTTCCGCGACGGGCTGTATTTTGTGAATGGTTTTTAAACAACTACGGTAAACTTCATAATACCACCTTTTTTTCTGATGAAGCCTGGTTTCATTTAAGTGGTTACGTAAACTCACAGAATATGAGAATGTGGTCTTCTGAAAAACCAGATAACTTTTTTGTCGAGGGCCCTCCACACGCTCAAAAAATTGGAGTTTGGTGTGCTCTCAATCGAAGGAGGATTTATGGACCTATTTTTTTTTAATGGTACTCTTACTGCGCAAAGGTATAGAGAAGAAATTATCGCTCCTTTTGTTAACCAGCCGGAAGAAAACGAAATTACAAACTTTTACTTTCAACAAGATGGCGCAAGGGCACATACGGCAGGCGAGACGATGAATATGTTGAGGGAAGTTTTCCAAAATCGACTAATAAGTCTCAATGCTGAACATGAATTTCCACCGAGGTCATGTGATATTACGCCGTGATTTCTTTTTGTGGCCTTACCTTAAAAACACTATTTTTGAACTGCCTATTCCTGATTTAAACCATCTGCAGGCTCGACTTATAGACAAGATTCGTGAAATTAACAATACCCCGAGCATCTTAGAAAATGTCTTGAATTCTTTGAGGAACAGGTGTGAAAAGTGCTTGGAACAAGGAGGGGGGCACTTTCAGCAGCTGCTTTAATTTATTGTTATAACAAGGAGGGGGACACTTTCCGCAGCTCCTTTAATTGTTTGTTATTGTTATCACGATTATTCTTTAAAATAAAGTTATATAGTCATTAACGTTATTGAAACTGACAGCTGCTATACAGCTCGTTGAGAAATGAGGTTAAGTTGGTCGCTATAAGCTACTCCCTACGTCCAATGTGTCAGAGCCAACTTCGACCACGTTTTTATTTGAACGCTCGTTATATTTTAAAATACCCATTAAATGTACAGTTACTTATACATATATGTTTAAATTTGCTTATATCAAGTATAGCGAACATTATAAAAATGAACACATTAAATACTGACAACTATACCTTGGGACGGTGCTATGTAGACTGTGAATGAAAAATAAAATGAGAGGGCAATCAGAACTTAGTTTTTACAAGACAAGTGACTTGAAGTCTTTACCCAAATCTGACAACACATGTTAATGTAATTTGCAGGCAAACAAAAAACCACTTTTGACTTCCAATCAGAAAGAGTCAAAATCAAAGGTCCTATGATGACTGGATAATGGTCCTATGATGACTAGATAAAACTTATCTTCAGTGACGAGTAAAAATTCGATGTTCATATCGGAGATAGTCGTAAGAGAGTCATATATGTATTAAACAAACCATTTCATAAAGATTGCCTAAAACGAACTGCTAGGTTTCCTAAGGATCAAATGATTTGGGGGTGTATGTCAGCTAAGGGGTTAGGCCAATTAGAATTCATAGAAGGTACAGTGAATACAGAAAAATATAAACAGATTTTACAAGACAGGCTACTCCCAAGTATGACCCAATTTTATCCAGACAGACTGTATTTTTCAGTTTTGTGTCATACTGCTCGAGTAACAAAACGGTGGTTCACTGAAAACAATTTAAAAGTAACATTTTGGCCATCAAGCAATCCAGATCTCAGTGTAATTGATTGTGTTTGGCATGAAATGAAAAAATATTTAAGAAACAACCCACAGAGGAATCTTGTCGATCTGAGATCTAAAATTCAAGAAATTTAGGATACAATTTCACCAGAGTTTTGTGAAAAATTAGTCAAAAGTATGCCTGGAGAACCCGAGCGGTAATAAAAGCGAAGGGTGATGTGACTAGTTACTAGTTTATAGCGAAGTCCCAACATATAAATAACAGGAATTATAATGTATTTCTCATAATATCCAAGTTTCAAGTTAAAAAATAATTTAGATTAATTTGCTTTTTGGTAATTCTCCCCTAAATAAGCATATCTTTCAAAAAATATACCCAATTAAAAAAATTTTAAGTTGTTTAAACACTGCATTTTATTAGGATGCTAACATTCCAATATACAGGGTGTCTCACCACGATCTCTATCAATGGATATCTGGGAAACCACTCAAAGGATTTTTTTGAAATTGTGGTAGTGTGATGCCGGCTGTATGAAAAATGTTTAGAAGATGAAGGAAGACATTTTGAACATTTATTAAAATAAATTTGACAATTGAAAACCTGTAACAATCGTCATGTTGATTGTTGCTTACCTGTCACGGCCAACCTAAAATGTGCGAAAAAATGGAAACATCATTTTAAGAAAAGGGAAATGTTTATTCGTAAATAAAATGAAAATGGGGGAAACCCAGGAAAGTATAGGGAAACTTTAACAAAGTTACACTTAATTTTAGTGATGAATGCAAATACATTAAAAAATTAGGGATTTCCATTTAAAAATTTCGAGTTTTCCACATTTTCTGAAATTCATATTCGAATATTTTTTTTTGGCCACCTTCTATAAAAACTAGAAAATTTTCATGTCAAACTGATAAATTAGGTCTTCCACTATAAAATGTCCAATTTGCACAGAAAAATAAACATGTGTTTCCGGGAAAACTAAATTTGCTGACAGTCTGCATCTGTCAATTTTTGCTTAAAAATCAAAATATCTCGGAAACGGTCAATCCTAAGTATGGAGTGTGCTATGTTTTGAACTTAAAAATAAATGCTCTTTCCAAAAACACAATAATATACAGGGGGTTTAATTTAAAATCACACTATCGCAATTTCAAAAAAATCCTTCGAGCGGTTTCCCAGATATCCATCGATGGAGTTCATTGTGATAAACCCTGTATAATTGTTAGGGCTCGTAGATCTCAGATACTTTAAGAAATGAATCAGTCACTCTCTTTTAGAGATGAGTGTATCATTTCATTATAAATAAACCCCAAAACTCGGTTGAAGGAAATTTTTCGAAAGTATACAGAAAATATTTGCAGTGATCTAGTAATTCATATAGGTGTGCGGCAACTGTAATAAAAAATGTTTGGTGATTTTACTCATATAAATATGGGAAATTTAATATTTTACATAAAATTTTAATTATACGGCGATGCTTGATATGATACATTTAAAAATTCACTATTAATAAAGTTATATAACTTTAAAGTTATCATTATTAAATGGAAAAATAGCTACCGAACTTTTTTACTTGGGGCATTTCAAAAAACTAAACAACTTGATCTTGAAAACGTATTAAAAAGTCTCACGTGATGTTTGTTAAGTCGATAACATTAACCGCTTTCCCGTATAAAATGCATTTAATATTTTTGAACACCCTTAAAAAATTTGTCAAATTGTATTTAATTACATTGTCTGATTTATAAAAGTTAAAAATAATAATTTATTGGGACTTGAACAAGAAATATGGTCACAAAGCATTCTATATCACCTTAGATAATAAAATTTTCTAAAAATCGGCAAATAAAAAAAAATTAAGGGGCATTTGAGCCTCTTCGGGCTTTAGAATTTCAATAATTTTAAATTGCTTGTGAAAGAAAAATATAAAAAAAAAATAAAAAATCTGAGGTTATGTAATTCGATCGATAGAATCACTGTACTACGGGGACCGCCTAGCCGGGTGTCTTGGCCGGCGGATTACGATCTGTCGAGGCAAGCATCACGGACGCAGGCTGGAATTTGAATGGGTGACCTAAGGCAGGCTCGGGGACGTGGCTGCGGCAGCCTACCAGAGACCTGGGTCGCCCAACATTTGCCGCATGCGTGTGGTCCCCGATAAATGGTAATGAGAACAGAGCAAAGATAATCTCTGTAACTCAAGACCATGCTGTCATACATAAACTGTATGAGACTTTGCCACCAAGCCACCCGCGTAGTAAATAGGATGGTTTGAAGAAAAATACTCGAGTAATGAAGGAGGGTGTACAAGGGGCCTAATAAGGCCTAAGAGTCGCGGTGGAAAAACAATTCCACCACCTTCCGACATACATACATACATACATCACCATACTACGCACAAAAATCAGGTAACACACTTACTTATTTCCGTTACATAATTTGTTAAGAGCATCCCTGGAAATAACGTGTCCGCATATCAATCTCATCGGTGGATTAAACTGAGTGGACTGCTGCCTCAAAATCGGGCAAGCAAACATCGAATGGTACCTGTTCTCACTATCCAAATCGATCTCGATCTACGGATAAGAACTTGTAAGTAACTCACCTCGGACGCCGGACTGCAAGTACTTACCGGCAGTTCATCTTTTCCGTTCCAAATCCCCGTGACCTGTCTCTGCATCATCACTTGTTTGATATTGAGCAGGGCGGGGATGGCGGTGCATCCTGCGTTAATACATGTGGTTAGGGGACTATTTACACAAACACCTAATAATTGACAAGCGTCGCGGATAAACAGTTCATAAATTTCGATCCACATTTCGGAGTCCAGCAAACAGCTGTAGGGGGAGCTGTTTATTCCATTAGGTACGTACAGTAGCATTCCCATCAACGTCTGAATGTCTGAAATAAGGTGTTGGATTTTTTAATATTTATCTGTACGAAAGTCTATATTAGCTAGGGTCACTGCGTACGTTTTCGACCATTTGGTAGACGTTTTAACGTTAAGATTTAACAGCTTCATCAGAAATTCTTTATTTTGATTTAGCTTGCTACAAATCTAATACAAGTTATTCTAAAAACGCTAAAAATAAAGTTTTTTTTTTCGAAAAAACTACAAAACTAATTTTCGACCACCCAAACACATTTTTAAGAATCGTAGATAGCTTTAATCGAAAATAATTGTTCACGTATGAACTAAATGTTGAAGATAGAATCACAAAACCGACAATAAGTTAAAAAAAGGTTTTTTTTTTGCCAATATCTTTGAAATACAAGAATAACATCTTTTTTATTATTCATGATTGTTGCTATTAATTTGATCGGCTTTTAGAAGAATATATTTCAATAAATTAAGAAAAAAAAGATGTCTACTGCATTAATTCAAAAACCCACATAAACATAAAATCTGCTGGTCGATAAAATATATTTTTTGACATTGTAATTGAAAGGAATCAATAGATTTTTGAGCAACTCGACGACATTAAATGAACCAAAAATATGGAAAGGGAGGGAAATAATGATCGAAAACAGGGAACTGAGAAGGAAATAATATTTATTCAAGCTTTCTTCTTTCTGCTCGAGTTTTACAGAACTAGTGGAAAATTGGTGGAATAAATGGCGCAGCGACCCTACTACTACTTTATAGAAGCATTGGATGGGACCAGTTACAGAGGTTACTACGAAACATAGGAACACCACTGTCTAAGGAACAGTTCCACCCGTAGCAGCCTTAGAATCAACAATAAAAACTGAAATCAATATCAGACCGGTCCTAGAGGATCTGACAATGAGTTTGCGCCCACAGAGCCTAGCCCGAGAACAAGGGCAGGTCAACGCCTCCTAGCTAAGAATAAGGAAATGCATTATAAGTCTGTACCTGGCAGCAACTAGCTATATATGCCACGACGTAACAACCCGAAAAACCATGGTACTCAAATACTATAACTTTAATTTTTAATTTCCAACAAACAATTTGCTTCTAATTAAAATGTAATTCATTCTCAAGAAGTGAAAGTGGTACATTGTTTACATGAAATTAGGTAATAAACTAGTATTTCTCTAAAACATTTTCTAAACATGTGCACGGCTTCCATCTGGAAACAATATAATTACCTTTCTCGTGTCTATGTACAAATTTGCTAAAGTGTGTCCGAGCGTAACATATCGCATCAGTCTGGTGTGTGGCTCCCTTACGCAGAAGCTCTATAAATTTTAAACGATGTAACATAAATTCTAACGAGGAATTCTGTCCCTCTAATTCAGCGTGGTGAACCGTCGCCCAGGCTAATGCGGGTTCGAGGTCTTTGTTCTTAAGGCGGTCTAGGATGTGGTTTAGTTCGGTAAAAGGCTCCTTTTCGTGATGCTCTGGAGTGACATCACACTCATTTGCTAGTTCCTCGGACACATCGTGCATTCCCTGTCGGTAATAATGCTGGCATATAACTTTGTTTATGAGATTTATCTTATCGGGATTAGAAAAGACCTCCTCGCGACTCGTAGCTGCAAAATCTGAGACAAAGTTTCTATCTATGGCTTTCCCCACTTTTGAAACAGTACTGTGTAGGTCTCTGTGGTCCGTTGCTAGTTTGCAAACAGTCTCCTTTACCTTTGCCATGTTCTGTTTCAAGATATCCATCTGTACATTCGTAAGCACATGGTCCTCGCCGGCTAAAAATACAACGTACTTAAACAATAGTCTTTGTTAGGAAAATGTGATTCTAGAACATACTACCTTACCATTTTGGTATTCTTCTTTTAAACTCTGTATCTGGTTAACCAGGTCGGATAAGACTCTTCTTACATGTTCGTTAATCCCTCCGAATTTTGAAAGCACCCTGTCTACTTCCTTTTCCACTGCTAAACAAGCTTCCATGTTTATTTTTGTTTTCGCGACTACAAACGTCATTCGTGTCATTCACACCGCCATAATACCAACATATGAAAACCAAATCCGTCAATACGTGTGCAAATCGCTGCCAACTGCGAAAAATCAACCGTACTCAGCCAGGGACGTATTGCTGGAATTGGCACAGCTGGGAATTTCTGAATCCCGAAATACTTTTGATATTTAATATTAAACAATTTGATAGTGATTTTCGTATATCAATACTGATTATCATTAATAATGAAATGTAAAGCGATTATATAATTTGAACAAAAAAAAATTAATTAATTGTTAGCCTAAAAATTACAAATACATTTCTTCTCAGTTTTGGAACAATAAGAATAAGCATGTAATTTACAGTCCACTACTATTTATTTTTATGTCTGTATACATTTGAAGTTGACCATTTAGATAAATAATAGCCTTAAACCTTGAGTTCAAAATAATTGGCACACACGCACTATCAAAAGATATTGATTAAAAAAATATGTTTTACATTTCCTGATCTGTATGTTTTACTAATGGTATGAATTCTTAACTGCTGTAATAATTTTTTTTATATAAATAAAACAAACAGGTATTTAGGAACCATTCACTAATTTAATGAATAAAATACATCTTCTATAAAGCATAAGTCAAGTTTTTATTTAAAAAAAATAGCTTATCAGTGAAGGCGAATATTAAAATTTCTTAACACAGTGCGTTATCATGCACAATTAAAAATCATACCAATAAATTATTTTATGTTTGTGACAAGAGTTGAAGGCCTCAATAATAATTATTGTACAAAATAGTAGTATTTAACATCACAATCTGTCTGACACACATTTATAAGCTCTTCTCCGTAAAACAAAAATGTCTCGTGCGTTGCTCTACGCGGTTTTTATCACTTTTATTGTTTCCCAACTGACAAGCGCGGCTCCAATTGTCTATTATCATGATGAACTGCATCTTGGACAATGCACAGGTGTTCTACTGGTCGACGATGACGTCGTTAAACCTGCAGCCCCGTTCACAACAAGAAAATTAACCGTAAGTGATGTTACACTTAGTAATTTGGTGGGAATAAATTTATAAAAAAAACAATCCCGATTCAAGATAGCTTTGAACTTTGACGGCTTTGTTTTCGAACAACGAACTCTTCTTTACGAGATAATATTAATTACAATCAATTGTTTATAAAGAAATATTATAAGCCTACTTGTTAAAGAGTCAAAGGAATAAAATTATTTTTATAAGAAAGCATTTCTTAGAAAAATCTGTTAATACGCTCTTTTTTATTTTCAGTACACATGGAAAGGATACGATGAGTACTCCTTAACATGTGTCAACGTTTCGAACAGATTAGCCAATGCAGATAAAGGTTCTGTACGGCTTCTACGAGGTGGCATTGGAGAATCGGAGATGGTACTGGAATTGACGTCACAAAACGGCAAGGAACTGAATTTCCATGTGCAGTTGTATGCAGATTTTAGAGGAAATTATTACTAACGTAATATCTATAGAAATAATGCTCTTGCCAATTAAGTATATCATTGTGTAACACATATTTTTGTATCAATTAAATGTTAATTTTAATTTTAATAAACAATGTTAGTTTAATATGGTACTATCACTGTTTTATTGAATACTAAAGTTGGATACTGCCAAGGAGGAAATAACAACTGATGGAAATATCATAAAAGTATTTTGTCGTAAAAAAAACAAGTGTGAAAGAGTACATATTGAGGATTTACTATTAAATAAAATTATAACCAATTAATTGCAGATTACAATTTTGTGAGTGCAGCATAATCAATATCTCGATGACTAGCATTTTTTCTTATCTATAGGTATACATGTTGGGTAGGTATTAAATAATTATCACACAATAAAAATATATTTACATACTAGTTAATGATAATTACTGCAAACAGTCATATTTTTTTCTCATAATTTATTAGTAAAAGCTGCAAATAAAAGTATATCAATTTTTCAATTAGAAACCATCTGGTGAGCATTTTTTTAAATTTTTAATATGTAGAATAGTGTAGGTGTCGGAAAATTGTATATTAAACACTTTTTACGTTTCAAATATTTTACAATTTGTCGTTTTATTTGCAGCAAAATGGCAGTACCTACAGTTCTTCTGAATAATGGCCTAAAGTGTCCACAACTTGGTCTAGGTACCTGGCAGGTAAGTTATTGTAATAGATCAGCAGTAATATTTAATAGTTTTATCAAAATTATACAAGATGTTGGATTATTTTTTGCCAAAGCATATACATTTTTATATTAGGGATAGCGAAGAGCCACAGTTCCTAAATTTTGCAATTTTTTATGGTCCCACTGTATTTGAAATTGTACTTTGAAAAAAAGTTCTTATAAACAGGATATAAATAAGTAAGTGCAAAGAATTTAAGCAAATAATTTCTCGTTAAACATCTTTCATGTCAAAAAATATCTACGTCCCCTCCATATAAATTTTCAAAAAGGCAATCTTTTTTATGTTGTTCCTATTGCATTGAGACTCCTCAATTTTAAAGCAACTGGTAGTTTGATAACATTTTTAACAGACATTTCTTGTGACACATAAGTTACTGTACTTGATAACTTCCAGTCTGCACCCGGAGAAGTCCAAAAAGCCATAAGCCACGCCATCGACGTGGGATACCGCCACATAGACTGCGCCTGGATCTACGGCAACGAGAAGGAAATAGGAGAGGCCATCAGACAAAAAATAGAAGACAAAACCGTCAAACGTGAAGACCTGTTCATAGTCACCAAGTTATGGAACACTTTCCACGAGAAAGACAAAGTGGTTCCGACCTGCAGAGAGTCCTTGAAAAACCTCGGGCTTGATTACGTTGACTTATACCTGGTGCATTGGCCGGTTGCACAGAAGCTAAAAAAATTTAGTAAGGTAAGAGCTTTTAAAGGTGCCGAGTTCGTGGATATCGACTACCTTGAGACTTGGGAGGGAATGGAGGATTGTGTTAGGTTAGGTCTGGCTAAGAGTATAGGCGTTTCTAATTTTAACACCACACAGTTGCAGAGAGTTTTGGATCACGCGAAAATCAAACCCGTCATGAATCAAGTAAGGCATTGGTGAGGTCCACTAAATAAAAACTAACGCTAGTATCTGTTTCAGATAGAGGTAAGTCCTAACGTCACCCAGAAGAAGCTCATTAAGTTTTGTCACGACAACGATGTGGCCGTGACTTCCTACAGTCCTTTCGGATCCCCAGCTAGGCCGTGGGCAAAACCTGAAGACCAAGTCGTATCCTTGGAAAATCCTAAAATAATTAGCATTGGTGCTAAACACGGAAAAACAAGTTCCCAAGTTATTCTAAGATATCTTATTCAGGTTGGAACGATCCCCATACCAAAATCAAGCAATTTGAAGAGGATAGATCAAAATCTGGATATTTTCGATTTCGAGCTGTCTCCTGAGGCCATAGCCACTCTCGATGGGCTCAACACTAACGGACGAGCTATCTCTGCAGAGGAACTAAAGGGATCAAAATATTTTCCGTTTTATGAGGAATAACTAATTGAAACAGTTTTCTGTTAGGCGCATATTAATATTTGTAATATTAAAATATAAAAGTAATGATAATTATTTTATTTCAATTATTCCACTCCATATTGCATAAAAATTGACGTAATTGTAAATCAGCCACACGCATTAGTACTAATAGGCTATTGATTATATAAAAAAAAAACAGAGTTAAAAGAAACTATGACATTCAAGCAATTTTTTTGCATGAATCGTTCAAAGGGTCATTAGAGGGTGGAAATTGGAGATAGGAGTAAAAATGCACCCGTTTCAGTTTTTTAATTATTGTAGCTCGAAAACGAAGCAAAATTTCTCTATAGTTCATAGGAAAAATTATTTAGAGAATTGAATTTCCCATCCAAATGGCTTATTTAAAAAAATTTAAAGGAAAATTTTATGCAAAAAATCGTTAATAAACAATTTGAAAAAAGCAAAAAATTCGATTTTTTAATTTTTTTTTTACTTTTCTACCTCTAGTTTTTCTTTGAGTAGAAAGATTCACAAAAAAAAGTAGGTAAAATTTCCTTCAAAATAAGAGGTTGTAAAGTAATTTTGGATGAAGACATATGGCCGCTGAAACTTACAATTAGCCAATTTTTTGATTTTCGTCGCGTTTACCCTTATACGTTTTAATTCTCATTTTTTGAAAAAAAAGGACGGAAATAAGACATTCAAGGATTTTCATCACATGACTTGTTCGATGAACCATTAGAAATGAGAAAATCGGAAGGTGCTATTAAATTAGAGGGTTGAAATTGAAGATAGGTGTGAAAATGCACTTTTGCAGTTTTTTAAATAGTATATAGCACGAAAATGAAGCAAAATTTCGCTATAGTTCATTTGGTAGGGAATTGAATTTCCCATCGAAATGGCGCATTTAAAAAATTTAAAAGAAAAATTTTATGAAAAAAATTGTTAATAAACATTTAAAAAAAGCAAAAAATAGGAATTTTTATTTTATTTACTTTTTTGACATTGAGTTGTGAAAATCTTTATTTATTATTAACAAATAAAACTTTTGAATTAATTGTTTATTAAATAAAGAACCAATTTATTGTAAAAATAATAAGAATTACAGGTATAATCATTATGTTAAAAACGACGAAAATCTAAAAATATTTAAGTTTGACCAGTTATAACTGTCAATATTAATCCAAAAACTTTTGAAAACGTATTATTTTGTAGGAAATCTCATCTAGTTTTTTTGTACAGCAATTTTCTTTGCCTACTACTAAAAAAAAAATTAGTCAAAAATGTAAAACAAAATCAAAAAACTTATTTTTAGCTTTTTTTGTTCATTAAAGATATTTTTGCATAAAATTTTTCTTTTAAATTTTTTAAATAAGCTATTTCAATGGGAAACTCAATTCCCTACAAAATTTTTCCTACGAACTATATAGAAATTTTGCTTTGTTTTCGTGCTATATTTAAAAACCTGCAAAAGTGCATTTTCGCCCCTATCTTCAATTTCAACCCTCTAATTTAATAACACCCCGCGGTTTTTTTTAATGACCCTTCGAACAAGTCCTGATGAAAATCCTTGAAGGTTTTATTTCCTTCCTTTTCTGCAAAAAAATAAGAATTAAACCTCTTATTTTGAGGGAAATTGTATCTACCTTTTTTTTTCTATGAGGCAATGTCTATACCTAACCTATCTTTGCTCAAAAAGAAACCCGAGGTAAAAAACTGAAAAAAATCTAATTTTTGCTTTTTTAAAAATTGTTTTTTAACGGTTTTTGCATAAAATTTTCCTTTAAAATTTTTTAAAGCGGCCATTTCGATGGGAAATTCAATTCTGTAAATAATTTTACCTATGAACTACAGTGAAATTTTGCTTCGTTTTCGAGCTACAATTAAAAAACTGAAAGGGGTGTATTTTCACCGCCATCTCCAATTTCCACCCTCTAATTTAATAGTACTCCGCTGTTTTCTCATCTAAAATGACCATTTGAACGATTCATGTAATAAAATATCTTGAACGTCATAGTTCTTTTTAAAATCCTATAATCAATAGCTTATAACTAGAGAAAATTTATACGAATAGAATTTGTGTGTTTCTTAATGGAACATTTTTTCATGTGCAAATGAAGAATCTTTAAGTTAAAATTAGGGCGAATTCGTAACTGTTCAGGAAACATTATTTCCTTTCGCATATATGAGATATCTGGATGACTAGCAATTTTTTCTTATCTATAGATATATATTTGGTAGGTATTAAATATTTATCATACATAATAAAATATATCTACTAGTTACTGATAATTACTGCAGTCATATTTTTCCTCACAATTGATTAGTAAAAACTGCCAATAAAAGTATATCAGTTTTTCAATTAGAAACCATCTGGTGAGCATTTTTTATTAAATGTACAATAGTGTAGGTGTTGGAAAATAGTATATTAAACACTTTTTACCTTTCAAATATTTTTACAACTTGCTGTTTTATTTGCAGTAAAATGGCAGTACCCACAGTTCTTCTGAATAATGGCCTAAAGTGTCCACAACTTGGTCTAGGTACCTGGCAGGTAAGTTATTGTATATAACAGATCAGCAGTAATATTTAAAAGTTCTATCAAAATTATACAGGAGGTTGGATTCTTTTTTGTCAAAGATACTAAATTCATCAAGGCTTTTCGAGATACAAGCAAGTGTTGAAATTTAAATAAACTTGGGTTGTTAATTTAGTTCAGTTTAGTTAAAGGTAAAAATTCTGTGATACAGATATCAAGGTCCAAAATTTCAGTACGCTGAGTATTTTCAGAAATTTAACTAATAATGGGAATGGTCGTTCTAAAAAGGTGTTTTCACGTTACTCGAAAAACAATTTTCGACTTATTTTTATTATTTAAAATAGGCTTATCACACAATTAGATAAATTAAATAACGAGCGTTCAAATAAAAACGTGGTCAAGTTGGTTCTGAAAATTTGGACGTAGGGCGTAGCGTATAGCAAAAGAACTTAAATGTCATCTGTCAAAGCGCTATATCGCCGCTATCAATTTGAATATTTTCGTTTTAAAAAGCGTTTAAAATGGTGTTTTCTCAAGAACAACAAGTGTTTATCATAGAGTCCTACTTTAGAAATGGACGCAAGATTGATGTAATATAGAAGTATTCTATTGAGGAATGTTTCATAGAATTTCAAAATCAATTTCCCGGCGTTGTTGAGTACAAAATTTTTCAAAGTGCAGTTCAGCGTTGTGTTAATGTTTTTCGTGAAACGGGCAGTGTAACAAGAAAAGAAGGAAGCGGCCGACCTAAAAAGCGGACTGAAGAATTAAAAGAAAATGTCCAACAAATAATGGAAAATGCACCAAGAACTTCTGTACGTGTTTTATCACAAATGGTGGGAGTATCAGTCGGTACCTGCCACACAGTGTTAAAAAAAGATTTGCGTTTAACTTGTCAGCAAGAACTTCATGAAGTTGATTTTCCGCGACGGGCTGTATTTTGTGAATGGTTTTTAAACAACTACGGTGAACTTCATAATATCACCTTTTTTTCTGATGAAGCCTGGTTTCATTTAAGTGGTTACGTAAACTCACAGAATATGAGAATGTGGTCTTCTGAAAAACCAGATAACTTTTTTGTCGAGGGCCCTCTACACGCTAAAAAAATTGGAGTTTGTTGTGCTTTCAATTTAAATGTCTTTAATTTATTGTTATAACAAGGAGGGGGACACTTTCCGCAGCTCCTTTAATTGTTTGTTATTGTTATCACGATTATTCTTTAAAATAAAGTCATATAGTCATTAACGTTATTGAAACATGAGGTTAAGTTGGTCGCTATAAGCTACTCCCTACGTCCAATGTGTCAGAGCCAACTTCGACCACGTTTTTATTTGAACGCTCGTTATAATGTAATCATCAAAAACAATTATATGTATAAGTCATGAGCATATCAATTTTTATATTAGGAATAGTGAAGAGTCATAGTTCCTAAAAAAAAATAAATAAAATTTACTACGACAACGATTTTCATAATTTTTAATGGCCACACTATATTTGAAATTGTACCTTGAACAAAAAATTCTTATAAACACGATATAAATAAGTGAGTACAAAAAATTTAAGCAAATAATTTATCGTTAAACATCTTTCATGTCAAAAAATATCTACGTCCCCGCCATATACATTTTCAAAAAGGCAATCTTTTTTATGTTGTTCCTATTGCATTGAGACTCCTCAATTTTAAAGCAACTGGTAGTTTGATAACATTCTTAACAGACATTTCTTGTGACACATAAGTTACTGTACTTGATAACTTCCAGTCTGCACCCGGAGAAGTCCAAAAAGCCATAAGCCACGCCATCGACGTGGGATACCGCCACATAGACTGCGCCTGGATCTACGGCAACGAGAAGGAAATAGGAGAGGCCATCAGACAAAAAATAGAAGACAAAACCGTCAAACGTGAAGACCTGTTCATAGTCACCAAGTTATGGAACACCTTCCACGAGAAAGACAAAGTCGTTCCGACCTGCAGAGAGTCCTTGGAAAACCTCGGGCTGGATTACGTTGACTTATACCTGGTGCATTGGCCGGTTGCACAGAAGGTAAAAAAATTCGATAAGTTAGTACCTTTTGTAGGTGCTGAGTTCGTGGATATCGACTACCTTGAGACTTGGGAGGGAATGGAGGATTGTGCTAGGCTTGGTCTGGCTAAGAGTATAGGCGTTTCTAATTTTAACACCAAACAGTTGCGGAGAGTTTTGGATCACGCGAAAATCAAACCTGTCATGAATCAAGTAAGGCATTGGTGATGTCCACTAAATAAAAACTAACGCTAGTATCTGTTTCAGATAGAGGTAAGTCCTAACGTCACCCAGAAGAAGCTTATTAAGTTTTGTCACGACAACGATGTGGCCGTAACTTCCTACAGTCCTTTCGGATCCCCAGCTAGACCGTGGGCAAAATCTGAAGACCAAGTCGTATCCTTGGAAAATCCTAAAATAGTTAGCATTGGCGCTAAACACGGAAAAACAAGTTCCCAAGTTATTCTAAGATATCTTATTCAGGTTGGGACGATCCCCATACCAAAATCAAGCAATTTGAAGAGGATAGATCAAAATCTGGATATTTTCGATTTCGAGCTTTCTCCTGAGGCCATAGCCACTCTCGATGGGCTCAACACTAACGGACGAGCTATCCCTGCAGAAGAACTAAAGGGATCAAAATATTTTCCGTTTTATGAGGATTAACCAATTGAAATAGTTTTCTGTTAGACGGACATTAATATTTGTAAAATTAAAATATGAATAAAGTAAAGATAATTATTTTATTTCAACTATTCCAATCCATATTGCATTAAAATTGACGTAATTGTAAATCACGCACGCACATTAGCACTAACTAAACTAATTCACTAATCTTTTTACGCAAAGGAAGAATCCCTAAGTTAAAATAGGGCCAATTCGTACCTGTTCAGGAAGCGTTATTTCCCTACGCATATCTGAGATAAAAAAACAGACCAAGCCAAATATTTTTTTCGATAAGATACAGTAATACTATATAATCATAAGTAACGTAATTGATTATATAAATTAACATTTTATAAACCGTGCTGATTCAGAAGTGTTGTTGAGACAATTTCAAGTTCAAGGTACACACCAACATTGTGGCTTGAAAGTTACTAAATATAATAGGAAAAAACCTCAGAGTAATAAATAAAGGGAAGACGGCATTCCCTATTTCAATACACAGTGTAAACATGTAACCTCAACCTATCGTATGTTGATAAACAAATGATATATAAGTAAACACAATGGTCCCTGATACAGTGGCGTACCGAGTTTAGGTTTAAAATCTATCATAATATAAGGAAACCATATTAGACTTTTTAATGGTGTAATGAAGCGATTTTCCGACACCCCACATTTGTGTTATTTTTATTTAATTATATTAATAAATGTAGTTTACTGCACCGACATTATTTTTGGCATTTCAAACGCCGCCTGAATTTAACCCGGTATCGCATAACGCCAAGCCGAGGGCTTGCTAACTCGCACCGTGCTCGACAGTCTTCCGCCAGCCAGCGTAGGGACCAGTCGTGCCGAGCCCAGCCTGCCGTCCAGCCAGCGATACGTCACCGTCGCATGAGTAAGAATTTTACAAGTCCCTCTTAGGAGAACTATGCAGTCGCTGCCGAAGCGTCACCAGGACCTTGAAATTAAGCCGCCGTCAGAGATTTAGTCCACAATGAGCCAGTCCAGCCTGGTAACAACTCCAGCAAGCCGATACTTCACCGCAGGAAGTAAATAAAATTTTACAAGTCCAGCCTAGAAGAACTGCGCAGCCGCCAATCCGAGACGAGGAACCTAGGAAATAAACTGAGTTTGGAAATTCAGTTCCTCGCCAGCCGCCGCAGCAACCAGTCGAGCCGCTTCAGCCCAAGCTACGTCACCGATAGGAATTGGTAAGTCCAGCCTGAGAGAACTGCGCAGCCGCCAGAAGTCACCGTACGAACATTTCCAACAAGCTGCTTTTGGAGAAGAATGGAGAAGAAGTCGACATCGAGCCGTAGCAGCGAGCAGTTGGGTCCATCTCCTGTCATCACAACAAGCCGTCCAATCCAAAGTAAGTAAGGTTCTGCGCATACTCAGTGCGCAAGTCTTCGATTTCATCGGGGACCTGACGAGATAAATGATAATTGCATTGCAGAATTAGTTCCGTCCTACCGCTACTACAGTGCAGACGTATCGAAAGGAAGTAAGTTAAAGGTTTAAGGAATATAGATAAAGATTTGGCTACTGTCCGTTTGTACTAATCATACTTTGTCTTTTCAGATACCCGTCCTCTCCGTGGTTGGGTGCACTGTTGCAATTATCCGGTGTACTTAGCCCCGCTGCGCGTTCGGGTTATAGGGTGTTGCTCTCCCCTCCTAACCGCTCTATGAGTCGAAACGCAGGTCGTCATTAATCATATTTTTTTTCAGAGATCCGTCCATCCGACTCCGTGGTTGGGTGCACTGTTGCAATTATCCGGTGTAGTTGACCCTGCTGCGCGTTCGGGTCATAGGGTGTTGCTTCCCCTCCTATCCGCTCTGAGTCGAAACCAGGTCTGTTTGTCTGTTTCAGCCTGCCAGCCGCCCAAGGGGCGGCTGGCAAGTGCCAAGGAAACTTGTTATTCTTTAATTGTATTTCTGTTTCTTGCGTAGAGATAGTAAGTAGCCAAGCCTATAGTATAGTATATATAGCTTTTTGCTTTTGCTAGCTTTGTTGTTTCCTCAGCCCGCCCCCTGGTATTTGCACGCCGCGCGCCGCTTACCGTCACATTTACGCTTGTTTTGCTAGTACCGCTAATTCTGTGTGCTTTGCTTTAGTCAGGTTGCCGTCTAACCACATAGATACCCGCCACCGTGTAACCGTAGCTTTAGGAGAATAGTGTAGAACTGTATATAGGATTAAACCCGTAATAAATGTATATATTTGTAAACTGTGTGACTTTTATTCCTGTGTGAAATCTAACTCTCTCTAGACCCTCTGGACATACCGTGTCTTCACTGCAGCCAGCCGTCCGTGTCACAGTGGTGTTTCTGCACTGGCGCCCGAGGTAACCGCCGCCACTCAGGCGTCATAGTGACGAACGACGAAGGAAATAGAATTTGATAAAATCAGAAGTGCTCGATTATCTAAGCTTTCATGTGTAATAAATAGACAATAAATAGGAAAAAGTTAGTGGTTTTGTAGTATAACAACCCCGGGTTCGATCGAAAAAGAAAATATATAACATAGTTGTAGCCAGAAATATGTGATCGCAGAGTAAATACATCTAACTTTATTATTTACGTACAAAAGTCTTCAAACTAAACATGTGACACATAGAAAGAACGACAACAACATTAACAACCATTTAACATAAAATGAGAGTGCCAGGCTCACCTAGAGCTCCTGTGGGGAAAGAGCATGGCAGAGAAACCCATGATCGTTACTCTAACTACCCAAATATAAATACAAAACAACCTCTAACAAAAGGCATAAATTAATATCCTTTGCTAATGATAAATAAGACCTGACTTATTTAATGTGTCACTAAATGTCACCTCACTCGAATTAGACATACACACTTCCAAGTAAAACTGAAGAGGTTTGGTGTTAGTTAGCCGGCAGGGCCGGAAGGTACTGGAGTCCCATACGGGAGGCAATTCAGCTATAGTTGAGATTTCGGAAGATCTGTTTTAGCAATTCATTTTTTGTATTTAATTATTCTTTTTTTTTCAGATTCGTTCCTCACGGGCGAAAATGTTAGTGAATTCAACAAGGCCCTTATATGCGTCTTGACATAAAGTGAGCACAAGAAATCAAAGAACAACGTAATCATGATAAAACAAGTTAAATGTGAAACAAAGAAGTTGTTATTGCAATATCTGGGCAGTCACGACAATATATACATATTTTAACATGTAATAAATAATGAGCAATCTTTAATAATAATTGTAACAATTTTACGTTAGAAAAATATACGCCCCTGAGCATAAGACAATAAAGGCTAAACATATACAGAATTATTATCATGAAACGTCTATAATCATCACAATCATAAGATTACATAAAACAATTTACAACAAAGTACTTAGAGAATAATTACCTGCTAACTAATACCGGTTAAACACTTTTAATTTTTCACTACTTATATATTTTCACCGTGCACCGATCGTCTTACTTTGCCCGCCGATCGTCTTATTACCATCTCCCACATTGTTTCATTTCAACTATTTAGGCTTCCTTCCAGAATTCCCCACCTAAGCGTTTGTTTTTGTACTTCCTTTTCATTATTGTGCAACACCCATGTAACAGGTGACGTTGAAGTTGATACGATAAGTATGGTTTTGCACAGTTTCTTCAAAATCTATAATTAATATTTTAAAAACATTTCCAGAACAAAAGAGTGACTAAAGAAAACTCCTCGATTGAAACTGTCATTATACTATAGCTACCAAGCAAACATAATTTTACAAGTATCCAATACTACAAAATATGACCCATTCAATGTCACTGCCTGCTATTAGTTCTATTATTTCGTAGTAGTTCTCGATTACTGAAAAACTACATTTATTAAAATAAATAATTTAAATAAAACTACAAGGAGCAAAAATATATTTCATTAAAATCTGCTGAAATATAAAGAATGCAAAGAAAACAAAACATATTTGTACTAAAAGTAACGGAAAAATGAAATTACATTGAACAACATTTAATTGTATGGGAAAATAAACATGTTCCAAGCACGTTTTAAATGCACACAACAAAAATAAACTGAATTTTGAGCTCATAGCATCGACAGCTCCCTTCACTGGCAATTTCTCGAAGGGGGAACCTTTGAGACGGCACAACCTTTTCATCAACACTGCTAAAAATGTTTGTTAAGTTATTCTTATTACCTTTTTAAAACGTATTACCTTCCAAATGTTGTATTAATAGGGACAGCTCCATGTGTGAGACATCGTTTTCCAGTTACTGTTACCTTAATATCTGTAGCACGGAAATGCTTCGAACAGACATAATTATCCTTTGATAAATCATATTCAGATATGACTAAATTTTCTAGCCACACTGCTCGTATCGCAGGATCTTATGGTATTCTACAAATAAACACAGAGCTAGTGTTAGTATCAAAATACAAACATAATAAATTAACAAATAAAATACTTAGGACACCTTACACCCTTGTAAGAACGCCCATGGAAACAATGTCAAACTTACTTGTGAAAAGAAGTAGTACATATTTGGCTCTTTTCCTGTAATTGTCGGCATATTATACACTGCTTTGAAATTTTTATTGAAATTAAATAAAAAACACAGTTTAAAGACACAAAACACTGAACTCGGCTAATATCGATTTCACAATAATAGACTGTAATAATGGCGTCCCTCATATAGTACCGTTTAATACCTACCGGGCAATGATGCCACTTACGGCGTTTGTTAGGAATTTCAATAAAGTATTTTTTCGGATATTCAGAATCTATAATTATAAAACAAGTTGCAAGGAAATAGTGTCGTAGTCTTATGCAATGTAACTAATTTGTAAGTCGAGGTCAAGAATGAGGTAGATCCTTGTACGTTAATCAATTAAAATGACCGCTGTACCTAGCTATAAAGATAAAAATTTAACATTGGCATCAACGTCAAGGACGTCACAAGTATCAATGTTTGTAAATACCGTACGGCGTCCCTTTTATTTATTAGTCTGAGGAAAAAACCATGTTAGAATGACGTTTTTGCTGTGAAATTTAAATGACGTGAATCTTGAGGATATAATTATTAAAATTAAGGTACATTCATGTATCTGGAAATGTCTGCAAAATACTTGTACAAATTTTTCTCAACATGCGCTGGTAAGTAGAACGTATGAATTTAGGGACCAGCTGTCAATGTGAGATAATATAATATTGATTTCTGGGTATGTTGTTTATATTAATTACGTGGAAAAATAGATTTTAACGCCAACATTATTTTCTAAGTAGTTATTATGGTTCACACATGTAGAAAAATTAGTATTCACCACAGAAACATTCGCAAAATAAATTTTTCAAGATAACTCAAAAGGGGCTAGAAAAAAAAGTTTCGTATAAAAGTTGTAAAGCATACAATTCTACATAAAAATGGCGTATTGACTTTTTCTTGTACTATTAAAATTAACAGAGTTAGGAAGGCTAGAAGTTAAGGGAAGATTTCAGAAATTTAAAAAATCATAACAAGCAGAAAAATGAATGAATTTTGTAATTTTTTTTTCAATCTACTCTAAAAAACCGTTCTTTTCAAAGAAATAGATTTATTTTCTAATTTTTAATAACAAAGTTGTAACAATTTCTTTGTTGTTCACTCCCTAAACAGAGATTTTAACGAAAACCTCGAAACAGGTCAATTTAATTTTGTCAATTTGTTTACATAAATCATATTTTTAATTCTTTTTGAGTAAACATGATTTTTTTTATAAATAAAAAAAATATAGTTTTTCTGAAGTAAAAAATAAGGGTAGCACGGAATCACTTGCGAAATATTTGTTTTTTATAATAAGTAATTTCCATTTTGTTTCATTTCAAAATATTGATTAGAACCCCAGAAATTTAGAAAAAACTGTTTTGGGGGGCGAACTTTGAGGGTGTAATTCACACCGTTAATATGTTTTTCCGCCGATAAAAAAAATACGTGTCTCTTAATTTTTTATGTTCTACAACATATATAAAAATCTTGAAAATCGGAGTGTGCGGGTTGGGGTAGTTTCCTTGTAAGAAAATTTCTTGTCCTCTTAATGTTTTGGACAGGCAATTATATGATCTATATTTATATTATTGTTATCACTATGTTATTATTAATATAATTCAGACTACAAGTTTACAAGTATTAATAAATAAGTTTCTACATGTTTTACATAGACAAGAATGCGTAAAAATATCGAGCTTTTACAAAATTTAAACAACAAAAAATATTAGTGCTTATTAATATTTACCTTTTTGAGATTAACAACGGATATTGAGCATACAATAATTTAAAGAAACACGTTTACTGACGCACGCGCATTGACAATGATGCACGAAATAATCTATCTCCGTCATAAGCATACGAGTTGTCCACGATTACGGTACCATGAGTGCAACAAAGCGAACGTGATTTTTTATCTTAGGAGCTAAAAGATAAAAAAGTAAATAAATTTGTATCTGTCTAAAAAACAAACGTAAAAAAAATTTCGAAGGCAACTTTTCATTATTTCAAATAATAAATCGAATAGTATAAAAAAATTTTTTAGTTTAATCATTAAAATTAACGATTAAAAATTTGAAATTGTTATAACTTTCTTATTAAAAATTAAAAGATATATCTATTTCGCTGAAAAGAAAGGTTTTTTTTAGAGTAGATTGAAAAAAAATACAAAATTCATTCATTTTTCTGCTCGTTATATTTTTTTAAATTTCTGAAGTATTCCCTTAACTTCTAGCCTCCCTAACTGTTAAGTCAAGACGCCATTTTTATGTAGAATTGTATGCTTTACAACTTTTATACGATACTTTTTCTTCTACCCCTTACCCCTTTTGAGTTATCTTGAAAAACCCCTTTGTTTTATCTTTTTTCACCCTTGACCGGGGGTGGAACAAAAAATTACTGTCATTTATTGTTATAATATACCTCGAACTAACTCATATCAAAAATTCAGGCAAGTTAACCAAATTGCGATTTAAAGGCTTATTTAATTGGACTACTACTTTGATTTGAAATCTGTTGTCGCATATACAGGGTGATTCCTAAATGAACCGACACGGAGCAGGGCAAGAACTGAAGGCCATAGCCTATGTACATAGTCGCCACTAGTTATAGACATATTGTACTTCCTTAGCCATAGCTAGGAATCTTTGATTTTCCCTTGTTGTTCTCGGTCTAGGCTCTTGGGGGCGGCCCTGCTATCAGAAGCCCTAGACTCCCTTTGACGATCGTAAGGCTTCTGACAGCGAGTCCGCTCCCAAGAGTCTAGCCAAAGACAAAGGCATGTCGAAGATTTCTACCTAAGGCTAAGGAAGTTCAATGTAAATCTGTAATTGGCAGTGACTGAAAAACCGTCGTACTTTAAATGAGCATATTTTCTTAAGAAGGCTCTATAGTAAATAGGCAACCAGCAATACATTTTTATAAATTTTATTACATAGTTTGTCTGAATATGAATTAATGCACAAATAACAGACTTTCCTCCATTTTAATGCAGATTTTCTATAAGATGGAGTTAGTTTGAAACTAAAATTACTTTTTGTTGTAAAGAAATTTGTAATTTGCCGCTTTTGAACCAGCAAATTCCATTTAAGTCGAGTGAGATAACTTTTTACAAATCGCCCTGTCTTATCCTAATATGCACGGCTATACTATTACCATTTTAATTACATTCAATGATTATCGTCCTATTAATATTTATGGGACAATACACAAGACTATAGGTTGAATTAAACTATTTATCACATAACAGTTAGTTCCACGAACAAGGTAGGCTATGTGTAAAAAACATTGAAATCATTCAGTTGTTCCATTTTGTACGTGAATTCCTTCTTGTTGCATTTGTTCTACGCAAACAGATCACTTGACATAAATTCTAGAAAATACTAAAAAAAATAGTTCTTGTATTAACAAAGATTCTTATGGTAGGTATTAAATGATGTATTATTTACAAATCTGATTAAAATCTGACAAAAGTATTTGTCGGGTGCGGAGCACCACAAGAATTAATATCAGTATTGTTAGAATAGTATATTTCTATGCTACCTACTTTTACGTCTACATAGTACATATATTTATATTTTCACTTGTTATTCCATAGAAGTTTATTTTTTGTTAAAATTATTAAGATTTTTGAAATTTGTATCGAAACAGTAATAAAGTTTATTTATTTTGACAAGTTTATTTAATTAATTTCGATATATTTTTTAAAAAGTTTTTCATAAAATCTAATTCGGAGAAATACGTATTTTAAATCTCTTTCCTCATGTTATTTCAAATGTCGACTCATTTATCTTGCTTTTTAATGTTATCTGGCAAAAAAATGGTTATAAGTCAACCAAGCACCCGACAAAAGTTTTAAAAGTCGGCGCCTATGGAACAAACCCGTTCATCGCCAAGAAATCCCTATTAAATAATTGGTTCACTGAATATGACTTTCATAAAAAAAATAAAGTAAATAAATCTTCATAAATATTTCGCAATAAGAGATAATGCCACATAATCATTTATTACATTTATTTTTAAAAGTGGTCAAACTGGTTAGATTTTATTCGTGATTAAAAAATACGCTCCAGAAATCCATTCATTCGTGTGTGATTTTTCAGGAAAAATGGCGCCAGCGGTTGTGCTGAACAACGGTGTGAAATGTCCGCAGATAGGACTAGGCACCTGGCTGGTAAGTGATTTGATGTTTGTATATATGTATAATTACACGTTAAAAATACCTGACCTTGACTGGGTTTGAGGTAATATTAGTAGGTAGTCAGTAGCGTCGTTGAAGCAGTTCTTTGATGGTATCTATTGTTATTAACAGAAAATACCAATCTAATTCCAAAATTAAACTAAGGTTATTTGTATTTAAAATGTTTAATCATTAATTACCTATTGATTCCCAATTATGAACAGAGCATCTTACATTATTCATGAAATTTCAAAGTCTAGCTTTCAGTACTTAAATTGTGATTATATATTTCACCAAACTCCATCAATCTTCACTAAACTGCCTTTTGAAGATATCTATAATATTTTCCGCATCTTCCAACCTCGCTGATAGCTGCATCACTTCCTTCCTCTTATTTTCATACGCCTCGGAAATATGCTGCAAAGCTATTTCAGTATCAGCAGAAACCCTCTTTGCCCGGTTGGCTTCGTTCAGCTCCTCAATCATCTCCTTCTTCAACTTCAAATTGTCGTTTTCCAAATCAGAGATGACTTGTTTCAGTCTGCTAACCTCGTCTTCCAGTTCGATGTTACGTTTGGAAGTGAGTTTTGCGTCCTCGATGGCGTCCTCCAAGTCCTTTTTGTAGCTTTGCACATCTTCGGCCAACTGTTCACTTTCCAATTTCAGCTTTGTGTTCTCCACCTCCAGATCTGACAGTAGTTGTTTCATGTCCATTAACTTCTCTCTCAAGATGTACTTCTCATCGTCCTCTCGCAGTCTTCTTATAGTTTCCTTGGCTTCTGCGTACTTCTTTTGTTCCTCTTCCAACTTCTGGTTCAGCGTTACGATTGTCTCAGAGATGGTGTCGTGTGGTACTGAAATGTTTAGCCTGTCTGAGTGAGAGCTCAGCTTCTGTATCATCTTTTCCAGGTCTTGGGCCGATTTGCTTATGTCGCTGTAGGATTTCTTCTCTTGGTCTATGTCAGCGGCGCTCAGACTAGGTGCATTAGACTTCAGGCGTCTTAATTTAGACTTTAAGCTCAGGTTTAAGGCTAGAAGATTGTCCTTCTCGCGTTTCAGCGCTTGGAATACCTCTGGGCTCACTGTTGACAGTTTCAAATTCTCTAGTTGCGCCGAGAGACGATTTACGTCATCGTGAAGTTTTTGATTCTCGTTGTAAAGGAACGTTTGATTCTCCAGTAGCTGCCTGTTTGCTTCAAAATCGTGTGTATCGTCGTAGTGCATTGTATCTGTTGCCATTATTACACTTGGAATTTAAAGGGTTGTTTGGATTTTATTAGTTTGACATGTCGGTGACGGATTGTCACGTTAGTGGCGTGCGCAAAACATGCACAACTGTTCGATCAGTAACTATTTGGCAACTATAACCGAGTGGTAATAGATGGCGTTTCAAATTTTAACTTAACAATATTCGGTGATAGCACTTAACACAATTAAAAATCGTTCGATATGTTCTAGTCTAATCCAGGGGAGGCACAAAAAGCCGTGAAACACGCTATAGACGTTGGCTATCGCCACATAGACTGCGCTTGGTTGTACGGAAACGAACAAGAAATTGGAGAAGGGATAAAGGACAAAATAGATGATGGCACTGTTAAACGCGAGGACCTATTCATAACCACCAAACTGTGGAACACATTCCACCAAAAGGACCAGGTTATACCAGCTTGCAAAGATTCTTTGAAGAACCTCGGTTTGACTTACTTAGACCTGTACTTGATGCATTGGCCGGTGGCCCAGAGGAATTTGGGAAAATTCGACAAAAATCTACCGTTCAAAGATGCCGTGAACATCGACGTAGATTATGTCGAGACATGGCAGGGTTTGGAGGAGTGTGTTAGACTTGGTTTGGCAAAATCCATAGGAGTTTCTAACTTCAATAGCAAGCAGTTGGAAAGGCTCCTTTCTTGCGCAAAAATTAGGCCAGTAATGAATCAGGTAAGATTTTCATAATTCATTATTCATTTAAATGATTTTATAGTGATAGGATAGTTTTTTAAGTTCATATACTGAAAATTCAGTCTCATCAATGTATCCAAATGTCTTTCATTTTTAGAATTATCTCTGTTGCAAAATATTTGAAGCCGGTTCTGTTGATATATATTAGAACCTGTTACTCAATTATTATCATGGTTTTCATAACTGTGTTTTAACCTATTTAACACTATTTCGACTGTTAATAGATTTATCTACTTTTAATGGTTCTAAAGGTCCCATTCTGGTTAAATCCAATTATATTTGTATGCTATTACTTTACTAGTTTGTGTATTTACTTTGTTTCAAACTGGAAATAATTTAACTATGAACAATTTAAAACAATATAATAGATAACTTCATAATATGCAAATAAGTACTATAATGTGGTCTAATCTAACATATTTTCAGATAGAGGTAAACCCTAATCTGAACCAGAAGAAACTGATAAGTTTCTGCAAAGATCTCGACATAGCTGTGACTGCCTACAGTCCCCTCGGGTCACCAGCGAGGCCTTGGGCAAAACCAGGCGACCCTATACTGTCCCTGAATGACCCCAAGCTAATTGCAATTGGAAAGAAGTATGGAAAAACCAGCCCCCAGGTTATCTTGAGATACGTTCTCCAGTTAGGAACTATTCCAATTCCCAAATCCAGCAATCCCAAGAGGATAGAGTCGAATTTCGAACTGTTCGATTTCGAGTTAAGTCCTGAAGATATGGCCATGCTTGACTCGTTTGATTGCAATGGAAGAGCTGTGCACGCAGAGGAACTGAAGGATTCCAAGTATTATCCTTTCAAGGGTGTGGAGTTTTAGGTGGAAAAAAGTTATGTTTAAGAAAGTTTACTTATATATCCTGTGTAAATTATACTGTCGATTGTTTTATTACAGAAAAATGTTTTTACAAACCGCTTCCAAAAAAATTGTATCAACGACTGGAAGGAAGCGAGTGGAAAATACCGTGACACACGGTGACAGTTCCAATTTAGTGAAAGCCACGTATTGTTATTCTTCTTTATCCATTAATTAATGCTCTCTTAAGTGTTATTGTTGTTTACTAATAAAGCTAAGGTCACAGGATATTATCGCGATGCTAAATACATATTGTTTTATCTTTAAATGATGTTAAATAAAAGGCAAAATCTATAAAAACAAACTTGACACAAATATTTTCGTTTAGAGGCTTTGATGGAGTGTTTTTTTTTTAATTTATCTTGTAATATTCAGCAGAGATTGTTATTTGTAGGGTATGAAAAATATTCTGAAAAATAAATTATTTTATACATAAAATAACTGACTATTTGTTTTTATAAAATTATAGGTCTGATTCTATAATAATGTTGAGTTTCAGTGTTATGTTTATCTGTGACAAAGCAATACTTATTGATTTGACCTATATTTTAATAATTTATAGACAAGCCTGCGAATTAAGGTATAAAAATATTGATCAATTATGGAGAAGTACAAGTGTTTAATATTAATCGCATGTGTATATATTTATAAAACAGTCTTGTGAATAAATTTGGTACTGTTTCTATTTCAGTAAAATTAATCCTGCTTTAAAAAAAACACGTTTATGGCTACCTCACAATACAAATACAATAATGTCATTTTTATTTAAATATTCCAGTTGCAAGAATTTCATACAATTTATTTGTTATTTAGCTCTAACCTGATTTATTTCGTGATATTTATTGTATTATTATCTGCATAATCAATCATTTTCATGAAATGCTACGATAAAAACTATAACACGATACAACAGCTTTAACTTATCGTAATCGAAAGCTACTAATTTCAGACTAATTGTATTCTTTTATCAGATATTACCCTATTCAATAATTTTCTGATAAAATTTTGTTGCTGATTGTTACATAATATCGTGAAATATATTAACAAAACAGCAAGGTAAAAGATGATAATTGCTTAGCTACGATTTTATTTTTTTTACTATTAGTTACACCATCCGTGAAAATGACAAATCGAGACAAATACTTCAAGCCATCTACGTTGCCCCACTATACATACAGGGTGATTCACAATTTATCCAAAAAAATTTGGGAATAGATGCGGCATGAGAAATGGAGTCAATATTGTAAAAAAATTTTTGTAAAATCTTTATAATTTCTGGGAAAAAAATTATTGAAGATATAGCACATTAAACCCCTACATAGCTGGACAACTGTAATCTCTAGCGTCATCCGCAATACGCGTGGAGAGCCATGTGACTCCTAATACTGAAATCCGTCGTTGCGGTAGTTTTTACTTGTTATCTGTGGTATTTACATAAGTTTTTTAGTAGTTAGTGTCAAAATGGCTTGCGTGTATAGCAACTCAGAGTTGATGGATATCGTTTTAATTTATGGTGAAGCAAGACAACATTTGTATTATGGTGAAGTATTTGTGTTATGGTGAAGCAAGACATCATTTGTGTTAGTTCGTAGAAAGTGAGTAAAACGGACCCAAATGTGTTTACACGTGAGTGGATAAAATTTTGAACAATTGCTGTTGCAGCATCGGGTATGTCAAATGATTTTATTATTTAAAAACACAAATTAATTTTATTAATAATTAATAAAGGCAAAAGCATTTAAATTTGCCAATATAAAATAGGTGCGATAAAATTCTATTTACATATTTCTTTCCTTTCGGCAGTTTTTGTCCGTTTTTATCACGCCGCCATACCGGTCGCATTGTGCGAGGTCAGGTTTTACAGTGGACCAGTTTCCAGTGCCGTGCAGAAGTGTATTTTTAAATCAATTTCGAACTGACCTTTTTGATTTTTTTCTTTACGAAATTGTATTTGTAAGGGTACATCCAGAATTTTTTTTTTGGATGAGCTGAATCACCCTGTATATGTCGCAACACAATAGCAATACCTACTAAATAGCATCGCTGAAATTTAAGAAAATACGTAGAAACAAAAACAATGGTCTCATTTAGCATATTTCCACCAGAAAAACAAATTCAGCAAAAAAATTAAAGGAACAGAAAAATTTCCAAAATTTTGTCTAGTGATTTTTGAAAGGCTGTAACTTCGTGAATAATGGTTGTATCGAGAAAAAAAAATGTGTCTTAAAGCTTGAAAATTCTAGTTATGAAATCTTGAGTTGAAAAAATTTTTTTAGCATCACTCGGCATAATCAAAAGAAATAATACAAGGCAAAAATTTTAAAATTTTTTTTTTATAACTGCACATGGGCTTAGAAAATTTTTTCTGGCTTAATCAATGCCAGGGTCATTTAGCCTGATTCATCAGCTTCAATTTGGTATTTTTTTATTTTCTGTACGATTCTTTCTCATCGAGATATCGGCTATTGAGTGAAAAGTGACCTTTTTTTTTATTATCAGCAAACGGAAGGTGGGTTTTAGAAACCTGAATCAATCTACAAGGGCCTTTTTCAAAATAAAAAAAAAAATAGTAATGAAAAAATTAAATTTTTAAAAATTTTTTACTTCATTTCAAATGTCGAGAAAAATTTTTTTTTAAATTAAAAAAGTTGAAAAATTTAATTTTTTTCGAATTTTAAAAAGAAAATAGTGACAAAATATCAATTATTTCAAATTTTTTTTAAATTTTTTAATCCTTATTTTTTACAATTTTACTGAATATTTCAAATGTCCAGAAGAAAACATTTTTTTCAATTAAAAAAATAGTTGAAAAATTTTATTCTATTTCAAAATTTAAAAAAATCGAGTGAAAAATATCAAACTACAAAATTTTTTAAAATTGTTTTACGTCCTCTTTTATACAATTTTACTATGAATATTTCAAATGTCGAGAAAAAAAAATTTTAAATTAAAAAAAAAGAAGTGATTATTAAAAATTAAAAAAAAAATCGTGAAAAATAAAATTTTTCAAAATTTTTTAAATTTTTTTTACGCCCTCTTACAATCGTACTTTGAATATTTTAAATGTCGAGAAAAAAAATTCTTTTTAAATTAAAAAAAGTTGAAAATTTGATTTTTTCAAAATTTAAATAAAATCAAGTGAAAAAATATCAAATTTTTTCAAATTTTTAAAAATTTGTATACGTCTTTTTTTACAAGTTTATTTTGAATAAGTATTTCAAATGTCGAGAATTTTTTTTTAATTAAAAAAAGAAAAATTTGATTTTTTCAAAATTTAAAAAAATCAAGTGGATATTAAATTTTTCAAAATTGTTTAAAATTTTTTTATGTCATCTCAATGAGAAATAATCGTACATAAAATAAAAAAATACCAAAATGAAGCTGATGAATCAGGCTAAATGACCATGGCATTGATTAAGCCAGAAAAGATTTTCTGAGCCCAAGGGCAGTTTTGAAAAAAAAAAAGAATTGTAAAATTTTTGCCTTGCATTATTTCTTTTGATTGCGCTGAGATTGATGCTCAAAAAAATTATTCATCTCAAGATTTCAAAACTAGAATCCTCAAGCTTCAAGATGCTTCTTTTTTTTTCTAGATACGACCATTATTCACGAAGTTGCAGTCTTTCAAAAATCACTAAAAAAAATTAGAAATCTTTCTGCCTCTAATTTTTTTGCGGAGTGCAGTAAAATAGAAATTGAGACTTTTTCTAAATATATGCCTAGAATTTATTAAAAAAATTATTGAACTTGATTGTTTTTTTACTTATTATGTTAATAATAAATTGTCTTTCACTGGACACTTTTAGGATTTACCCTGTACAGTGAAATGTTGACCAAAATATTGCATAATTCTTCTAAAAAAATTATACACAATCTGATGATATTCAGTTAAAAGAAAACCAGTGCAAAAAGTAACGCTTAGAAATTAGAAGTTTTAAAAGAGAGATTATTAGCCAAAGTTCATACTCATCTTAATTGAAAAATTTGATCGAGTTGCACATGATTTTCCCTCATGATTTCCTTTTAAAAATAATCATTTGACATAAATAGCACAAAACAACCAACTGTGGAATTAAATCCACTATCTTACGACGATAAATAGACGCATGCACGCTATCAGTTTGTTTGTTAGGGGCCCTGACACTCAGATAAACAAACTGAATAAAATAAGCATAATTATAACAAATCAACACAAATTCAAATTAAACACATTCTCTGTTAAACCATAATCGGAAATATTTTGCTCGATGGAGAAATTAAAATCAGACCTTTTTTACTTATCGAAGAAAGCCTTTACACATTATTTATAGAAATTGAATCGTTAGTCTTAAAAATAAAATTAGTTCCTATTTTTTTTTTCTAGTATTTTTGACCCCTGTTACGCCACTGCTCGTTATAATTTTTCGTTGAAGCGTCTAACAGACCTATTCTCGTTCAATTTCCCAGATTTACAGGTAGGCCTTGGTCTATACAATTTAAAAAATTATCTACATAGGTTGCAGCAAAGAATGGCAGCTACGTGTTCGATCCCAAACAAACTACAAGCGAGTAAACAAACACTGTTGACATTGAAACATAGCGGCACACACACATAAGGTTAAGTTAATATTTATCTGTAGATATTCCCCGATTTAATTAAAATTGTATTAAATGAACATGTAATGAACTAGATAAGCGACAAGAGTACGAGTAAATTGGTACTGATATATATCTTATAAATCAGAGTGATATATTGAAATAAGCCAGTTAATCGGCGGTACCCATCGAATATTGTAAAAATGGCGAAAGTCCCCAGAATCAAGCTGAACAATGGGCTGGAGATTCCGGCCTTTGGGCTCGGCACATGGAAGGTAAGTTACCTACATACATATTTACTAACGTTGTTAGGATTGTGTTACCTGCTATGGTAAAATTAGAGTTAATTTGTTATTATGAAAAGCTTTAGTATTGTTCAAGGTTAAATTCTAATTAACAGCAGTGGCGTTACGTGATTTGTTGTAGCACAAGAGTCGAAACGTAGATTTTGTTCTCAGATAAATATTTTAAAAGTTAAGACTGTTATTTTAAAGAGACAAATAATTGCCAAAGTACAACAATACGTAGAATTGGAGAAAAAGCATGTATATATTTCGATACGGTTAAAGTGCTTTACATGAATTAAATATGTAATCAATTATGTAAGTCTCTGGGTATAAACCAAATGTTTCCACTGTTATCACAATCAAACTGCTACTGGTCGTTATTTTTAACTTTTATCAACATTGAACGTAAGCCTCCCACTTTAACTTCAGTTAATGACGTTATATTTCGAAGGTTGAAAATTATTTTTCATCTTTAAGATCATCAGGATTACAGTAATAAAAAATGTGGTAATTTTGCTCTCTAAACTCAATTTTGTAAAAAATAAAATTCAACTATTTGTAAATCTATTCACACTGTCTTAAAAAACATGAGGTAATATTTACGGAACATACAGGATGTTCAATTTAAAACTCCCGATTATATTTAGTCCCTCGTGTATGTCTCTAGAGGACATCTAGGAAAAGCGGCGCAAACTAGAAACAAGGCGATAGCAGCGCAACTAGTTGTCAGGCAGAGAACTACGTTTCGCGCGAAAAATATAAACTGGCAATAGAACTGTATCTGCTTTTTATCCTAGTTTTACAAAATAATTTTTATACAAAACTTGTGTTGATATTTTAGCTCATAATACATGTTACATGAACATTCAACTGTGTTCATTTCGGAATAATTTCAAGTAAGGATGGAACATTGTATTGTATAAAGATAAGCACTAGAACAAAGAAGTATTGTCAAGTTACCAAGGACTTCTAAGAAACTTAATTGCATCTCATCAGCTTTTGCTGACTTAAGACTAAATGAACTTATAAAAAGCCCTTGTAACAAAGCAAAAACACCTTAGTATCAGTTTTGCTCACGACAGTACCCCTTAGTTTGATGTAGCATTGTTGCAGTATTTTGTGTCAATAAATTAGTTAAACCTTAGTTATTTAAATACAAAAAATTCAAAAGTTAAAGTAAATCTCCCAAAATGTAAAAAATAGTGCAAATTTGCAAGAAATAAAGTTTTTTTTTTTAAAAAGCTAACCGCTCAGTCACGGACGCAACATACATATTCATAAGGTTTAGTATTAGTTTCGACCGATAAAATATGGGAACAGAAAATGTTCATATATTTTTTTTCAAACAGTTATTTAATTACGTTAAAATAACAGAAAAATATTTCTTAGAACAAATAATACACACAAATTTTTCATAAAAAAACATTAGTGTAAAACTGTTAATGATAATTTGTGTCATAAAGTGTTAGTATGTATGTATACAGAGGAAGTATAACCCGTTATCTAAAATATAAGGTGAATTTGTTTAAAAAGTAAAAATCTTTATTTATGCTTCCAAATCAATGCTTTCGGCTTTTATTTCCTCGAGCGAGTCTTAACGGTGTCTATAGTCTTTTGAGTTTAGGGAATAGCTAAAAGTCACTCGGTGCGAAATCAGGTGAATAGGGTGGTTGTGGAACGATGTGCACGGTGTACGGTACTAAAGGCCTTCAGTAACATCCTCAACGTTTTCGCGGCAGAATATTCATTCCCCAAACAAAAATCTTTGCTCAACAAAATCAGACATAGTGAAAATCGATAATGTCACTTTCGTATGTTTACAAAAATACGAGTAGCTCTGCAGCAATTGAATATATTGACTTGAAACTCTGCATAGATATCAAGGACAGTACTACCAACCTAGAAAAACAATTGTATGCTTTCATAATATACGCGAATTGTAAATAATTAATTGACCTTATTTTTTGGACACGGTTAATGCAACTCTGAATATAATATCCACAAATAATAATTGAAAACTCACCTTCGTTAAATATCAAACGTAATTTTGCGCATGCGCCGAACCGAAGATACTCGAAATCATGCCACGATTCCGCATTGTGACTACAGAACAGAAACCACAGATTGATCGTTTGCGCAGAAACTGGATCAGTTGAGACATAGATTCGGCTATGATTTGGTAATCACGATTAAATGATTCTCTGATTCAGATTTGCTCATAACAAACAGTCGAAATGAAATATAAACCAACGGACGTGGGATTTTAACCTTAAAGTAAAATAAAATTTGTTCTAATCGTTCCCTAACCAATCCCAAACCACTAAACTCTTGTTTTATTTCCAACAAACTGAATTGGAATTGCAAAAAGTTGAGCTTGATTTAAAAAAGAGTGAATTAATTTGTAAGTTGTGACAAAAGATTAAAAGAAATCGAGATGAATAATTGAGATGACTAAATAAATAAAACATGTTGTGGTAGTACCTTTCCTTCCAGTGATCTTATTTTTAACTCCACAATACTTAGTTCACTTCCCATGAACTCCTTTTTAGTTCACAAGAAATTAATTTCTCCAATACCAAATTGTTATGAGATATTTTCTAATCCACTTACCTTTTTAGTCTAAACCAGGCGAGGTGGAGGAGGCCGTCAAAAACGCCATCGACATCGGCTACCGCCATATTGATTGCGCCTACGCATACGGCAACGAGAAAGAAGTCGGCGCCGCTTTGAAGGCTAAATTTGCCGAGGGAGTCATCAAGAGAGAGGACGTCTTCGTCACCAGTAAGCTATGGAACACTTACCACAGACCAGACCTCGTGGAGAAGAACATCAGGATAACCCTGAACGATTTGGGTTTGGACTATTTGAACTTGTATCTCATCCACTGGCCAGTTGCGTACAAGGTAACTGAAAAGTCGAATAAAACAAAAAAAATTGAGGCACTTCTATGACTCTCACAGCAAATTTTGTTGCAAGTATTAGTTAAATAGGCTCTAAAAAATCCAGTAAGTTTCATTTGAGTAAAAAAAATAGTCGTCCGCAATATATTTTGTTAAGGCAATGGAAACTTGGTTGAAAGTTAAAAAATTCTTAGTTCTCGTATTTTTTACTGTATTAAAGCTAATTCAAATTCATTTTTTTTTTCTAAAACAACTGAAAGGAACTGATTTTCCAGCTAACCATTTTGCCCTTTTTACTAAATTTGTTTTTAAAAAACATATTTTCTGTTATTAGCTCTCTATCTCTCTCGTATTTTTTTTAAACAAAATTTCCTCATAAAGAATATTAAAAAAAATTCAGTAAGCTTAAATTAGGAGAACTAGGTGGTCATCCACTATATTTAAAACATTTTGTAATTATTAAACTATCATATTGTTAATTTTATCGAGCAACTTAAAACACGAATATCAGAAAAGCTTTATCTCTTTTAAGTGAACCCTATTAAGTACAAAAATATAAACTGCTTTTTTATTTAATTTTGAAGAGCAGCACTTAAACAACAAATTAGTAATTGCGTCAGTTGTGATGGATAACGCTTGATAACATTCTAGAGAAGCACTTTGGAAGATAAATATAATTTCAAACTGATTAACATTTTTTCAACAAATATTTGAAAAAAAATTGATCTGATTGAACCTCTTTGATATCAGATTTTTTCCTTCTGTAGGAAGATGGGGAAAATTTCCCGTTTGACGCAAATGGCAAAATGCAATTCAGTCATGTCGACTACGTAGACACATGGAAAGCTATGGAGGAATTAGTGAAGAAAGGCCTTACAAAATCCATCGGAGTTTCAAATTTCAATAAAAAACAATTGGAAAGGATCCTTAGCGTGGCTACTATCAAACCAGTGATCAACCAGGTATATAAGTATAAGAATTTTAATATACGGCCCCTACCCACCCACAAACTACTAAGTCATAGTATTTGTACATTGAGAAATATGTGAAACAAGCTATAAATATTCCTTGATATTAGACAACTCTCCAAACATCTACTACACAAAATTCTAATTTTACGCAGGTCGAATGTCACCCATATCTCAACCAGAGGAAGCTTATCGACTTCTGCTGGTCAAAGGGCATCGTCGTAACAGCGTACAGTCCCCTAGGGTCTCCCGATCGCCCCTGGGCCAAACCTGGCGACCCTCAACTCATGGACGATCCAAAATTGCAGCAATTGGCCACAAAGTACAAGAAGAGTCCCGCACAGATACTACTGAGGTATCAGCTAGATCGCGGCGTTGTCACCATCCCCAAATCCGTGACTAAGTCTAGGATCCAACAGAACTTCGAGATCTTCGACTTTAATTTGAGCAAGGAGGATATCGCCTACTTGGATACCTTCGATTGCAATGGAAGGCTTTGCCCGTTGACAGCGTAAGTAGTTCTGGATATGGCTCAGATTATGCAAAAAATAAATACGAAGCTAGTCATAAAAATAGTATATGAACAGGCATCAAAATAAAACCTGCTTGAATGCAATAATTATTAGCAAAGTTGAAAAAATATCTTGCAAAAATGGTCTACTAATATATATTTTTTTTTTTCAGAGGTTTGGGACACCCCCACCATCCATTTGAGAAAGACGAATACTAGACCTTATCTGTTTTTAATACGTAAATAAAAAATATATTTGTACAAGCAAGTATTACTTAAATAAAGATTACATATTATTTCTCAAAAAAAAAATAACAAAACTATTATGTACCTCTAATAACAAACTTCCCTTTAGTCGGACTAATATTCATAAAAAGCCGTGGTTTTAAGACTTTCAAAGCCCATACTGTTATATATGTGCCAAATTGCTGCCGTAAAATACATTTAATTGTCTTTAGTTCGGAATATCTAACCTACCCTTGTTCTTCTCGGGCTACACTCTGTGGGGGCGGATCCGCTCCTTAGACGCCCTTACAACCACAAGAACCGAAAACATAATCAAAGCCTAAGGATTCTGATAGCGGATCCTAACTTAGCCCGCGAACAACAAGGAGATAAAGATTACTAGATCGGGTTAACGAAGTGCGTTGTAAAGGCACTTTCACACTTGCCAGAACTGGGTAGTCGGCAACACCATAGAGTTAACGAAGAACGATTATTTTTAAGTGTGTTTTAGCATTCGTTTGACCCAATCGGTAGTAACTGCAGGCTACCCGGTTTCAGTAAGTATGAAAAGACATTAAGTCTGTAATTGGCGGCGACAAGTAGATAGGTCACGACATAACCCAAAAAAACATGGTACTATGGTACAGTCACAGGTACAGTTGCATACCATACAAATATTCTACAGTCTAGTAGGATCATCAAGTTTCTATAAACAGTGGCCACGCTGTCGCTAGTTATAATGTGATCGGTCAGTAAAATATGAAGACAATTTTAATGACAGAAAACACAATATGTTAATTAAATAATAGTTAAAATAATGTTTTCTATCTTTTTTTTATGTAAACAATATAGTACACGACTATGGTGCTTCCAATATAATAACAAAGCAGAATGTTATTACTAAAACATTGATGGTGTTATCAGATGTTTAATATACCTCGTTTCGTAATGTAAACATGTCTCTTTTGAGTGATGTGTTTAATAGTTTACGACTCGTAAAACATTTACAATGATTGCTACCTTCGCATCTCTATGAAAGCTATTTTGGTAGCATTTAGTTGTGCAGCTTGGATAATTTTAGCTTTTTTCCAGTAGTTAACTTAATTATAGCACATAAACAGTAAGAGAGCATAAAAAAAGTGATTTGTAGAAAAATATTAGGCTAATGAAAAATTATATTTATAGAAATATGTATATTTAAAAAGGACAGAATTGGTGTGTCATTGCAGTTGAAATACGTTTAGACAACTTGCACTTTGTTAGGCCGATAAAAGTTAAGCAAACAATCTGCGTGTCGCATTCTATTATTAAAAAGTTCAAGTTCGCGAACACTATTATCACTTCTAATTTATTTGACAAAAATAATTGAGGATTTAGATAAACTTGTTATGTTTACTAAATAATTATTACGGTGCTTGTTTGCAAAGTAATATTTGAATAAAAATAGTTAAATAAGAAATCATGCTTTGGTAATACGGATAAAAATTCGTTCAATTGAAAAAAATAAAATAAAATTACTTCATTCATAATTTGAAGGTATGAAGATCAAATAAAGATATCAAAAATCACTACGAAAGTCGGTAAACTACAAAGCCATCTAGTTATGTTTTAAGATCTATGTGACTTAAATTACATTAAAACAAATTTATATTTTTGCCAATTTAATTTTTCATCCGGATTTGTCTGCTTAATACAAAACTAATCTGCAAACAAAAAATATTTCTGTTAATATTTGGAAAGTGAAAAATATAAATACGTTTTTTAAATCAAAATATATATATATATATATATATAGAAATTTCGTAGTGAATGAAATCTTCACAACCACTACATAAACAATTATTATATATTTATCTTAGATAAAATATAATCAAAAGAGTTAGGATTAAACATTATTTCATTTGAACTCGAACTCGAACGAAAATTACATAACAAAAACAAATAATTGTGGAAGATAAGAATTTGTTAACATTTATTTTTGAAGGAATGCTAAGATACTTTAAGTGTATTATTTATTACTATTAAATTTATCAGAATGACGAGTTTAAATTCAAGTATGTCATGCAAAAACATTTTAAAACTGAAAATAGTTGACTTGACCAAAAATAGTATTATAGAAAGCTGTTTTTATTTGTGCGAACAGAAAAAGAACGGACCTGTATACTTTAATATATTAATCGAATAAACTGCCATTGAACGGAATGATTCACTTGACTCACATTTAAGTAACTCTCCCGCATGGAAAAGTACAATTAGTGTTGAAAATTATGTCCCAATAAATTTATAGATCGTTGATTATAAACAACCATTCTTAGCACCATGGAAATAACCGTCACAAAAACTTTTTCATAGAGCAGTACATACAGGATTGGAAAGTCCCCATGGTTCATCGGCCATTACATGAGAGCGATAAAGTAAGTCATAGAAATCCGTGCGATAGTCAAGGATGGCTATAGTGAAGACGTTTCATAATCTGAATAGGCACCGCCCGTTTCTGGTTAGAACTATTCAGATTATGAAACGTCTTCAATGTAACTATCCTTGTCTATCGCACGGATTTCTAAGACTTACTTTATCGCTCTCACGTAACGGCCGATGAACCTTGGGGACTTTCCTAACCTGTATACATATACTTACGTATATTTTATTGTATTGGCAATCCAGCTCCATATAATTTTGCAAATATTTGTTTTTACAAACCATCCAAAAGATTTGTACTGATATTAACAATATTTTTAGAACGCAGTAAAAAATAATAGTAATTTACAAGTTGCGCAAAAACGGATTAAATTTATCTCGGCTAACAATTATAATCAAAATATTATCTCATAATATAATGTACTTGTTTAGAACTACACAAATCTGTAAACATTATATTACTTTAACTTATATGTCTATTCAGAAACAACAGTTAACAAAGGGTTCAAACAAAGTGACTTGATTACTGCTGTTTCTTTCACATCATACTTATCCCTTTGCTGAACAAATATTTAGAATGTGAGCTACTTACAATATACTAGGACAATATTTTTTTAGTTTCTGTTCAGATTTCGTTCTTAAAAAACATGTATTTTTTGATTAAATCAAAAACACAATTCGAAAAACGTTCATTTGACTTTTCGTGATTTAAAATTGTATGAACTACATATTTATCTTTTTCGAATACAAGTTGAAAAACGGTATCAGAAGCAGAGGTACACATCTACTTTCCTGATAAGACATTGCGTAATCAGGTTTGACCCTTGTTCAAATCTCCAGTATCATGCCTCACGGCCATCAAATAAATTAATTCGCAATCAGTTGTGGCGTTCATATACAAATTAAGTTCTGTTGGTGTTACAAGTTTCTGTGATTTTCGAAAATGACGTCGAAGGTACCCTTCATCACCTTCAACAACGGACAAAAGTTTCCCATCTTTGGTTTGGGGACGTGGAAAGTAAGTTTTGTTCTCTCATAATAATTTTGAAATTTTGCGGCAGAATTTGAATATTTTGCCGCCCATTTTTGTTCTCTGTTCAAACACAAATTTAGAAAAATATATAAAATGAATGAAAATATTAAATATTTCAACTATTTTTTCTTTCCCATTAAAAACACCATTAATAAATATTTCTTTTTTAAGTTTTGTGTGTGTCAACATATACAGGGTGTTTGTAAATAAGTGCGAAATATTTTAGGGGCGGTTGCCGAAGTTATTTTTTAAAAAAAGTTCATATAAACGTAGGTCGAAATATGCTTCGTTTCCGAGTGTTTAAATTTTATTTTTTTATTTATTTTTAATAATTATTTTAATAAGAGTTTTAAAGACATTGACTCGAAATTTGAAAAACACTTTGGAGCGATAAATGTACATATATTGGGGTGATCCGAATATTTCTACTTGCACCAGTGACGTTCGTGCGAGAATGCCACAACCTTTTTAATAAAAAAATGGCACGCCACTGACTTTTTCCCGTTTTGATATATTTTTAGAAATCCGTCGTCAGTTCTGAATAAAATTGGCCTCTTCAATTTTTTTGGTAGGATGCACCGTTTTTGAAGAAAAAAATAAAACATTTTATTGCAAGTTGTGTATTTTTAATTTCTGTTGATACATTATCTAGTAGGTTGCTGTCAATATTTCTAGACAACAAACAACCATCAAATTTCAAGTCAATATATTTAAAACTCTTTGAAATAATTAATAAAAATAAAAAATTTAAATTTAAACACTGTATCTCGGAAGCATATTTCGACTTACGTTTATATGAACCTTTTTTCACAAAATAACTTCGGCAACCACCCCCTAATATATTTCACACTTATTTACAAACACCCTGTATAAAGTACCTACATAACCACAATTGTCAACTCTCCCATTTATGAAATATTAAGTAGGTTTTCACAATAACAAAAAAAATATTTTCGATATAAATAAAGTGACTTTTTTGTACATTAAAAAAAGATGTTCTGAATTAAAGTATGTAAGTATTCCAAATTTGAAAACACTGTTTACTTTAATTTTTCGAATTTTGTTGTGATTTTCAGTGATTTATTACAACAAAAAATATCAGAGTGGGTCAATCGTCTTTAAATTTATAAAAATACATACATTTTTATTGTGAATAAATTTCCTTAATTCAATTTTATATAAGTATTTTTTCAGTAATGAAAAAAAGCTACAATTTACTTTTTTATCATACAGGACCGTTTTTTAAAATGCCAAAATTTTATAAAAAAAAAATTTTTTGCTGATACAGTGAACACAGTTTGGGAACACCCCATAGATACATATTAAATACTGGAAAACGAATCAATTACCATATTCAAACCATGTTAATCCACTTAAAACTACATTTGAACACAGAAGCAGAATTTTTAAAAGACTTTTTTCCGTGATATGAAGAATAAAAACGTTTTGCCTCTTCAACTTCAAAATCTTGCTGTTTAACAAAAAATTATAAAAATACACGCTGAAAAGTCTCTTTTTATTAGAAAAAAAAATTGTGGCATTTTGACGAAAATGTGAATTAAGAAAAAACTTATTAGTTTGACTTCATTTGATAGAATTATTAGAAAAAAAATTGAATTTATTCGAATTAGCTTTAAAATAAAGTGAAAATGTACGAACTGTCCAAAAATTATAAATAGTCTACTTTTAGTACGAAGACGAATCATTTAGTGTACTGTTTTCTTTTTGAATACATTTGTCTAAGAACTTTTTCTTTACAGTCTAAACCAGGCGAAGTCAAAGCAGCAGTCAAATATGCCATTAGCGTCGGCTACCGTCACATCGACTGCGCTCACATCTACGAGAATGAACCCGAAATCGGTTTAGCCTTTGCAGAAGTCTTGAACGAAGGCATTGTTAAGAGGGAAGAGTTGTACATTACTAGCAAGCTATGGAACACCATGCACAGGCCTGATTTGGTCGAACCTGCACTCAAGACCACCCTGAAAAACCTGCAGTTAAACTACCTGGACCTGTATCTGATTCATTGGCCCTACGCCTTAAAGGTAAATCATAATTTCGTATATTGAACTTGGTGCCAATTTCTTCAGTTGACACACGCGAATTCCCAAACAATTAGTACAATTCTGTATCATCGGAAAAAATTATCTTAACATCCCACCGTTTTTAGGAAGATGGACCACTGTTCCCAACCAACCCAGATGGGTCACCGACATACAGCGATGTTGACTACGTAGACACATGGAAAGCCATGGAAGAGGTCCAAAAGAAGGGACTCACCAAGTCCATTGGAGTGTCCAACTTTAACAAGAAGCAGTTGGAACGTGTTCTCCAAATCGCCACTATTCCACCAGCAACCAACCAGGCAAGTCTTTGAGTTGATGGTAAATGCCAGCATTGTTTTACAATTCTATTTCTTTGCAGATTGAAGTGCATCCGTACTTGAACCAAAAGAGGTTGATAGAGTTCTGCAAGTCAAAGAACATCGTCATCACGGCCTACAGTCCTCTGGGATCCCCAGACAGGCCATGGGCTAAACCAGATGATCCATTGTTGTTGGATGATCCCAAAATCATTGCACTCGGAAAGAAATACAAAAAGACTCCCGCCCAGGTCGTACTGAAGTACCAAGTGCAAAGGGGTAACATCACCATTCCCAAATCAGTGACCAAATCCAGGATTTTGGAGAACTTCGACATTTGGGACTTCAATCTGACTGCTGAGGATATCGCTCTTCTCGACAGCTTCGACTGCAATGGTAGAATCTGCCCAGCTGACGAGTAAGTTTTTTTTTAAATGTAACGTAAGTAAAATAATTTATTGTTCATTTTTCCAGGGCCTTTTCCCATAAAGACCATCCGTTTTCACGCGATGAATATTAAATATCTGAACAACTACACCACCTTCTGCACGTTTGGAAAAAGTGGTAGTAGAGAATGACTTCTACCCCAACAAAAAAAAAGCCATCAATTAGGAAACTTCCACTCAACATTTGCAACGCACTTTCGCCTTCATTTTGCAATATTCAAATTTATTGTTATAATTTATGTTTCACGCATAAATTCAACAAATTGATTGTACTGTGTACTGTTAATAAATTTTTTGTTTTATAAATCTACGCTTTATTATGTTTCTTTTATTTGGATAATCTTAAGGTAAAACAACAATTATATGTTTAATAATGCGTAAATATTTCCAAATATTTAACCAATGAAAAAAATATTTGTAAAAAATTATTTAACAAAGTCTCCACGAACTCCATTGATGGATATCTGCGAAACCGCTTTTTTAAATTGTGTTGGTGTGATACGGGCCGTGGAGCCTACCAAGATAAAATATTTTCAAGGTCATAGTACTTCCCGTTATACTTAAAGTCGATACTAACTTTCTTATTTTAAATGGAACCCCCTGTATAATATTGCATTTCTGGAAAGAGCATTTATTTTTAAGTTGAACACATATGGCACACTCCATACTTAGGATTGACCGTTTCCGAGATATTTTGATTTTTAGGTAAAAATTTAGTCTGTCAGCAAAATTTAGTTTTTCCGGAAACACAGGTTTATTTTTTTTGTGCGAATTGAATATTTTGTAGAGGAAGATCTAATTTATCGGATTTGACATGAAAAATTTCCAGTTTTTATAGAAGGTGGCCAAAGAAAAAGGATCGAATATGAAATTCAGAAAACTAAATTTGCCTAAAAATCAAAATATCTCGGAAACGGTCAATCCTAAGTATGGAGTGTGCTATATGTTTTCAACTTAAACATAAATGCTCGTTCCAAGAATGCAATAATATATAGGGGGTTTAATTTAAAATAAGAAAGTTGGTATCGATTACCGGTATAACCGGAAGTACGATGACCTTGAAAATATTTTCCCCGATATCCATCGATGGAGTTCGTGGTGAGACACCCTGTATAGTTATAACTATCTTTTTAAACACTGTGTTTAGTTTGTGAATTTCGGTGTTAATGACCTCTTACATAGACGTAGTTTTTAGGTGAACTACATAGTATTAATACGCCTGATGAAATGCAACAATAGGGCACTAGGCAGTCAAAAACAAAAGATCAGCGTTTATTACGCGAAACGAGAATGACCCGATATGTCACCGCTTGATTTTATTATACTTGTTTTAGTTTTCAGTTTATCGGTTTACGAAAAGATGCTGCGTGAAGTATCAGTTTTTTGGTACGGCGTGTTTTTGTGTCCTCATTGTTAAATTTATGCTTCACAGATAAAAAAATTGAATAAGAATAAAACAGATTAGATTTGGCAACAGTGCATACTGTAGCTTGCGCTGGCTTTTAGAGCGAGCATTATTTGAGGTTACACTAGTGGCGGGGTATGAAAACCTCGAAACAGGTAAAAAAGTTTCCACGACGTTGTGATATGTCTCAAAAGATAGCTCCTATACAGAGAGATTCACAAACGGTGACCAAAAATGAAACCACGTATTCTTTGGTGAATTTTAAGGGGTCTTTCGTATAAAGTTTTTATCTAGGACGCTTCATTAACAAGATATAGGGTGTTAAACTTAAAAAAAATAATTTTAATTTTTTTAAATAATTTAAAAACTAGTAAGTGAAATAGTTTGAAATTGGGCACATGTATTTATGTAAAGATTGTCCAAAATCTGAGGCCTTTTTCTAAAATTTAGATGCTCTAGTAGCGGTGGCATATATTTTTAAATAAAATACAGTTATAGAGTCTTTTAATTTACTTACTTGTTTTAAAATATAATATGTAATTTAATGTTAAAGAATAATACTATTATGCATATTACATCCAAAAACTCGATTCTCATTAAAATAAACTTTATAGGTACATCAAAAATGTAATTTCTTGATTTTTTTTACATAAAAATATTGTTTTTTAAGAAAATTGTTTATACCATTGTCAATAATTATTTCTCGAAAAAATGCGAAAAAAAATTAAATTAATTAATAATTATTAATACAGCTAAAAAACTCCATTTTTGATCATTTTTACATTATAATCATTGTTTAAACAATGATCTTGCTGTTTTAAACCGATACTTTTTAGGAAATATTATTTCTTTTTGTCTAAACTAACGATTAAAGCAAGTTTCAATCTGAAACGAATTACCTTTTGATTTACATGTATTACAAATTTCACTTACTGGTCTATTATGTCTAAGTTTTTTAAGATCTGACTGAAATTAAGACAATATGAATAAGTTTTTTAAATAAAAAAGATATATCATAATGTCTGAGAGAACGAAATTTTCAAAACCGCTGCATAAACATTTATTATATATTTATTTTAGATAGACTATGATCAAAATAGTTAGAATTAAAGACTATTTCGTTTGAAGTCGAACTGGTGAAACTTGCATAATAAACACAAATAGTTGTGGAAGATAAAAATTGTTTGTTCACATTTATCTTTAAAAGAATGCTAAGATACTTTAAGTGTAGTAGTTTTTATTATTATTAAATTTGGAGAGGCGATTTTAAAATCAAGTATGTCTAGCAAATACATTTTAACTGAAAATAGTATTTTGGAAAGCATTTATTATTTGTGCTAACGGAAAAAAACGGTCCTGTATATTTTACTCTACCGGTACAAACAGTCATTGTATGGAATGTTCACGTGACGTACTATTGCAAATTACGTCCCAATAGATTTATCAGTAGCTGATGATAAACAAAGCATATAGTACCATGAAGAAAACCATCTCAAAAACTTGTTCATAGAACAGTACATATGTACTTTGGTATATTTTATTGTATTCGAAATCCAGCTGCATGATTTAGTAAATATTTGTTTTCACAAACCATCCAAAAGACTTGTGCTGAAATTAGCAATATTTTCAGAACTGTATTCATAGTATAACAAATAACATTTCACATGTTGTGTAATGATGGGTTAAATTCCTCTCGGCTAATAATTATAATCAAAATGTTATCTAATAATGTACTTGTTTAGAACAGCACAAATCTGTAAGCATTATATACTTTAACTTCTATATCTAATCAGAAAAGCATTTTTTTAAATTTCCGGAGTACCCCTAAAAAGGATTTATAAAAAATTAATATAAGGAAAGTACAGTGCAAATAAATTACTAAATGACGTGCTATTTCTCTCATATAATATTTATCCCTTTGCAGAACGAATATTTAACATGTAAAGTCAGGACCGTACTTAGAAATATAACATAAATTTTAATATATTAAATATCAGTTCATTGTTATAAAAATGAAGTAACTACGTATTTCTGCGAATTTATGAGGGACAGCGAGGGAATAAAAAAACAGAAAAGATGTAAAATTATAAGCGTACCTAGAATTTTCTTTTTCTAAGCTATGTGGTTACATTTTTAATTTATTTATTATTTTTTCGGAATAATGTTCTGAATGATAATACAATATGAAAATAGAGAATATAATATTGTTAGTTTCTGTTTAAATTAGTTCTTAAAAAATAGAAATTTTACGTTTAGATCAAAAGCACATTCAAAATACACACAATCCGAAAAACAGTGTTTATTTAACTTTTCCTCACGTAAAATATATAAACTATGTCTTTTTGAAATAGATAGAATGTATCATCCGACACAGTATCATTGTCAGAAGCAGAGGTAGGTACACATCTAGTTTCCTGATAAGGTGTTGCCCAATCAGGTCCGACCCTGTTCAAATCTCCAGTGTCATGCGTGAGAGACTCACGGCCATCAAATAAATTAGTCTGCAAAGAGCTGTTGCGTTCATATACAAATTAAGTTTCGTTGGTGATACAAGTTTCAGTGATTTTCTAAAATGGCATCAAAGGTACCCTTCGTCACCTTCAACAACGGACAAAAGTTCCCCATTTTCGGTTTGGGAACGTGGAAGGTAAGTTTGTTCTGTCATAATTACTTTGAAATTTAAATATTTTGCCGCTCGTTTCTGGTTCGTGCTGTAGCGCTTAGTGGAAATTTGACCTTGGATTTTGATGTGATTTACATTCGAAAATTTTGTACAGTAACAATTTGTCATTGTTCCAAAACAAACATTTATTTGAAGCAAATGAAAACACTGTTATTACATGCTTCAACTATTTTTTCTTACCCATTAAAAACATCGTTAATAAATAAAATTTTTATGACTGGGTTAAGCTAAATAATGTTTATTATACCTTTTGATACTATAATACTGGAATGAGGCATACGTAACTTTATCGGAAAACAGATGTTTCCTGTATAATGAAACATAATGTTACACAGAAATAATAAGAAAAAATGCACATAGTACTCATCGAACAACAATTATTTATTATGTATTATATAATCAAAATCAAATCTTTATTACACCTTTCAACAATTTTAAAATATCTCTAATGACCGCCTTATCAAATTTATATTGTGTCGGTACTCATTTTCGGGATTAACTATAGATAATAATAACAGCCTAAAATGATAAATTACGTATGTACATACTTTAGCAAAAAATAATTCAATGTGAGTTCTGATATCTTTTTTTTTTAGATAAATTCATAGTCATACATGAAGTGTGTTTAATTTTACAGTGTGAAATATAACATTAAATATAAATGCAAATGCAAAAAAGAAACTTTAATAAATGTTTGTATAACGTTGTTTATACAAGGTGATTCACAAATGATGACCCACTGGAGCACGTAAATTTTAGGAAAAGCCCTCAGATTTTGGACAAAGTTTACATAAATACATGTGCCCAATATCAAATTATTTCGCTTACTAGTTTTTAAATTATTTTAAAAAATTAAAAATATTTTTTGAAGTTTAACACCCTGTATCTTTTTAACGAAGCGCCCTAGATAAAAACTGTACAGGAAAGACCTCCCCTTAAAATTCACCAAAGAATACGAGGTTTCGTTTTTGGTCACCATTTGTGAATCACCCTGTAAATAAGGTGTTGGAAACTACTAGGTCAACCCGTTAACCACATATTCTTTGGACTAAAATAATGGAACTTTTCTTGTCACTTTTCATTTCACAGCCCCATTTTCAAAATAGTGTCAAAATTAAAATTTAAAAAATGATTTTTATTGATTGTAGATATATTTATTTGAAATCGGTACACGTTTTGTGTAATTTTGGTTTAAAATATATGACGCGAACGGAGGAGAGGGGGGTCGCAGTACCCATGGACCTCCTATATTTTTTTTTGAGTACGCCTATGCTTTACACAAAAAGTGTGTCGACGTAAGATCAAAATATGTGCTAAATTTTAAATAATCACCGGAGTTATCGATAAACATCATTTTTTAATTTTTAATTTTGTATTTTGAATTTGGGGCTCCGAAATGAAAAGTGACATAAGAAAGTCCCATTATTTTAGTCCAAAGAAACTGCTTGACCTATTAATTTGTAACACCTTGTATAAAAACTAATTACACGTACAAAATAATATAGAAGGAAGACCGCTTCTTTGAAAAATGATGCTACTTATACAACTCTAGCACTCAAAATTTGCTGACCTAATTTATCCTTCAAACATTGCAACCTGATAATATTGCAACGTAAAAATTAAATAATAATAACAGTTACGTTGTTTCATAATTTAGTAATTCGTTTTGTGGAAATGCACCTTCGAGTCGAAGCAATAATAATAATAATAATTTAATCGGATAATAATTTGTTGTTAAGTGTTATTTGTTGCAGATTTATATAGATCGGAAAAATAAATAATGTACACTATGCTAAGTGTTTGTATAAATAATAGTAAAATATTCCATCAAGGTTAACTTATCCACAAAGGTTCAGTCGACTTTAATTGTCCATAATAGTAGACATAATTTTAATATGGGAACATATACTGTACAGGAAGGGCGATCTACTTATAATAAACATCAAGAAAAATGTTGAGATATTATTTATACGATTCTTTTCTGTATATCTAATGGAGCTATGTACTTTTTTCTTAATTTCATTTTTTCGGAGAAATACCACTGAAGGTTACTTCTAACGAAATACTTTGTATATTTTTACGACACTAATTTTCTATTCTCATTGCCTTTCCAAAAATATATTCTGTATGAAAATTACTTTTCTTAAGTACAGTGTGTCCACGGACAGAGCTGAAAAGATGGAATACTTTTTTATTTTTCGTTTTATGATAAAGTCATTCTTGTAAAAAAGTTATATTGTGTTAAAGTATATAAAAATGTAACATACTTTATTTATGAAAAATTGAGTAGATCACGACAAGAACAAAATAATAATTTTCTAAAGTTGTTCAGTTTGAAAATTTTCCAAATTTTATTGTTTTTTTTTAATTAGTTACTTCATTCTTTATAAATGCCGTTTCTGTAAATTGAGAAAATCCAGTGATTTATTACAATAAAAAATGTCAAAGTAGGCTGATTATCGTCAAATTTGTACATGGACATGTATTTTTATTGTGATTAACACAATTTTTTAATACATTATTTGAAAAAAGACATTTTACCTATACAGGGAATATTTGTTTTTGCTTCTGACAAAGTCTGCTTATTTTTTCAGAAATAAAAATATGATACAAATTACTTTTTTATCGTATAGGACCTCTTACGAAAATGCCACAACTTTAACTTAAAAATTGTTTGTTATTGATACAGTTAAGACTATTTGGGGACACCCTGTACATTAGATTGTATCAAAAAACGACTATTTCAAAAGTGAACATTAGTTCAGGATGTCGAAAAAATCCTGTTAAAATTTGATAATCTCAATTTTTTAAACAAATTTTCAGTTTTTGATTATATTCTACTGAGAAATGAGGATTAATAAATATCTAACTAAAGATTCTTCAAGAATTTCGAAAACTATGTGAGAGATAATTCGAGGGAAATAAAACGATCTACAAAAAAGGTCCTTTGACGTTTTGCGATAAGTTTGTTAGTTTCACGGAAAAAGTAGAAAATCTTGAAAGAGTAGATTTATCATAAAATGATAAGAGACCTTTTTTATAGCACGTTCAGTTCCCTACAGAAATAAATTTTGGTCTTATTAGTACACCTATCCGTAGACAAGTTATAAAATTCCAAATTAAAAAAAAATCCCTCGTTATTTAAATAGGAAATAGAAAATCGCGTTAATGCAACTCTTAATATTAATATTAAGAGCCCAAATTTCAACAGGATTATTTTTTCAACATCATGAACTATATTTTCGATCTCACTTTTGAAAAAATATTGTAAATTTTTTGATACAGACTACTGTACATAGTAAATGCTGAAAAACGATTTGGTTTTTATTTATTCTTTTTGTTTGCACAGTGTATTATTCAATTCCTTTGAAAGCATATTTAAAAATATATAGATTTTATTTGAACTAGATTAAAACAAAGCAAAGATGTTCAAAGTGTCAAATAATTCTAAATAATCTACCTTTAGTACGAAGACAAATCAAATTAGTTCTTAGTTTTTCTTGCCTTTTCGAATCGATCTGTCTAAGAATATAATTTTTTCAGTCCAAACCCGGCGAAGTCAAAGAAGCTGTCAAATACGCCATTAGCATCGGCTACCGTCACATCGACTGCGCTCACATCTACGAAAATGAACCCGAAATCGGTTCGGCCCTATCAGAAGTCTTTAAGGAAGGCATTGTTAAGAGGGAGGAGTTGTATATTACAAGCAAGCTATGGAACACCATGCACAGGCCCGATTTGGTCGAACCTGCCATCAAGACTACCCTGAAAAACTTGCAATTGGAGTACCTGGATCTGTATCTGATCCACTGGCCATTCGCCTTAAAGGTAACAGTCTTAATTTTGTATACGACAAGTAGTTCACTTATCCCTGATTGGAAGAATTTTGCTCAACCCACTTTGTTTTTTTTTTGTATTAGGAAGAAGGTGCTTTGTTCCCAACCAACCCAGATGGTACAACAGCGTACAGCGATGTTGACTACTTGGACACATGGAAGGCCATGGAAGCAGTCCAAAAGAAGGGACTCACTAAATCCATTGGAGTGTCCAACTTTAACAAGAAGCAGTTGGAACGCCTTCTCCAAAACTCCACCATTCCACCAGCAACCAACCAAGTAAGTATTTGGGTTGACGGAAAATGCGAGCATCGTTCCTCAATTCTAAATTCTTTCCAGATTGAAGTGCACCCTTACTTGAATCAAAAGAAGCTGATCGACTACTGTACCTCAAAGAAAATCGTCATCACGGCTTACAGTCCTTTGGGTTCCCCTGACAGGCCATGGGCTAAACCAGGTGACCCACAGTTGTTGGATGACCCCAAAATCGTTGCACTCGGCAAAAAATACAAAAAGACTCCCGCCCAGGTCGTACTGAAGTACCAAGTGCAGAGGGGTAACATCACCATTCCCAAATCAGTGACCAAATCCAGGATTTTGCAGAACTTCGACATTTGGGACTTCAATCTGACTGCTGAGGATATCGCTCTTCTCGACAGCTTCGACTGCAATGGTAGAATCTGTCCATATGACGAGTAAGTTTTTTAAAATTTAAAATGCAATTAAAATTAATTGTTAACTATTTTTTTTTCAGTGCCTTTTCCCACAAGGACCACCCTTTTTCACGCGATGAATATTAAGTATCTGGACATCTACAACACCTTCTACACGTTTGGAAAAAGTGGTAGTAGAGAATGACTCCTGCCCCAACAAAACCCCATCAATTAGGAAATTTCCACTCAACAATTGCAACGCACCATCGCCTTCATTTTGCAATTTTGCAATATTCAAATTTATTGTTATAATTTTTATTTCACGCATAGATACGACAAATTGATTGTACTGTTAATAAAATTTTTGTTTTATAAATCTGTTTTATTGTTTTTTTTTATTTAAATAATCTTAAGGTAAAACAATAATTATTTATTGATAAACGTTTAAATAAATATTTTCAAATAATGAAAGGGATTAATAAATATTTGTAAAAAGTTATTTTTAAATATGCCTAAAGTGAGTATCAAATTAAATTTGAATGTATATTTTCTATTTTATTTTCAAATTTTACTATTCACAGAACTTTTGCTGCAATGGAAAATATTTTGTAAAAATATACAAACAATATTTTTAAAGTAATTATTTATGGCTCTTTTTAAAATTATATAATAAAAAATAAATAAAAACAATCACTAACCTGAGATTTGAAATGTTGTTTAGACATTTCAAGTTTTTAACCAAAACTATCTGTTAGTATTTTTTTAAACACTGGGTTTGGTGTGTGAAACTCTGTGTTAATGGCCTCTTACATTGACCTAGTTTAGGTGAACTACATACTATTAATCCACTTGATAAGATATGACAACAGGGTGCTAGGTGGGTAAAAACAAATGGCCAACGTTGATTAGGAAAAACAAGATTGGCCGATTGAGGTTAACTGCCACTGGAGCATGTAAATTTTAGGAAAGGCCCTCAGATTTTGGACAATATTTACATAAATACATGTATCAAATTATTTCACTTACTTACTAGTTTTTAAATTATTAAAAAATATATATATATATATATATTTCTTTTTAACGAAGCGTCCTAGATAAAAACTTTATAGGAAAGATTTCCCTTAAAATTCACCAAAGAATACGAGGTTTGGTCACCATTTGTGAATCACCCTGTATTTGTATACACAATTCTATATTATTTGATTGATTGTCTATAGGCAACCAACAGAGCAGAATTTATGTTTTGCCAAAACGAACACGAACATATTTCACCTGTTAAACTACGAAATAGAACAGTGGCAAATAATAATTATTAGTGGTAATAGCAATTATAATAAAATGTTTATGAATGAAACAATTATTTTGTTATAAGGTAGGTATTGAAACTACCAACAATTATTATCATTATCGGCAGTTATGACAACACTGAACACTATACAGATAAAAGTGTTAGTCATTTTTTAACTCGTATTTTAATTGTTCCTTTGTACGACACAGCAACGCAAATATACTTAAACAAATGCATTGTAACTATGCCAGTAATTTAATTTTATTGCTCATGGGTTAATGCGAAGGAAAATAATTTGCGATAAAATACCAGCTTGTGAAGGTTGTATGTAACTCCTTTGATTGCCGAACAGAAATCTTGTAGTAATATCAATAATTTGTCGTTAGGCAAATTATATCTCTTCTCTCTTCTGTGTCTAAAAAACTAGTCGAGAATTACACATAATTTCCCTGTTCCTGTGCATTGTGTTTGCCAAGAACAAATCATAATTATTTCAAATACAAGCAGATGTCCAATTTTCCTCTTATTAGATCGATAGTAATTTCCGTCTAGATTTTAAAATTTTAATGGCAATTATATTCAATTGCGTGCAGCTTCATAATGTTTAGTACTAATTTTTTATGATAATTCAATTATGCAAATTGTTTTTTCTTCCTTAAAAATTGAAATGATAAATAGGTATGGCAACATAAAAAATATTAATTTACCACAAAATAACCCGTTAAAAACCTGAATGTTGACAATAGTGAGAGTTTATTTTTAGTGTTTAATTTTAGTGTAACCAAATAATTATGGCCTTAATTGAACAGGTATTTCGAACAAATACACCAGTGTAGCTACCGCAAAAAAAAATTGTACGGCTTTGTATGATTCGCCCTTTTGACCAAGCCGGTACTGGCCCATTTAATTATTTCGTTTCAGTGGCGAAATTCCTGGAATGTTATTTTCGAAGAAAGACAAACAAAGTCTTAGACAACTATTGTCTTATTTTTTGTGGTTTGTCTGTTCCTGTACTACATAGGTACTACATTTTTATTGTATTTCAAAGATTTAAAACGCTCATATGACTTGGATGGAAAGTTGGAATATTCAGTAAATATCAAAAGACTGCATCTGAAACATCCCGTGTCAAAAGAGAACGCTTCGTAAAAAGTCTACAGTGCGGTGACTCATTTTCCTGTGGAAAAATACTGGAACGATTAACCTTCAACCTTATACGCGACGGTAATGGTTCAGAAAATTTAGGGTCCAATATATTTTATTACTTCAAAGATATTTCCTGCTGCTAAACACAAACATCCGCTGATGTATACCAAGAGATAAAGAATTAAATGTTGAGTGTTCAAAGTAATTTTGTTGGCATAAAACAGTAGAAGAGCAGTGAAGTAACGTTTTGAAAGTAATAAACGTAATCGAGACATCTACAAAAATGGAATAAAAATAATTGTAGTCCATTTACTTACTTTACATTTTAAACTTCTCATATTTTTTTTCGATGTTTTTTACATTCCAGAAATCAGAATGTTGAATGAAGTGGTCTTAAATGAGAAGAGCATCTCGCCATATTATTTGGAGTACCTCAAGGTATAATACTGGGGACCTTACTTTTTGTCATTGTCATTAACGATTTTGTTGATATAATTAACTTCCATTTCAATTGCATTTTTTGACTAATGATTTAAATATATATTATTTCATAAATTCTAGGGCAGATTCTCTGAAAATACAAGACAATTTGGACAAAACACATAGCTGCAACCTTAAAAAAAATTATAGTTTAATTTAGAAAAGTAGATGATTTAGAATATTAGAATTTAAAAGGCAGAAATGACATAAAAATTCTGTTTCTACTTTTTTAATTATTTCCTTTTCTTTATATTGGCGTATGGAAACATTATATGGAACGAAAATTCTTAAAATTTGTTGGTTTCTATCCAGCTGTTAACGCATGTCATGAGGTTTTATTAATGAGACATAAAACTGTAATTATAGAACAAGAAGAGGAATGTGTTTGATAATGTTTCCATTTCAAATTATTAATAGTTGTCTTCATTACACTTCTATTTTTAATTCAAATTATGTATGCAACCAGACATACTTTCTACCATCTATTAACCTCAAATATCAACTTAACCTTTGCTTATAATTTATGTAATAATTATTAACATTTTGCGCCAATTAAGATATATTTGACTGTAACGTAAGTTAAATAAAAAAAAAAAACAGTATTTCAATAGTTAGTAAAGGTTAGTAAAAATAGTTTAATAATGGTCGGTATAAAATGCTATCCTTTTCCTTCCTATATCTCAATAACCAGACATGGGACATAGAAAACTTTTGTAGGAGACCGATTTTAAAATTTGTGAAAGCAAGTTGAAAAAACTAACTTGGGGTATCAAAGACCCAGTATCGCGAAGACGAAAAACTCGTACGAAGATTCGCGTACTCAGAAAATGTTGTCTATGAGGGAAACGCCTACAATATTCTACTGCAGCGGCATTCGCGTTTTGTAAACATTCTCCATATAAAACCACCATTACCGCATATTCAAAATTCGCAAAATTAGCCATTACGACCGATTCGCGCAACAATCCGAAATAAACTGCGGGTTGTATTGCATTCTACATACTTACTAAATATCCCCTCTCTATATGTATAAGGTGATCTCCAAATTTGCGGGAAAGCAATGCGGAAGAAGCGATTAACAATGGTAGATTTGAATATTTTATTATTCTTTATATAGTTCTGATGTGGCAACGCTGTTTCACTTCAATGTTCGAACACAAAGGTCCGCCGGCAGAAAATATGAAGGTGCCGAATTAGCGGAAGTTAAGAGATTATCGTTTAAAAGTTCCAGAATTTTTTTTTTCGTTTTTTTGTCTTTATTAGGCCTTCCGAGTACATGGTTAAAATTAATGACATTTTGACTGAATCACCCTGTATAAATAGTCTTGACTGTTAGATGGTGTAACTTAAATCCATAACAGACGGCTGGAGTAGTTTATATTGAGACAAATACCAAACGAACAGAAATTCATAACACCAGAATTTATTGTCCGTTGGGTAAACACATTTTCTCTAGCCAAATCATGAGAGAGATTGAAAATTAGCTCAGTAACCTTCATTTTCCTCTATAAAACGCACTAGCTTTGGATAACACAGCAATTGCAGTTTGTTTTGAAAAAAAATGTCGAAGATCCCAACAGTTAAATTCAACAACGGTCAAACCTCCCATATTTTTGGTTTAGGAACTTGGAGAGTAAGTATCTATTGTCTATTTTTACGACAGGTACGAGATTTATTAACAACACGCGTCAGTGCTATGTCAACAAAAATAAACAGTGTTTTCTGCCAATATACAGAATATACTGAACTCGAGTATTGCATAAGACGCTATTAATATAAAATACAGAACTTGTAGAGGTTAGTACTACTAGAACACCAATTGTGCTGTTCAAAGAGCTTTCATTATTTACCTATATTTAATTTTGGTAATTATTATAGTGTCTCTTTTCTTTTACAAGACATATAATTAGAGATATGAACATGTTTCATTTTTTTATGTTTTGAATAAAATATTAATTTTTGCATCATTTCATATTTCAACCGCCATTTCCACCTCTATCGCCTAAAGAAAATTTCTATACCTTTCTCACTCGTTTGTCGTCTGTCTGATGCTGATGTGCCAAAATAAGGTTACTAAGTACTGCAAATTTACTTTGCTTACCCATTACACAAGTCGTGTGATGTGAAATAAAAAAATAATGTAAAGTATAATCCAACGTAACTAATTTGGAATTATAAAACAAATATGAACTTTTCTTTAATTAATCGTCTTTTCATTTATTTCTGTAACTAGTCAATAACACGAAATCCCTAATCGCGACCTTGCGTGAGTCCCAATCCTCGTCTATTTTTACGTCTTTCGCCCACCCCACGACCAGTCCGGCCCTGAACGTAGGTCCGTTTCTATCGGTAGCCGTTTGTAAATAGTCACCAAGTGCGTGAAGCAGGTTTCAGTTAATTCAGTTGTTTCTGTCCACTTCCTAGTTCCTGTCACGAGTGTCACGGTTACAGAAAAATGTCCAAAGTGCCTACGGTGAAATTCAACAACGGCCAGACATTCCCTCTCTTCGGTTTGGGAACGTGGAAAGTAAGTCTTTATTATCTTCGTAATTACATTTCTCATATTCGGAGGATTTTTGTGCCAAAAAGAAATCGATAACGCTTTTAGCCGTGCCAGAAAATTAAGGATGATGTTTTCAATAGATACAAAAGTATCATATAAATATTTTACATTATGTTAACCTTTCGAAAAATCGGTAAATAAAGATAAAGATACAGTTGATATTTGTTATTTATTAATTATTGTTCTTATTGACATATCTGTCAGTTTATAGAATAGATATACGGATCAACATTTTTGTGGTTTTCCAATGTTGGGTTTCCTGGTTTCTTTTTATAATGAACTTTTCATTTATTTGTTAATCGCGGTTTTGTCTGAATCATTTAGACACAATTTTTGTTTTTCTAGCATCGACAATGACAGTTCAAAAGCTATACGCAGGAAGCGATATTAAGTAATTTTTTTTTTTTGTCATGAGAGGATAGAAATTTAAATAAAAAATACCTACTAGGTACCATTAGTCATACCATCATTTTTACTGAAGAAATTCAAATTCAACAGATTAATGCCTGATCATCTAAAAGTTATTTACAGAGAACCAAATTTACTCAAAAAATTGTATGAAATTTCTTCGTTTTCCAGGAAGATTGGACGTGCAATAAAAGTAGTAACTATACAGGGTCGGAAAGTCCCCATGGTTCATCGGCCGATACGTGAGAGTGATAAAGTAAGTCATAGACATCCGTGCGATAGAGAAAGATGGCTATAATGAAGGCGTTTAATAGTCACCGCCCATTCCTTCCACAAATAAGAAGTGGATCTTATTTGTGGAAGGGCGAAATGGGCGGTGACTATTAGACGCCTTCATTATAGCCATCTTTCTCTATCGCACGGATTTCTATGTCTTTCTATATCGCTCTCACGTAACGGCCGATGAACCATGGGGACTTTCCGACCCTGTATAATAACCACTTGAAAGTTCTTCTACTAGTGTTTTGTAGTTTTGTTGTACCTTTGATGAGGCCCAAAAATTGTTTACATTTGCAATACAAACCCAATCCACTACTTTTTGGTTAAGTATTTGTTTAAAGCAAGGATCGCTAAAGAGTTGGTATTTGAGGTTCAATAAAAAGGTATTTTTTTAGTTCTGTGTCTATTAATTGTGGAAAGACAGTTTTTAGGTACTTGAAATCCTAATTTAGTGTGCAAGTGAGGGAGAAGGACTGTCTGTGGTTCGACAAGGGAGGCACATCTTATATTAGAAATGCCCGGCGCAAAAAGTTATCTAAGGCGATGTTGCCACATTTTTCAAAATTTCCCTAAATATAGGGAGAATCATATTTGTGATTCTTAGCGTCTTAATTGAGGAATCAAGCTATTATTTAAAAAAAATCTCAAAATACGTGTAAATGCTTTTATAACATGAGGAAAAATATTAGACAGCATATAGAAAAACATAGTTTTAGATGCAAATAATATGTAACTGGATTCTATAACGAAGTGGGCGGCTAAATTTTGCAAACAGTTGCATTTTATTCTTTACGTTGTTATTTTGCAGTCCAAACCTGGAGAAGTTGGCCAAGCAGTGAAAGATGCCATCGACATCGGCTACCGTCACATCGATTGCGCCCACATCTACGGAAACGAGGCAGAAATCGGAGCGGCCCTTAAAGAAAAAATAACGGATGGTACCGTGAAGAGGGAAGACCTCTTCATAACCAGCAAACTGTGGAATACCATGCATAGGCCGGACTTGGTGGAACCGGCTATAAGGACGACTTTGACCAATCTGGGGTTAGACTATCTTGATTTGTATCTCGTCCACTGGCCTTTCGCTTTGAAGGTAATGTAACTTAAATTGCAAAAAGGACAGTTATATTCAAAATATTTTATGTTCGATACAAGTAACTCATACTGAACTTGTTGGAAATCTTCCATACAGAACAATTTTGCGCCCCCTCGTGCAAAAAAGAAAATTCTGGATTTATATTTGCTGTTAGAATTGGTATAATTGTTATATAATATAATCGGCGATGCCTGTTGCCTTTTCAAACCAATAGTATGAAACTGAGCAGAGAGCAAAACTACAATGGAAAATAAATTTGTAAAAGCATATTGCTTTGTATGACTTTGCGTTTGCGATATATATTTTTTTGAGCGCCGAACATAAAAAACATTTCGATTATTTTTAAAAATCAATATTTTATTACAAAATTAATTTGTTTTCAAAAATTATTTTTGCTGTTTTAAAAAACGTGCATTATAAAAAAATTTATTAATACACTTAGGTACTATTCTAACAGATTTAAAATAAGTTTTATAATGATTTCAAGTATGTGTTACTATTTTGTTAAAGCACTGTGTTTAGTTTGTGATTCTCAATATCAGTGACCTTTGACGTTGACCTAGTTCGTCAAATTGTCGATTGTAATAAAATGAACATAATTTATATAACACAGTGTTGTTTTATTGAGCTTAATTTTATAGTAAAATTTAAAATGGTATTTAGTGAAGAAATGTCTTGTGTAGGGTAACTTACAAAGATATTTATTTCAGTGTTCAGTTTAATGACGGTACAATGTGTTTATGTGTCTTCATTGATAAATTTCTGTGATATAGAAAAAATTTATACGAACAGAAAAAAGTTAATATTTGACAACAGTATATGCTGCAGCTCCCAGTGAGGTAAGCTCTCGCAGTTAGCGCGCATTTGTTTGCAGTTGCATTCGCCTGCCCAGCAAAGGGTACAAAGATTACAAAAAAAAAAGGATTAAAAGACACCAAATTTGTTTAAATTTTTTTCTATGCAATTTAATAGGGATGTTATGTGGAAATTTTTTTTATTTATCAATAGTCCATTATCCATATCTGTTATCGACTTTATAATTAACTATTCTAGACAAAGAAAAAACTTTGTTGAATCGATTCCACGCAATGCCCATCTTCCCACAATAATGGGAAAATAGAGTTAAAATCAATACGCATTGAATTATTCTCAATTACTACAATTTTATATTTTATCATCATTTTAATTTTCGATTTCTTTTTCAGGAAGAAGGTGAACTGTTCCCTGTCGACGCCGACGGAAAAACCGCGTACAGCGACATCGACTATCTCGACACCTGGAAAGCTATGGAGGAGGTCCAAAAGAAGGGACTTACAAAATCCATCGGCGTATCCAACTTCAACAAAAGACAACTGGAACGACTTCTAGCGAAGTGCACAATTCCACCAGCAACAAATCAGGTAAGTACGACGGATTTTCCAAAGTTGAATAAGAACTAATAACATTTGTTACAGATTGAGGTGCACCCGTACCTCAACCAAAAGAAACTCATAGAGTATTGCACGTCCAAGAACATCGTCATCACTGCGTACAGCCCCCTGGGTTCGCCAGATAGGCCTTGGGCTAAACCAGATGACCCTTTGCTCTTGGAGGACCCGAAAATCAAGGCGATTGGGGAAAAGTACGGTAAAACTCCCGCGCAAGTCGTCCTGAAGTACCAGGTCCAAAGGGGGTGTATTACCATTCCCAAATCCGTGAACAAGGGCAGGATCCAACAAAACTTTAATATATGGGACTTTGAACTGAGTGAGGAAGACGTGGCGCTTTTGGACACCTTTGACTGCAATGGTAGAATCTGCCCATATACCGAGTAAGTACCGATAATGGATTATCAAATGAAACATCCAACATATTTGATGTTGAACAGTTTTTGAACTTATTGAAAGTGTGTATTGGGATTGCATAAGTTCATTACACAATTAGTTGTCACACATTATGTCAAAGTTGGTTTAATTGAATTTATAAGCTAACTATTGTTTAATTGAAGTCTTCGCACTTTGTGCAGAAATTGTAAAAATTATTTGTAAAAGAAAATGGAGTGTCACTTGGAATTCTGGTCTTTCCGACATATCCTTCTATTTCAGTAGAGGAGTTAAGTGGTCATGTACCTTTAAAACTATTTGTACCGACGTAAAAACGGCTTTAAAGAAAGTACAGTACGAAAATTTGCTAGTTTGAAAGAGGGCATGAACGACTCTTCAGGTTCAGAAAGACCGATTGACTTTGATGAAGTCTTTGATGCATGATGATCCACAATCAACCCGGGAATTGGCCAGTATGATGGACTGGACCATTCGACCATATTACGAGATTTGTATTACATGGGCAAAGTAACATTTTTGTAACAGATTGTTACCGGTGACGAAATACGGTGCCTTTACGTCAATGCCATGACCAAAAAAGAATGGCTTAGCTCTAAAACAGGAAGGCAACTCCTCCAGCAAAAGCTGTTTCCCATCAGCGTACGCTAATGTGCATCTGGTGGGACAAAAAAGTGTAGTTAACTATGAATCACTTCCGATATATGTAACTATCACTGTTGAGGCTTATTGATAATAGCTTCGATATATTGGGACCGCAATTCAGAAAAAACGACTGTTAAGATAACATCAGATGATTTTGGAGCACAATAAGGTTCGCCCTTAAAGCGCTAACATCGCAAAAGTGGTTAATTATTCTGAATATGTCCTTGATTAGTACTTGAATTTTATGTATTTTCTATTTATTAAAATGAAACAAATTTGTAATTAAATTAAAACGACTCAAAGTTATGCATCAATCCAGTATAAGGAAAAGACAAGATTTTTTAGTTCAATATTTAGAAAATTGTCACGATAAAAAACATACGGATATTAATTAATTATAGCTTGGAAGAATTAATATTGAATAGGTTGATTAAATGGTAGCTATCTCGAAAATGCATTTCTGGTAACATAACTCTAAGGAGATTCTATTGCATTTATGACAATAATTATTCTATGAAAAGAGACTATTATTAATCGTATTTTTTTCTTTTTTTTGTAGTGCTCTTACACACAAGGACCATCCTTTCGCAAATGATGAATATTGAGATGTTTCTTTATTTATTTATATTAATTTTAAGTCATTTTGAGATTTATATTTTTCATAGTGCTAGCACAAGCACGTATAATGTATATGTTCATTACACATTAAAAGTTACATAAAATATTAAGTAGTTTTAGTTTTTAGTTCATTTTTAAAAAATGTTTGTTTTTTAACACTTAACATTAAAATACAAGATTTTACAATTCACAAAAATGTACTAATGATAAGTCTTATTTAAAATATTGCAAAGTACCATAGTTACAAATCTGTGTTACTTAATCAAACATCCGGTGTGCCGCAAGGTTCGACATTTGGTCCAGTGCTTTGTACTCTTTTTATTAACGATATCGCCCAAGATCTTAATGTTCACTTCTTGCTGTATGCTATCGACATAGACCTATAAATATTAACTCCGAATATTTTAAATAGCTATGTACCTATTTAATAAGTCAGAATTTTGTTATTATAAAGATCTCAGAGTTACTTTTGGCCATATACAGGGTGTTTGTAAATAATTTTGTTTTAAAATTAAAAAAAAAGTGCGAAATAGTTTAGGGAGTGTTTACCGAAGTTATTTTGTGAAAAATATATATAAACGTAGGTAGAAATCGTTTCAGATATACAGAGTGTTTAAATTTTATTTTTTTATTTTTTTTTTAATTATTTCAGAGTTTTAAAGATATTGACTCGAAATTTGAAACACGCTTTGGAGGGATAAATGAACATTTTTTGGGGTGATCCGAATATGTCTACTTGCACCAGTGGCGTTCGAATGCCACAACTTTTTTAATAAAAAAATGGTACGCCACTGACTTTTTCCCGTTTTGATATTTTTTTAGAAATCCGCCATCAATTCTGAATGAAATTGGTCTCTTCATTTTTTTTTCGTAGGATGCGCCGTTTTTCAGGAAAAAATAAAACATATTTTATTGTAGATTTTGTTAATCTTTTATTTAAGGGTCTCTTTTAATAAAGCGTGAGTACAGTAAAAATGCAATTCAGAATTGAAAATAAAAAGTTGATATAAATGGATAAAAAATTATTCGATTTCGAAATACAGGACGTTCAAAACTCTTTGAAATAATTAATAAAAATAAATAAAAAAGGTACAGACAAGTTTTTTTAAATCGATAAGTTTCATATTGCATGGAATTTATCCCAATAGAAGATTTGTACAAGTTCGATTATTTAAAATATTTGAGATGACATTTAAACAAGTACCTCTACAGAATTGGTATAATTTGCCGCGAGATACGAAGACGAGGATTCTATATAAATCCTCTGTCACTGTGCTTGCTTATTGTGAAACAATAAAACCAGGGGGCATCATTTTTGCCACAGCAGGATATCGGAAAGACTCCAGCAAAGTTAATGCTTGCTTTCAAACTTAGAAAAGGCACGTTTTAGAAACCCATTCAAGCGGCATGCACAATGGGTCATAAAACCTAAGTGTAGTTAGTAACAGCGCTGCGTTTCTCGAGAACTGCAACAACGGCAAATATTTAGTTTCATCGAAATAAAGTTCAATGAATTAGAACATTAAATCAGAAACAGCGTCATTAGAAAGTTTTGGCGGCGAGCGTATCAGTGACTCGATTAAAAAAAAATGTCCGATTGTTTTCCGATTTTTCCTAACTTCATTGCTCACTGTTTTGTTGCAAAATATAAACTTGCCCTAACAGTTGAAAATTACTGAAATTCTCGGGATTGATATACAAAAAAAAAAAAAAAACGGAAGAGGTTAGAGAAATTGCCTACAATTATGTATGTGTGCCATTTTCTATTTCCATTTGTTGAAAATAAAATAAATATTAATCAAGTAACTCCTTGCACCAAAAGCAGTTATTTATTAAAAAAATATGTGGCAGAAATACTCGATCAAATAAAAAGGGTAAGTTAGAGAAGTGTTTATTAAAGCTTACTTTGTTTTTTTTTTCAAAATTAAGTGTCAAAAGTATAAATAAAGTATAAATATAAAGAATAAATAAAATGTATGTGAGTTTATACAAAACTCCTACTGAATGTCATAAGAAATAAGGGAGTGCCTTGCTCTACTTTTTTAAACCTTGTACATTAATAAATATCTAAATTCAAATAGAGTCAGAATATAAGTTAATTTTTAAATTGAATGAATAAACGTCTCAGAAGTACCTTAAAAAAATTATCAGAAACATCAATGTCGCTTCAAACTTATTTCTGATTAACCTCGTATGTTCTTATCTTCGATGTATCTGGGAGATGGCTCATTACATAAACCTTTGAGACCTCTAGTTTATACTTACATCAACAATTTCAATTAATTGAAGCGATATCATTTGTACAGTACTTAAAACTTATCTGAAAAAGCGAAATATACGCAAATCAAATAATTTAATCTATACGCTATTTATAAATGCGGCCTTCAAAATGAAAATGTGTACGACTAGAGCACACGCTTCTGTTATGAATTGACTAGCAACCAGACAAATACCGCTTAGATAAAATGGTTCGGGTACCGACGATCAAATTCAACAACGGCTTCAGTTTTCCCGTTATCGGGCTGGGAACATGGAAGGTAAGTGCCTTTATTAATTCTAATAATTTTGTAAATAATTACGTAAACGGTTCAACAATTTGCTGAATGCGGCAAACCCGCTGTTCCGCTTTATTGCTGGTTTGTTGACAATTGCATAACGTTATTTACTCGATTAGGTTTTATGTAATTCAATTTGTTTTGTCAAGTATTTTATAACATGGGTTTAATTGCATGCCTGGGTAATTATGTTACTACCATTTTAGGTAATTTATAACCTAAAAATGTAGGTGGGTTCAGATTTGTCAGGACCGGATTAGGTGAAAGTGTTTGCCTCCATTAGATTTTGTATGAGGCCTGTTTCATCAAAATTTCATTAGTCCAATCAAAATAATTTGATCAATTTCCTAAATTATTTTGAATAAGCTAATTTCAGCAATTTAGTAAAATAACAAATAAAAGTTTAAGAAAGGTTCCAAAATGTATCACTTTATTTTTTCGAACAATGTTTTGTTTTCACCCATCTTTCATTTAATTGAAAATAAAAAAAATTAACGAAAAGTAGAGCCTGACATGGGGCTAAGAAGGAAATAGATAATATTGGGTGACTTTTTCAATTGTCATTAACAGTTATAATAATGTAAAGATGTATCAGTTCCTAAGTATATTTGTTTGACAGATAATGTGGACATTTTTTTTTTGCTCCCACTATAGTAAATAGACTATTAATAGTTTTTAAGGAGTTAAGTGGTTTTTTACTGTAGAAGTGGGAGTTGCTATAGACAACGGGAGGTAAGTGAGGGAATTTACCTCCCTAGGGAAAAAAGCGATTTTGAGCTATAAATGCATATTTTATGAACCAATAAATAGAAATATTTGATGAACATTACATTTTAATAAATCATTATATTTATAGTAATTGTACAGTTATTATATTTAGTAACATTTATAAAATCTGGATAATTATTCCCCTCGCATTTACTAATTGTCACATTTTTCTCAAAATGATTTGACCGCTCCATTTCAGCCACCGGAAGCTCAATATTATCTGACTGATTTATTAAAACAGCATGATGCGACGCACTACTAGAACCTGGAGTTGAAGTGTCATTGTAAAGAATCCTGTTGGCTATTTCATTTTTGTTACTTAAACTGTCAGCAACATAACTTTCTGCAATTGTGACTGATTTCCACCCACCATGTCTTAACTGCTAATACATCAACTCCTGTATTAGCCAGTAACGTTGCCGATGTTCTTCGGAATGAATGATCTGTATGTTTCAGGATGTTCTAGTTTTAAAAACTGTGTAATCTTATTAGGAATCATAGAAAGGGTACTCTTGCCGACTAGTTGGTTGTAACATCTACCTTCTTGATAGCACATAAAAAAGCGTGAAATTCCCAATCTAATCTTGATATATTTCTTGAGAATTTCTAGTTGAGAAACAGAACCCAGTCGAGAAGTAATTGTAAACGTACATGACATACCATTTTTAGAATCTGGAATTGTAACTACAATAATGTCATCGAATTCTTTTAAATGGGCGTTGTCCAAACTAAGTTTGATAACTCATCAGAACGGCGAGCTCCTGCAATGCCTAAGACGGTCACTCACTATCTTCATTAGCAAATATGTGTTATCTGGTGCCTGAACGAACAACTCTTGTAAAAACGTTTGAATTTTTAGGTTTATAGCTGTCATTCTTGCGTTTCAAAAATGCTCTCAGCTTGGGGTATTTTGATATATCCACGTTCTCCTTTATGAAAATAGTTGACTTAATCATTGAGTATTCACTCCACAAACTCGCCGGTGACTTTAAAGTTCTTGACTTCTCCATGAAATATGCCAGCAGTGACATCACCAGTATTTTTGTTCTGGCACCATCGTTTGAAATTTCTATATGCTCGTACGCACTTTCGACTTCTCAGCAATAAAAATTCGCAAGCAGTATTTGCTGCACTTTCTATTTGAAAATCACTCATTTAGAAATATTAATCCAAAACCAGCAAAAGTGCAACTTTTATGTAGCTTTGTAGCCCAGTCATTATGGACTTGAAAGAGCCTGTTTCGGGAAAAAAATACTATTAGAAGTTTCTCTGCGGAATATTGTTCGGAAACCTGTTATAAATAAAATATCAAAAAATCAACTCGAGGCTAGTTGGGAAACTTTGTTTTAACAGTGGTCAAAGTTATGGAAAAGTGGTTTCTTGACTCACGTAAAAAAGCTATTATTCATAGCGAAAAAAAGTTTATACAAAAAAGGTAGGTATTAAATAAGCCTATAAAATGAAAAAAGTCCGATTAAATTCCGATAATTTGTTTATGCACAAGAGCTCAAAAATGGTCGAAAATTGCCGTTTTTTTCAATTGCTAATAATTAATGCAATTTTCATCGCAGACACTTGTAATTCAGGATTTTTGAGGCTTTTTACACCCTTAATAAGTGGTAAAAATTTCAGCTCGAAAGCTTCATTGGTTTGGCGTTGGCGGAATTTGTTATCTAAGAAGATGCTATTTTCAATTCATTTTTCCCAAGCTCACAGGCGTTGTAGGGTTTCGATCATTAGTTGTTTTTGTACCTAAATAGTTGTATTGACATATGCATTTACTGAGAATTTAGTTTTTCAAATTTAATTTGTTTAAAAATGACTGAAAAAATGTTAATATTTATTAAATTGTTAAGATAGGTAATTATTATAAAATAAAATAGTAACCTCTTTACTTTAGTTTTCTTCGAATTTTAAAAAAAAATCGTAAGTTGATTAGAAGCTGAGATAATTTTTTTATTTATTTAATCGCAGTGACTTTGGAGAGAGTATACATTAAGAGCTATATTTTCATGTCCTACATTAACATTAAGGTGACTTCAACTATTTAATTTCGAAAAAGAAGATAACGGCGATGCATTCTATTACTTGGTCTAGCGAACGAGTGGGGAAGGCGAGGCTTAGCATGCGCGCTTAACGATGTAATAAATATTAACTTTTTTTCAAAGTCATTTTTAAACAAATTAAATTTGAAAAATTAAATTATCAGTAAATGCATATGTCAATACAACTATTTAGGTACAAAAACAACTAATGATCGAAACCCTACAACGCCTGTGAGCTTGGGAAAAATGAATTGAAAATAGCATCTTCTTAGATAACAAATTCCGCCAACGCCAAGCTAATGAAGTTTTTGGGCTGAAATTTTTACCACTTATTAAGGGTGCAAAAAGCTTCAAAAATCCTGAATTACAAGTGTCTGCGATGAAAATTGCATTAATTATTAGCAATTGAAAAAAGCGGACAATTTCGACCATTTTTGAGCTCTTGCGCATAAACAAATTATCGGAATTTAATCGGACTTGTCTTATTTTACAGATTTATTTAATACCTACCTTTTTTGTATAAACCTTTTTTTCTCTATGAATAACAGTTTTTTTACGCCAGTCGAAAAACTACTTTTCCATAATTTTGACCATTGTTTTAACAAAGTTTCCCAACTAGTCTCGAGTTGATTTTTTGATATTTTGTTTATAACACGTTTCTGAACAATATTCCGCAGAGAAACTTCTAATAGTATTTTTTTCCCGAAAAAAAGCTATAATGATTGGCCTATTGTTTATAAACACCTTTGAAACGACAACATCCAAACAACCAAGGCGAATTTGCAAGATTTCGAATGATGTCAAAATGAATTCAAAAAATAAAACCTAATCTTTATCTCATGAACCATAAAGACCTGTGGGAGCAGATAAAATGTTATACACCACGCAGCAGTTAAGTATGATTTACCAGTCTCGAACTCTATTGCCAGCCCTCGCTCCGGTCGGGCGCAAAATCGTCCTCGACTGGTAAATAATACTTACCTCCTTTATGGTGTAAATAACTATTGTCTTTGTAGGGAAGGAAAAAAAATGTGTTAAACAAAATACAGAGAAATACGGTTAGAATATTCAAAATACGATGGTTTTTCAAGTTATGCCATGGCCTTCGTCACCGTCAATTACAAATTTACAGTGCACTTCCTTACACTTAGCTTGCAATCTTTGACCTAACCTTGTTGTTTTCGAGCCAGGCTCTGTGGGGGCGGCCTCCTATGCTCGCTCCTATTAGTTCTTATTATTGGTTCCGCAACTGCCTAGAGCCAACAATAAGAACCAATATATACATCAGTGCGGGTCTAAGGGTTCCAATAGCGGGTCCTTTCCCACAGAGCCTAACCCGAGAACAACAAGGTCGGGTCAAAGATTCCTAGCTAAAGCATAATAACCAGAAAAACCATGGTACATTAAATACCTACCACCCGGGTCATAAAAGCTTTAAAACCACGGCTGGAATATATTTAATTTCAACTAATATTTTCTAATCGCTCCAAAATATTTACTGAAATAAGAAAAATGAACTGTTTAAATATGCACGGGAAGTGGAGTGTGCTAGTGCACCTGCAAAAAAACATAGGGGAATTCGGAAATTCTGGAATTCCGTATATACAGGATGTCCCAAGAATAACTGCCAAAAATTTAACCCTGCATTTAAGTCGTTAAGAGCAACAACTTTTGTCTAAAATTTTTTCCACAAACCTTATAGTTTTTCAGATATACATATTTTCTAAATTTCAAATTTTTATTATTACCCGCCATTGTAGCTTAAGTCGAAACGCTTATTTGAATAATAAACAAAAAAATAACTATACAACAGGAAAAATTTGTTGCTTTTGACAAACGTTTTTAAACGTTTTATATAACAACTTGGATTTAGCGCAATTTCGTCCTTATTATTATTTGTATTGTTATAATGGTAAGCAAGTAATAACAATAATATTTAATTTGCTCAAGTTGCAATACTCTGTTATTTTATCAAAAACCAATTTGTGAAACTATTGACTGTTGGCAGACGAAAAGCCGATCCAAAAGGTTATCTTGTCCAATTTTTTAGATATAGGTTAGTAGACTGAAATATTTGGTTAATTTATCTCAAATAAATATTCCACATAAAAACTTCACCTTGAACTAACGAAGCAATTTATCATTTGAAATCATTTGTAATTCTAAGAAAATATTAAATAATTTTGTTGTAAAAGTGAACTAATTGGTATTAATATGAATGTTGTAATCATTTTTTTTTATTCGATTATTGATAATTTCTTAAGTGGCGCCCTAGGGTCAAATTATATCTCAGTTGTTTATCAGCATCAATTTGTAATATTCAAATAAGCAAATTTTTTGTTTACAATTAAAATAAAGCAAAAAACCTTTAATTCATGGTACCCTAAACCAAATTACTTCTTAGTAGCCTAAATATTTTAAATTTTTTGTAGTCACAACCAGGTCAAGTGACCCAAGCAGTCAGGGACGCGATCGACTGTGGTTACCGCCACATTGATTGTGCCCATTACTACCAGAATGAGGGGGAAGTGGGACAGGCAATCAAGGAAAAAATCGCAGAAGGCGTTGTCAAAAGAGATGACCTCTTCATCACTAGCAAACTGTGGGCTACCTATATGAGACCAGATTTAGTGGAACCCACACTTAGGTTGTCTTTGAAAAATCTGGGATTGGACTACTTGGACCTGTACCTTGTCCATTGGCCATGCGCTCTTAAGGTAAGGTGTTTCATGACAATTTTGAAGTTGTAACACTAAGAACTCCAATGATAATGATTATTGTACTATCAAAAATTTTCCTTTATTAGGTTTTTAGATTTGAAACTATTCATTCTTTTTTAATGTTTGTATCTAGGAAGGAGATAATCTTATGCCATTTGGACCCGATGGTGTAAGAGCTATCTTCAGCGATGTTGACTACCTCGACACATGGAAAGCCTTTGAACAAGTCAACAAGAAGGGACTGGCCAAATCCATTGGTGTTTCCAATTTCAACAAAAGGCAGCTGGAAAGGCTTCTGCAGAACTCAACCATAGTACCAGTAACAAACCAGGTAAGGCCATTGATTATTTTGAAAGTTGTTCTTAAACAATCATTCCGATTTATATTAAAAATCTTGTCTTCAGATTATAGTTTGATTAGAATCAAGCTGTTCAAATCACTGAAAAACAGATTGATGTAAAATCAAGGCTAAATTTATTAAACGTCTTTCATTATCTTGTTTAAAATATTAATGTTTATCTGCTACTTCAAAAATCTTTTACAGCATATTTCGAACAAATTCTTATCTTGAACATTTTTGTAAGAAATTTTCCTATTGCAAAATGATTAAAAACGACCTAATGCAACTGTATATTGCAATGCTTTTAAATAAACAACAGTATTTTCCTAGAATTCCAACCTAATCCTTTCAAATTTTAAGCTTACGAATACATGCAAAAAGACGTAGCGATAGTCTACCTATATACTAATCCACTGTTAAATATTTACCATTATAATAATCATATATTAGTATTTCTTCCATCTTTGTTTTTAATGATCCTCTTTTAGATTGAGTGTCATCCTTATCTCAACCAAAAGAAACTAACCGCCTTCTGCAAATCGAAAGGCATCACGGTGACAGCTTATAGCCCTCTTGGATCCCCCGACAGACCCTGGGCGAAACCGGACGACCCTGTCCTCACACAAGACCCAAAAGTTTTAGCAATAGCGAAAAAATACAATAAGACCCCCGCCCAAGTGATTCTTAGGTACTTGGTTCAAATTGGTGTGGTGCCAATTCCAAAATCCGTCACGAAATCGCGTATCCAAGAGAATGTCAACATCTTTGACTTTGAACTGGCTGCTGAAGATGTCGCTGTCATCGACACCTTCGATTGCAATGGAAGGGTTTGCGAATTTGTGGAGTAAGTACTTTATTATCTTCATTTTCATATTTTTCGCATTAAACGTATTGATTATAGAATTATTTCGATTTACAACAATTGACACTCTTAGTTTGAAAAACAAAAGCACGAAATTTTAATTTACTATACGTACAAATACTTTTATTTATCGTGACATATTTGATATCTTATTCTTCGGAATACTTTCTTCAAATTACAGTGATTGCTTGCTTATCTGATAAAGAAAAAACGATTTTTTTTACAGTACGTAAGTTGTTTATAATAAGACATTCCGATAAATCATAAATAACGATATAAATAAGTAATTAAACAACAGATTTGAAGTACTGTTGAAAACATGAAGGATAAATATTGCCCCACGTTGGGCGCCAGATAGCCGTTAAATGTTTTTGCGATTCAAAATAAAATGAAACCGATAGTAATGTTTTATCTCTTTTCCAGAGCCATTGGCCACAAACACCATCCCTTCGAGAACGACGAATATTGAGAGCCTCCACCCTCCTCCTACTAAAATTTTATACACACACTTCCTGTGAAATTAAAAAATACGCTGTATTAAACTTTATTTTTATTAAATCGGTTGTAATTATATTACAAAGATTTTCTTTACAACCATATATTACAAAGTTACAAATAAATATATTTATCATAAAAAAAAGTAAAATCATTCATCACAATCATCACATTCAGGTATCGTGGGGGGTATACAAATGGGGCCGTTCTGGGGATTGACGGGGGGACATTCCGGAGAACCGGAAATATGCGCGAGATTCTCTAGAGATCTAGTCGGCTGCGCGCGCGCATCCTCGAATTCTTCCTCTTCCGCGGAGGCTTCCTCGAGGTGCTTCTCCAGGCTCATCAGTCTCATTTGGAAGTAACGTTTCTCCTCATTAATGCACGCCAGGTCTTTCTCTTGCTCGGCTATGATCTGTTTCAGATCGGCTATCGTGGTCAAGTCTTCCTGTCTCGACTCTCTTCTTTCGTAACGTTGCCTTACTTCCTCAAATCTGAAAGAAGAGGTCTCATTGACAATTTTAAGGGAAATTAATTCGTTTTATAGCTTTTCTTCCCGACAATTTGGCTCACTTTCTTAAGCTAGTGTTTTTAGGGAAAGAAAACCATATCCAGTGCCAAAATAGTAGGAGCACGATTTTTACTTTTTATTATGATAAAATAATGTCGTGTATTCTCGGCATGGATATTGTAATGTGCAGTTCATTTCGCATGGTGTTCCGATATGATCGTGTACAAAAAGAAAGACTCCTGAAGCTACATGATTTGACTTTTTGAAATCTCGTCCTATCTCAGTTGCCAGCTGAAGCGTGACAGTTCGTGTCATAAGCGTGTCAATGTGAAATACTTGCTAGTATCTTCATATTTTAGTTATTCGAATAAGTGATGTTAAAAAATGGAATTCTGTGCGGGTATCAGTGGCCAATTTGTTTATTTAAAGACGAAGATTTACCTGGATTGTCGCCAAAAGTTTGACTATGCATTTAAAAGAAAATACAAAATATATTAATAGAAAAGACGGAAATAATAGAATATAGGTACGTCAAAGAGAAAATTTAGAAAAAATAATAGTGACATATGAAAGAAATGAAAGACATGCGGTCTGCGAAATTCGACTAGACTTGTCATTCTACAAATAACAATTTTTGGAACCCTCTAAAATGATACGCCCCTGGAATCGCATTCTCCCGCCCGCCGTACCCTTCGCTCGAATCTACATGTTTTACCAACGAGTCACTGCCTACTATTTGGCACTGGCGTATAGACACTCATTCACTTACAATTTGGTCAAACACAAGCACTTCTTCTGCAAGTGGTCGATGGTCTCCTGAGCCTGCTTCTGAGAACTCATGTATTTCAGTCTGAAAACCTCCCGTTCATTTTCCTGCTCCTCTTGGAGCTTGGTTATGGTATCCTGTAGACCTCTGAGTTCATGGGAAAGGAACAAAGAATTAGGGTCACACAGTAAGGCGATCAAGGGGATTAAAATGCACAGTTTTGTGTAAAAATTGTAAAAAAATAGCAAGCGCGAGGAATAATCTCGATAAGACTCTTTTGGTTCCTGAAAAATTTTCCAGTTGAAAACACCAAGGCTCTCCAAAAACGGGGTATCCGTGACAGTCATTAACATTAAGGCAAAATTATTGTTCCATCTGCGATTTTGCACCGAAATAATTCACTTACATCCATCGAGAATGTCAAAAATCAGAACCCACTTGTTGTGACGTCACAAATTCTCTTCATAGGCCTGATATCGCGCAATTGCTCACATCCTCTATGTTTTCAAAGACAAAAACTGACCGGATTATCAGTTTTGAAAGCTAGAACTTGGAGAAGCTTTTTAATGTTTGTAAACTGGATTCGATTGTACCAAAAAAGTCTTAACAGTCGTGTGGTTGGAGCAAGCGCAAAAACGTTCAAAGGCGCAGTCTAAATGCACAATCTATTAAATGCGAGCGGGTTGCTGAACACACTTCAGGAAATGCACGAAAAATCGGGTGGACCATCTAAGGTCCTTGATTAATTATTACAAGGACAGCTAGTAACATGAAGGTTACAGTTTGCAGAATTGAATTGGAAATGATCCAAGTGAGAATGGGAAAGACCAGTATAAGTAAGGAGGAGAGCGGAGGAAGGTCTTTGGGCTCTTTAGTACATCTAGATGGGAAAAATAATAATAACAACGAATTAGTCGGTACGATGGTGTGCGAGAGGAATAGAAGTAGCGGATTGTGTAGATTTGATGATTCATTTATTAGTAACATTAGTTGAACGTGTCAATTTTGATATTAATCCACTATTTCTACAGTTATTACAACATAAAACGGTAACTGCTCTCATGATTGAAGAACTTGTAGAAGAAGAGAAAAAATATTATTTTGTTTAGTTAATTTTCAATTCATTTAAAGATCTTTAATGAAAGATAATTTTTAAAGAGAAAAATTAACATTTTCTCTTCTTCAAAGTTCGTGCTATTTAGATGAAACTTCAACTTATTTTAGCAATTTCACCAAATCCAATTAAATCTAAAATGAATTATACCATAAGGTATTTTACTATTCATTTTTCTTAAGAGTTCAATCTTTACACAATTTTTATATGTAAATGCTATTATTTCATTTCAAAACTACCTACTCAAAAGTTAATTATTTCTTCTAGAAACGAAATTAAAAATAAAATTCTCGCTGCGAAACTCGAACATCAACATCTACTGTCAGCAAAATTCATGACAATCACAAAATATCCCCTACCTTATTTTATGGTCCGCATCTTTCCTAGTCTTGGCTAAATCAACAGCGTTCTGCGCTATCTCCTGATTCAGCACCTGGACCCCACCTTCCAGAGTGTCTACGTTGTTCTGAAGATCATCTATGGTCGATTCCTTACTCTGCAGCTCGTTCTTCAAACTGTCTATGGTCTTCAGCAGCTCGATCTCTCGCACGCTGTGAGACTTCTGCTGCATGTAGAACTGCTCCTCCAGCGTCTTGTACTTCGTCACGTATTCCTCTTCTAGGAGCTCGATGGCCTCGCCCTTTTGCTGGATGAGGTTCTCCCACTGGGCATCTAAAATCCATTCGCCGCAATGAAAACTACCTGGAGCTTCACCTGAAGGATCTATCCTTACCTAATTCCGTTCTGTGTTGTTGGATCAGGGTCTCTATTTTCTGCTGAGACTCCTTCTCCATCTGTTCCTTGACCAGCTCTACCGTGGCCCGGAGGGTACTGACTTGGTTTTGCCAGTAAACCTCCGCTTCCTTCAGCTTCTTCTCGTTCTCTTCATTGATTCGTTCTGAGGAGGAATGCGAGAAAAATTTAATCATTTGTCGCAACATGAGACGGTTAGATAAACATTTTTTGATGCTGAGTTTGCGACAATCGTGCAACTTGTGTTGTAAAAATAGAAAAGTCGGGTTGGGTTAATTTTGGAACGAAGTTGGGAAACAAAGTGACGGGGCGCGAGAAGACGTAAAATAAACAACGCTGCAATTTTTAGCCAAAGGTATGGAATAATTTACGAATTATAAAAATAATTGAGGATTCCAAAGACGTCTGAAAGCTTTTTAAATACGCAGTTTTTTAAAGACTTACCCAACTCTGATTCGTGATCTGTTATCACTTTTTCGTACTTATTGTGATGGGACATGTCAATTTTGTCCATCAGTCGTCTGAGTTCCATAATATCCCTGTCTGTGTTTGTTTGCTGACTTACGAGTTCTTCTCTGTAATATTCGTCTTTCTCCACTAGGGATTTTTTTAGCGAAGCCACCTAAAAATTAAATAGATACAGTGCCAAAATAGTTGGCAGTAGAATGGTAAATAAGTCAAACCACAATTTTCACTACTTCTTAATCCGAGAACATGATTAAAAATTAAAAATGCATTAAAATTGTAATGTGCCGTTCATTTCGCATAGTGTTCCGATATGCTCAATTGCTCAGCTTGCACGCGCACTTGGGACGTTATATCTTGTACAAAAAGCGAGAGGACCGAAGTCGTATGATTTGAGTTCTTAAAACCATACAACAGTTTCCACCCGAAGTGTGTCAGTGCGTGTCATAAGCGTACAAAGGGGAGAATTTATTTCACATTTTACTTATTCCAATCTGAAATCAAGATAGTCGTAAGGGACTAAATTTAAATCAGTGAGTTAACGAAAAGGCGAAAGACGTGACACGAAAAAATTGAAATTGGCAATGAGTTAAATAGGCGATCCGTACAAACTACCAGCATTAAATACTGATAGAGTGTCGTACATTGTGTAACAAAAGTCGGGACGCGTAGTAATTTATTTGTTAGTTCTCGGAACGGATGGACCAAAAAGTAAAATATTTCAGTAAACACTAATTTTATCGAAAAGTTAAGTCTTCAAGTAGGTGGCGTCGCCACAAAGCCGTCCTTCGGAGAAGGCTTCATGAAGTTTAACAGTATTTTTGAACAAGTTCACTTAGACTGTCGGGGCCATGTGTTGAGCATCTGGTATAAAGAGAAAAATTGATATTTCAAATAACGCGCGAAATGCATTCCAAAGAACGTAGGAATTCCAAGAATAAGTTGTTACAAAAATAATAATAGATCAAATAGCTGGTTTTTAGGCGGATTTTCCAAGATATAAGAAAAGATTAAATAAGATTGACTAATCCGTCCCGTATTGCTACACGGAGTCACTAGAGGAAGGCTAGGGTTACTTGTAAGTCCAGTTAGTCACATAATTATTTATGTAAATGTAAATTCTGTCCATTAGATAACTATTAACATGGCATAGATATGCCACAGCGTCCCGATATTCAGGGTTCCCGCCAGTAAGATAAGAACATAAACGTCTGCACCCAAGAAATGGGCGTGTCCAGGCGAGGTGTCGAATTCAGGAGAGATCTCCGAAAGAACAGGCAGTTCTTCCTTGGGTTCCACATTGAGCAGTCTACTTAGTTTTAGAGTCTCGGGTTAATTAAATAATGGTTATCTATTCCACATTTTGCTATGGATCGCGCATTCCCTGAATCTCGGTACTCTGTCGCGTGTCAATAAATTAATAATGTTGTTCGAGCCCGTTGTGTCGTTATTTTGTTTGTCTGTTTTGTTTTTATTGTTATTAAAACTCTTCCTGGGAGTTTTGGTGATACTTTCTTGTTCTTTCATCTTAAGTGTCACCCCATACAACCAACCACTGGATTACCTTGTACATGAGCGACATACGGTAAGTGTCTGGTCTTAATTCTCTGAACGTACAACATTTCTCAGTTCTCACGTATTAATTAAAGTGTAATGATAATTATAAACTCCCTTTCGAGAAGTTAATAGTAAACTCTTTTGTCAGTTAACACCGTTGATACTGGTCATAGCAGTAGATAGATAAGTAAAGAAATAACCCCTCAGGTTACAATCGGAAGCGAAAATATCAACAGCAGACAATAAACATTCTTAGAAACATTTTCTTTTGAATAAAGCACCCTCTGGGAAAGCAGACGAAAGTGAATGCGGATTTTTGGATAAACGGTTTACACTTGTTCGAGTTGCAACATACGAGAGGATTGCCATGAAAATATGGTCAGTGGGGTATTTGAGAATTGATTTTAACTCACATCGAACTGGTGCAGTGATTGCCATAGATAATGCGCCTTACCATATAGATGAAATTACCAGTATCTACATAGAGGAAAAATTATGGGATATTAAAATGACTAGCAAATGCACAGAAAGAAAATGTCAAATACATGAAATATGTAGTGAACGAATCGGCCAAAGCTCTCGGTGTTACAGTTCTTCGATTGCCTCCATACCACTGTGAACTGAACCCTATTGAACTAATCTGGGAGAATACAGAAACTAGTTAGAACAGAAACTTATTTCACACCAAATAACACAACACTAAGTTAGGAGGTGTAAAAGGAAAAACACAATATAAGAATTGAAGTTATAATAGAACTACTTATACCTTTAGACGGTAACAGTGATAGAGTGTCATACCTCTTTGAGACAATTCCTCAGTTTCTGCTCCCACTCGTTCTGGGCCTTCTGGAAATCCTCGTCCTTCTTCTTGCGGACGCTTTCCATGGCCAACCACTTCTCTTCATTGTGGATCTGCTCCAGCTCGGACTTCAGTCTTCCGCATTCGTGAAGCAACCGTTCTTCCCAATACATCGCAATCTCTGTGCGTTTTTCGTCCAAGGTTTGTTGGAGTTTTCTCTCCTTGTCCACCAGTTCTTGGTGATGGATTCGTTGGATGTGCTGTATGTTCTCTTTTTCTATGTCTATTAAAGTTCTAAGTTTCTTAGTCTCATTTTTTAAATTGCCTTCTGCTTGCGTCATCTGTTCTTGTTGGTCCAGGAGAGATCTCATAGCCCTCTCTTGGTCTATGGTGATATTCCGCAGTTTCTCTACCTCTGTTTGGTAGATTTTTAAGTTTTCTATCTGAAACAAGTTAAATGCATTTAATAAGGTCACTTAAACACTTGTAGTGTAAAAGAATTATTTTACTTCTACGAGATTTATATTACCTTTTCCATCATTTCTTCAGTCTCTCTCATTTTCATTTCCGCTTCCTTATAGGCCTCCTGCAGCCTATCCTCCACATCTTTATCTTTATCTTCTAACCGTTTTTTGCATGTCTGTTGGACTTCCCTAAGTTTCCACTCGAAATCATCTAGAAGTTGTTGTTCCTTCAGGATATTTATCGTCCTCAACTTCTCAAAATCCTCCTTCCACTTCTTCTCAATCTCCTGCTTCTGTTTTATAGCTTGTTCTACAGTTTCGGAGACCTTTTTCTTTTCTTCATCCCTTTCCGCTGATAGCTCTGCGTGTCTCTCTTCTAGTTTTACTTTTTCATCTCCCAAGGTGTTTAATTCGTTTTCTAGGTTTTCTATTTTGTCTCGAAGTTCCTTAACCACACCTTCGAGCTCGCCTATTTTTGCCTTGGTCTCTTTTTCGTAATTAGTTAATAGTTCTGCAAAAAATCAACACTGATTGAATTTGAGATACGCAAAGTAATGGTGAAATCTCACCTGATTTCTCTGATAGTTGTTCTGAAAGTTCACTATGTTTGGCTCTATAATTTTCTAAATCACTTTCTAATTGCCGGATCCGCTGTCTGGTTACTTCACATTCTTTGTTCGCCGTATTTAATTCAGTCTGTAGACCTACAAAAAAATCGATGAGCTTTTAAAACATTACAAAATATTTAGAAGAACTCACGGTCTATTCCTGCAGATTTCGCAAACACATCTCTCTGCAATTCTTCCATTTGAAACCTGAGCTTAGTAGCCTCAGCATCTCGAATGGAAAGTTCCTTAGACAGGTCATTTAGTTGGCTTTGGAATTTAGCCTCTTGGTTTATAAGATTCTTCCTGGAAGGAAAACGACATTAAGACAGAGAATATTATAAATATACGCAAACAGCAAGAGAATTCTCGATCTGGAAGTTTTTTTCTACAGTTTTCAATAGACTCGAGGTTGACAATTATAGAATAACACCAGAGACGCTATTTTGGGGCCACTTGACGTTGAACTGATTCACGTGTGCCTACTTAGTTTTAAATTTAGCCGAACATGAAAATTATACAGGCTGGTCTTTAACACTGCATCCGGGTTGCATCAAATTGTTAAGTAACATGCGTCAGAACTGTTTAATCGATGGGTGGTTTTGTTTATTCGGTGAAACGCGAATGTCGGTGCAAATTTTTTATGCGTCAGATCGATTTTTTTATTAAATCAACAAAAATTTAAAGGTTTCATTGAATTTTCCCATTCACGGATGAATGTTGAGAAATAATGAGGAATTTTACAAATATTTTGAAGTTTTTCTATTTATACTAAAGTTCTGGCAAACAAAAAAAATAGTGAATAATGTTTTGTTAAGAAATTCATCAACAGCCTGACTAATGAAACACAGGATGTTTAGTTCTAACCTAAACAACCCAGGTACATCTCAAAAAACCAGTCTTACTATTTGTTTTGAGCTTCTGTCCAAATTTCGGCGCACCGAAATTAAACGCAATTACAATGACTAGCGTGCGTTTTAGTACGATGTAATATAGTTAAAATCGACCTTATATATTTTTAAAAATATCTATAGCCACGCTTTAATTGGACCACACGTAAGAAAGTATTTTATTTTCACTACAGTTACTCATTATTTTGCATGTGTAAATTTGACAGTTTGCCATCCAACCGCCGCAAATTGTAATTCTCATGACTGAACTTGCAACAAACATAAAAAACAAAAACAAACGAAAAAATATTGTCAACTATAAATATTTTAGAGATAGGAAGAATAATATTAAAAATTTAAATAATCACCCTTTACCTTTAGTCAAGACTTTGAAAGATAAACATGTATGGATTTGTTTCTCTGTTTTTTCTGCCTTAGCAGCCAAGCGAGTTGTAGCCCGAGAAAATAATATATATTTTTTTAATAGTTGTTTTTGGTATTTTTGATAGGAAACATGACAATATTTTAAGAAGCCAGCAAAAATATTAAAATTGCCCAAAGAAACAAATTGTGACATATGTATTTTAAGTAGTATTACAATTTGAACAACAAATAAAGAACTGTTATATTGTTTGTGCGGATAATATAAAATTAATTATACCAGTAAAGACACTGCAGTTTTAGAAAAACATTTGTTTTGGCTTTGCTCTTGCTTAGCCTCGATGCCTTGGTATGTCAAGTTTATTTAAAAAATTCTACGTAGTGATCAGTTAATCATATTTTTGTAAAATGATGTTTATCCTTTGAAACGTTTTTTTAGAAACATTTTCTATTAGATACTTCATAACCACTTGACTCTAATTGTTGAGTAATGCGTTCTTCAATATATTGAAAGAGACGTATCTCATTTGAAATATCCAGCTACTATTTCTGTGCACATAAAATATGCGGATCGGCATATTATTTAACCTTTCCCTAAGCTATTTCCGTGTGTTTTTGAAAAACAACTTTTAAAAAAACGTTTAACAAGGTTATATTACATAGTTTGTTGAAAAATTTACGCTAGAAGTATATCCAACCAGAAATAAACCAAGTATATAAAGTCTGGAAGCCTGTAATTTATGACAGCTATTAACTTGACAAAGGATAACGCAAAAAAATTAAGTTAGCAGCATGCACTACATAATGTTTTTCTCTCAACAATTGTATGTATGTAGATTTATAGCCAGCAATTTGACAAGTAATATGTAAGTAAACGTTTGGTAAGTTGTCAAAGAAGTATTTAACTCGTTAAAAATAATTGCTGTGGCCAGATGATTAAATATTAATGACCAAACTATTTTTAGAGGCTTAAAGCGGTCTTATTCAATTAATTTTATTATGCCAGAATGGGCCAAAACTATCTGGCTTCGCTTCTTGCAACGCCATTCTATGTATGTTACTCAGATATTTTCTTACAAATGTTATGACTTATTTTATTAGTAAAATTGTTTTAAATTTTGCCATAAATCATTACTAACTAGCAAAATTCTTTTCATTTTACGTTTTATGTCATTGTAGATTGTGCAGCAATTCGGTTTTGGCACGCGAAAGAGGGTAACACAAACGTGCTTTTAAATTTTAAAATAACTATCAAGTTTCCGCTTCCAATTGAATTGATTTAAAACCACATATATAAAAAATTGCGACGACTACAGATTCATTGTTAACAAAGGTAACCCTAGCATAAATATTTTGCGAAAAGGAATATTATTAGAATGTTATTCGGTTTGTTTTAACTATGTTTATTCGATTAATTTTATAACATCTTGACGGTTTCAGTACCATAACGCTTGATTGAATATAAATGTTTCTAAAAGAAATAAATGTTTCCTAAATCGAGGAATACGACGTCATAGCACAGACGAAAATCAAAATTTAAATAAACTAAAGAGAGTCGTAAAAATATACGTTAAGTACCTAATTATCCTTATTTTATGTTATGAGCATCCTCGAATATTCTGTTGTTACAACTATCAGTAAGTAAAGTATGTTTTATAGTTAGTGAATTATTTTCAAAACAATTAACAAGGACAAATAACTGTAAATTTCATGATTTTATTACAGTTGCCACCAAAACTTGACAGGTGTGCAAGTAAAATACAATTTTCAGGTTTAAATATTTTTGATTCGGTATAGCCTTTTCCGCGACTATTAAAAAAAAAACAAACATCAGAAGAATTCCCCAGATATGTTTACTCTAAATTTTATTTTAATATTTATTTACTGCAAAGATTATAACCCCAGTTCTTGCAATTTGTTAAATTAACGGTAGATGTTGATCCAAAACAAGTTGATTAATTTTCTCGTTGTATTTTTGTTCTGTTCGATGGAATTCTCTGCATAACTATCAGCTACGGTAGTATTTTTCCAACCTTCGTTTCGTTGGAGACAAATCACCAGAAATGGTCAAAAATAAAGCGAAACGTCAGAAGTAATACATAGATTCTTCTGGGTGTACTACAATCAAGAAAGAGCTTTTGGCATTTTAGCATAGGTATGAAATTTCAACTGGTTGTTTGGTACATTCTTTATTTCTATACCAAGCAAAAAAAAACGTTGATCTTGGTCTTTGCGTTTGGTAATATTCGGAAAGTGGAACTTTCGTCTACAACAAATCTAACAATTCATCTCTTTTACATGCAATCCACGAATCTTAGCTGTTTTTATAACTAAAAATGTTGGCTTCATTATGGCAATTTCCAGTTTTTGAGTTATATTTAATTTTTTAAATGGAATGTACTTTTTGATCTTTTAAATCTTCATAAAATTTCCTTTGAAATGATGTGTCATATACGTATATTTGCACAAAAAATGTTTTCGAAGATACATACGTCTAAAATTTATATTTTTGTAATTCAATTCTTTTAAGATGACTCTTACATAAATACTTTAGATATATCCAGAGCACATAAACTCAAAGTATCGAATTCGCTCCTGTACTTGAGTTAAAATTGTTTTTGGTAAATACAAGCAATGTTATGAAACTAAAAATGTCAGTGTCATCGTCGTATTGCAAATGCAGATGTTCAAATTTAAATTTTTAAGGATCATCTCAAATGACGCCAGCAAATACTAGTCCAGGCGCTAGAGCATTCGAGGCGTTTGTATTTGAAGTCATCTAGTTTGTTGTACAGAATAAGAATCCAAGTTTGCCTATTTCAAAAAACCATTGCTAAATTCAGGGGAACAACAAGCACAAAAAGAACGAAAAATTACTCGTTTTTCGACATATTTTTCCCTATAACATTGAAAGTAAGCTCTAAATAAAAAAGTCGTTCTTTATGTTTTGTTTATTTGACGATTTTCTATAAAGTTAAACAACTGCGAATCAAAAAAGTTGAATTTTGCATTAATAATGGGCGAAAAATAGTAGGAAATCATATGTATATTTTGAGCCATTTTTAAAATAAATAAATATTGATGAAACTTTGTGAACAAATAGTAAAACATATGTCAATTCTACCCTAAAAATTTTGCAACGATCGGCCGCATGGTTTTTGATTGACAGAATTGTTAATTAAGAAAATTTCAAAAAGTTTTTCGCGTACCGTAGGTTTAAATTAAGGTTTAGAAAGGGCACACAATTTTTTAGAGATACTTGTTGTCATAATAAATAATGATCAATACCAAAAATACCTATTTTTACACTTTTATAACAATTTATTTTTTTTTTAATTTTTCAACATTTTGCTCTTTAAACAATTATTTATTGCCCAAAGAATTTTCTATGCAATGGACAAAATCTGGCACACATAATTTTTACATATTGTAATAAAATCAAATTATTTGAATTTATCGATTTTTATACCATTTTTTCTCTTAATAACAACTTCCTCCTATCATTAATTTAACTGAAAATTTTGTTATACTTCAATGAATTAACAGAGAGATCATTAAAATACGAAAATATATATTTTTTAGTTTAATCATTGAAACGTGAATTTCATGGAATGCATTGATGAACACAAACTTGATTACCATAATATAGCTATTTTTTTAAAGCAAACGAAAGCGGCATAATTCTTTAAACTCAAAATTCGTGCAAAAATTATTTATTTTATTGATGTTTGATGACATACTCGTTTTCCTCTCATTTTGCTATATAAAATTAAAAAAAAATCGTCTTGATAAGTGCTACCGTTTCCGAGAAAAGTCATCTTTTATCGCGCATACGCATTTGGAAATCCATGCGGCGCGCGGCAGCGCAGTTATCCCCACTCCCGCTCTGCCGAGAAATTCCAGTGACTACGGTAGAATACCTTTCTTGATTTTTCTTTCATTAAGCTTTTTATCTGCCGAAAATGCACTAAACGGATATTGAAAGTACTTGCAGTTAGTAATAAAAACATTTTTTTTTCTCGACTTCACGATTACGTGAGCTAAAAATTCATAATTAACTTTACGCTTCTATATCTCAGAATCTACACAGTAAAATGCTATCGTACTCTGCTAAAAACCAAGGGGTTACGTAGTTTTTATCTGTGCAAGATTTTGTCGATTGCATAGAAAATTCCCTGGAGCAATAAATAATTGTTTATAGAGTAAAATGTTGAAAAACTAAAAAAAAATTCTAAATGGTTATAAAAGTGTAAAAATAGGTATTTTTAGTATTGCTCATTGTTTATTATGGCAACAAGTATCTCTAAAAAGTTGTATACCCTTTCTAAACCTTAATTTAAACCCACGGTACGCGATAAGCTTTTTGAAATTTTCTTAATTAGAACATTCCTGTCAATCCAAAACCACGCAAACGATCGTTGCAAAATTTTTAAGGTAGAATTGACATATGTTTTACTATTTGTTCACAAAGTTTCATCAATATTTATAAATATTTACTTATTTTTAAAATTGCTCCAAATATACATATGATTTTCTACTATTTTTCGCCTAATGTTAATGCAAAATCCAACTTTTTTAACTTACTTCAGTTTTAGTAATACTAAGTAAATTGTATTGCAAAGATAAATATTTAAATTCAAAAATTAAATACTTTTTTTATAACTAAAGTGCGAGGAATGTGTTTTTTTATGTTTTAATAAGAATCATTGATAAACTGCCATAGACATCACTTTTCTACAAAAACTTATTTTCCTTTTATTTTAGTAATACTAAGTGAATTGTGGTGCAAAGATAAATATTTAAATTCAAAAATTAAATGCCTTTTTTATTACTAAAGTGCAAGGAATGTGTTTTTTTATGTTTTAATAAGAATCATTGATAAACTGCCATAAACATCACTTTTCTACAAAAACTTACTTTCCTTCTATTTTAGTAATATTAAGTGAATTGTGTTGCAAAGATAAATATTTAAATTCAAAAATAAAATGCCTTTTTTATTACTAAAGTGAAAGGAATGTGTTTTTTTTATGTTTTAATAGGAATCTTTGATAAACTGCCATAGGCACTTTTCTTCAAAATCTTACTTTCCTTTTATTTTAGTAATACTAAGTGAATTGTATTGCAATGGTAAATATTTGAATTAAAAAATTAAATGTCTCATTTATTACTAAAGTGAAAGAAACGAGCCATTTTTGAATTTAAAAAAACGCATGAAATTCGATTAAATTATGGACCTTTAAGAAGAAAATATCATGCACCACAAAACAGTGTCTACCTGTCAAGCCAAATTTATTTTGGCGAAATAAGTTCCAAAATGAAACATGTCAAATTTTTTAAATAAATTTTGGTTGTAAAATTTTCTTACCGAATTCCCCACGGCCTTGAACATCCGGAAATAATTCAAGAACTAGGGAGATTATAAGTGAATATTTCAATTAGCTTAATTCCCTTTAAAATAAAGTGACAGAGCAATAATTATAGTACATATCGTCATATTCTTAACTTAAGTGTTAAAAAAATGTTCAAAATCTTCTGTTTTAAAATACAATAGAACCAAACATTTTTATACTTTATTACAGACAAGAGCGTGATACATTTTGATATTTGAACAAACCAAGACGCAAAAATATTAAAAAACTACAGATAGCAATAGCAGCTGAAAGCTGAATTGACCGATTAACTTTTCAAAACAAAAAAGAACTTGTGGAAAAGAAACTGCTACGTACTTTTACCTTCACTTAAGGCAGTATGCTTTGTGAGGAGACAACTAATTTGACACACTGTCATAAAGCGACCTACAAAATTATGAAATTACGTAATATCACATACTTTTCTACCTGGTTCTCAACCCCATTTCCCGCAGAGATCTTTTCGCTAGAGGTGATGGGAAGATTCACGTGTAACTTCATCGAAGCGGTGACGGTATCCTTTTCTTCCTTGCCGGCCTTCTCGTCCACCCCATTCTGGACCACCTTAAGAGCCTTTTTGGCTTCCAGCACGGGACTAGCGGGCGGCGTGTTGGCACTATCGTGCCTGTGGCCCAACACCGCAACCCAGGGCGCGATGGCGGTGGTGCCGTGCCCGCAGGGCTTCACGCCAGACCCGCGTCTGTCCGCCACCGGTTCCGGCTTCTTCAGCATGCTCGCGTAAGAGGTGTTCGCGGCGAGTGTGGCAGCGTGGTCATCGCACATTACTGCGGAGGGTTCGGGATTCGCGGAGCGCGAATTCGAGTCGATTTTTTCGTTAAGCTTGTCCGGCGGACTGGGTGCATTCGTGGCATTTTTCACCGGTCCGACTTCCGACGAATAGTTGGCGACACTTTCGGGCGCAATCTCAGGTTTTTGGTGATTATTTTTGTTCGCGTCTCTGCTACCTGCACTCTGCGGCGGCGAGTCCCTGTTCCTGCGGTCGTCTTTCTTCGACTTCCTGAAGAAGCTGAACATCTTGCTCATCTTACCGGCGGCGATCGGCTCCTAGGTCCGCATCTTGTCCAGCAGGGGAACTGACGGTGAACGGCGGCGTCGGGGAGAAACTGGATACCTTGCAATTTTCACGCACCGGATTTAAATTTAGACCGCACTTTACGGATTTTTTTTGTTATCACAGTTTAGTGCCGTCTGGCTAGTTCGAACCGGTATTTTAGAGTAGTCGGTGGTGGTCTAAAAATAGACGCTTTATTCTACAAATGAGGCAGAAGTGATCTGTGCGGGGCGAGCCGTGAAAATGTCCTTGCATTAATTCGAAAATGAGAAAAACGTCGGGAAAAGGCTGTGTGTTGGTGGAAAGCCGTTGGGGATGTGGGGGGGATGCCTTGAAATAAACTCTGCTTAAGAAGAATACGGTGCTATTTTTAGGTTTCGCGTATTTAAACGTCCTTGTGGCTAAGGAGCACTGTACCGACTTATTTTTTCAAAAAGCTCGTTTCCGGCAGCTTATTTTGGGAAATTATTGATAATAAATCTCATAAAAAAACACTCTGCTATTATATGAACAATATTTTATGTCAGGAAAAGCAACATTCTGGAGTGTCTGAATTTTACTGAAGGATAATGTTCTTACAAAAACACTTCCAATTCTGGAAGCATTCTAATAATTCCAAATACTAATACGCCTCCTCTACTCATCCTACGCAAATTGTCTGACAAATATTGTTCTTGTGACAAATACACAGTTACAAATTATCTCTAAAATCAGAAAAGAAATGCCAACTTCTTTTTTAGACTAATAGAATACATATTTAGAATATTTGTAGTGATTCAATGCTAAGCTCAATTATTGAACAAGTTATTCTTTTATTAAAACAGAAATAGGTCAAGTTAACTTATAAAACTCATAAAGGTAATTCGTGAGGTTCTTCAATGTCAACAGATTTCGGTCACAGAAATTATGGCCTATGTTAGATATTTGACATCCTACAATTTTGAGTAAAAAATTTTCAAATACCTGACACTTAGCTAAAACTAGAGATAACGCAAGCTTTTATTTTTCAATTTGTTCGTTTTGAGACGTAGTTTTACAAAAAATATATAAAAATAGAATATTTTTTAATTTTGGACTCATTTTTTCAATATTTGAGTGGCGTTTCTTTTCTTCTCAAAAAAATCGTCTAGGTTCTAGAGAGGGATCTTTTTTTATTCTATTTTTTTTCGAATTAAAAAAAATTTGCACCTTATTAAACCAAATTTTATTTTAGAAATAAATCGCGATGACTAATTACTAACAATACCATATTGTTATAAATAATTCTTCTGATATTGTCATTATTAAATGTCTAAATTAATATTAACTATACAAATATTCCGATTTATTTATTTATTTATTTTTCATTCAATATCAAAAGTTCGTTTTGGCATAACACCATAATACTTATTTCTTTGAACATTTGTATTTAGTAAAAACAATAGGTTAACGATGAAACAAAAAAAAATTAATTTGCAGAACATTTGACGGATTTTATTTTCTGTATTATTTCATTAAATATTCCCGCCAGTGATGCAAGCGCCACTTCAAAAGATTTGACTCATGTAGTTGTTATTCTCTAGTTTTAGCCAAGATACAGTTACTTGAAAAAATTTTTTCCCAAAATATTCAAATGCTCATAATTTCTTAAGGGGATGAAGTAAATTTTGAAAAAAATTAGTGAAAGCTACTATTAATAAGTGCCTACTAAATAATATCAAAAAATCATGAAAACTAAAAATGATTTGGCACTGAATGCTCCGTATATATATGTATATTAGGGTGGCCCAAAAAAAACGAATATTTTTTTTCGTGTCTCTTGTGAAAATATGTTAGTTTATCATGTTTTAAGAGCCCCGTCAATAAATCGGCTCAAAAAAAATTTTTTTAGATGTCAAGATTTTTAAAAATTTCCAAAATCGTAAAAAATTGAATTTTTTTTTTAAATTTTTTCTCTCGTTATTTTATCACTTTCTAGGTTGAAAAAAATCTCGGTTCTGAAAATTTCAAATCGATATTTTAATTTATAAAGGTTACTTGTATTAGAAAGACCATTTCCTTTTACCCTGAACAGCAAATTTAAAGACAAACAAAAAATTTATACAAAAATTTTAAAAAAGCGTATATTTGAATTTTTTCTTACATTTTCCTTTAAAATGATAATAATCATATTGTAGCCATAACGATAGCTTAAAAGTTATCTTATTTTACGGTATGTGAACAATTTACCTTGGCAAATGCATATGCTAAATTAATAACAATCAAAATATATTTTTAAGAATAATCGCTGGTATTTGCATATCACATGACTTTCACGTGGATTTCTTATAAATAAATTGTATAAAAACCAGCTGGAGCTCTTTCAGTCAGCTTCATAAATATTCCCTGTAACCTTAAACAAGTTTTCAACACCTTTGTCTAATGATCTATAAAAAACGCGAAACGTAAGCTCGAAGCAAACAGGAATAGGTCCATTTATCTATATTCGCAACGCAATTGCTTTTATAATATTTTAATTTTTTCAAATATCACATGCAGCAAAACAAAAATTTAGCGCCTAAAAAACAAAATTCCTTAATGTCTTTGTAACTGTTGTCTAGTAATTAACATTCCTTGGCTGTCACATGCACTATTTATATTCCATTGTTCACAACAAAGCTTTATATTGTGCAGGATGCAAGTCATTCCAGTTCTACATGCATTTTACGAAATTTTTCACGGCTTCCTTGTTCAAAAAACTAACTCTAGTTCTTAAAATCAGTCAAATATGTATAATTATTATTAAACTAATATCGATATGCCTCCCACCATTGAGTATGGCGTTCCTTAAGGATCTACTCTTGGCCTTATCCCATATTTGGAAGCACATCAGTGACTAAGCATTTTCCAGGTACTTTTTTGTTGTGTAGTACCTCTTTGTGCAAAAAGTAAGACATTAAAATGTTGAATGAATGAAAAATTGTCACATTCCTTGTTGCGTATTTTTTTAATTTAAAAAAGAGCAATAACTTTCTTTCTGTCTTATTTCCCTAAACTTAAAAAGTACTTGAAGTTGCATATATGATTCTAAAATAAGTAGGAGGTACTTCCTAAAACATTAAGCACCGTACGACACATTTTTTCAAAAATAAAGTGACTTCGTTTCTGCGCATTAGCACCTAATCAATCAAATAAAATTTGAAACCGGCATTGAAGCCAACGCAAACCGATTTAGAAGTTCATACCGAGTCTGCATCCTGTTATTTATATTTTTATCGGTTGTTAAATTTAATGGAACAAAATAAGCATATCAAACGGACTACGGATATTTCGAGAAGAAAATAAACGTCAGCAGTAGTGGCAACTATTTTCTTAATAATAAAGAGAGAAGAGAAAAACATTTGCATAAAAATTAAGACGAAATAAACATACAAAACACTTGAAAAATTATATTTAAGTAAGACAACACAATCAAAAGTTCAAACAAACAGGAGAAAGTTAATTTTAACAGAGCTAAAATTAACTTCAATTCTACTTGCTCATTTTTTAAGAAACTTTCTGTTTATTTTTTTAACTGATATATGAACCACCTTTGAGTATAACATCTACTACACTGATTCTTATTTTTAATTCACAAACGCATGTTTCTTTAAAATTAGATGTTAAGGTCACTGATGTATTTTTAAACAGAATGTTTATAATTGGACCTGTCCTGTAAACGTTAGTTACCAGCAAAACTTTGATCTGATAGAATTTAATAAACACTTAAAAAATATGGCTACAGTTAAAAACAAGCCTTTCTATAATTGTAACATTTTGATGGATTTACTTCAATAGCCATGGTAATCTTGAAACTAGTATAATCCTTAACATAAAATACAAGCGTTTATTATGATTTATAACATTTGTTGTATTATTAACTGAATTTTATGTCTCGACAGATAAACTAGAAAAAATTCTATTCGGTCTCAAAAATGTATTAAAAGAGTCTCCTGGAGGATGACAATAGGTACATTTACAGTTATAATATTACTAGCACGTATGGTAAGAAAATTTCACATCAGAATTGATTGGCTACAAATAGAGATATCTCTATATCTCCATATCTACATCTCTATATCTCTGTCTCCATATCTCAATGATGTATATCTCTATATCTCATTAATATATATCTCTATATCTCATTGCCATTCTTGAAGAAATTGTATAATAGCAACTAATAGGCCAACGATATTGCGTTTTGTACTGACTTTTAATGCAGGTGCACTGGCTAGACATTTCTCCACAAAACATAACTTAGTATGAATGAAAGAAAAATATCTAAACCTAACGAACTGTCATGAGTGTCATGTCATAGTAAAGTAAACCTAACACCTGTATGACCGACACAGTTCCAGATGTCCCGACATTTGGGTTACTATTTCTAAAAACTTGTAAAAATATATGGGACGCTCAGATATTCCAATCTATTTTCCTTGATGTTGCACACACCGAACTTTCTATCTGTAAAATAATAGGATCTATTCTGGGTGTGGGTCACAGACATTGGGCAATTAATTTAGATACAGAACAGCGTGGTCTGCTTCTGCTTCCATCGATCGTAAAATGGATTCTTCGTTTCATTCAAACAGACAAGCATGAACTCAATTACCCTACTTATCAAGTGCTATTTGCAATTTTGCGTCAAACGAGCTTTCATCTAATACTGAGGTTGTTCCAAAATAGTTCGGTTAAACGTGTTTACGCTGTAATGCAATATCAACGAGAAGTGAAGCCGCTGTTTAATTAATTCCAGCAAAGTTTGCTTAATATCTGTTAAGTTGTTTAGTAATAAAACTGAAAGTTCGGGTCAAACGGCGTATAAAGATTGATTTTATAACTATTAAATCATTTATTCTTTCAGTGCGAATAAGAAACGCAGTATATGCAATATGCATCAAGTTAACGTGTAGTATAGGCAACCCTTTATTCAAGTCCCCTGCGATGCAGTAAGACTACACAATTATTTCCGTGATTATCAGTGTTTTCAACTATGTACGAGTACTTCATAGTATAGTCTTTCCAAAGTCAGTTGAACATGTATAAAAACGGCTAGCGATAAAATTTAATGAGATTCATAGGCGTCCCTAAAAGAAGTTTTCTGCTAAAGGTAAAATATAATATTTTAATTATTTATGTCCTGAAATAATTGTATTATATTGATGGTAAATTTTGGTTATGACGTATCAAAAAACATTTGTA